CTCTCTCTCTCTCTCTCTCTCTATCTCTCTCTCTCTCTCTCTCTCTCTCTATCTCTCTCTCTCTCTCTCTCTCTCTCTCTCTCTCTCTCTCTCTCTCTCTCTCTCTCTCTCTCTCTCTCTCTCTCTCTCTCTCTCTCTCTCTCTCTCTCTCTCTCTCTCTCTCTCTCTCTCTCTCTCTCTCTCTCTCTCTCTCTCTCTCTCTCTCTCTCTCTCTCTCTCTCTCTCTCTCTCTCTCTCTCTTGTGAGCAAAAGAGAGACAGAAAGCGGCAATGAATGGTTTGCGCTTCGTTGAAACTCGTCATTTGCACAACACCGCCACCGGCAGGCATAAACAGACTTTCACAGAATTTGTCTCATATACACAACTCATTATTACAGTGTACAGCAAAACGAGGTATCATGGAAAAACAAGGGAAGGAGGGATATTGAAAATTGATCTTTGGTTAAAAGTATTTTATGGAATTTCGTGGAAGCCTCAGGCTATTTGAACTACAAAGTAAAGTTTGAATGAAAATCTTCGTTTCAGTGAAAGAAAGTTTTTGCCAAAAAAAAAGTTTTAGTCAAAAAAAATCTGGAAGTCTAGCCTGGAAATCGTATAATCAAAAAAAGGTGAATTCAATCAACTGGAGACATAAATCTACAGTGAGTCAGAGCTCATGACCAGATTACTTTTTGATTCGATTCCTATTCTAATCAGACTTTGAAACCCTAATTTGAGATTTCAACTGGACCGTATGAACTTTGATTTCTTAGCATGCTTTGGTTTCTTTCATCAATTGAAATCTGAGGAAAAAATGGGAAAAATCTGATCAGCACTAATAGTAAATATGTTTATTCATTCATTGAAATTCAGATATTCATTCAAACAATTATTCTATTATTATTCCAATCACTCCAACATCATATCCGTTTTGTTGCTGTTGATCATTTTATTCTTCAACACGTAATCCTCATCATTAACTGCACAGACTCGTAGAAGCACACAGACGTGCCGGGAGTCCAATATCTTTTCCACCTGCAAAAATCTAATTTTTAAACTGTAGGTGTACCGCACACTGCCCTCTGGTTCCCCGTCAATACCCATGTTAATTCGTTGTGTTGTTTACGTTTACGGTAGGCAATTATCAAAAAGGTGGTGCTGGTAAGCTTTTAAATAAAATACACACAGACACGGCCACTCCAAGTGGCAGCTGCATCGGATGAGATGGCTTGTGCTGCTCGTGTATCCCCTGCTTCTGACCGTCACGCAACGGCCACGAAGATGGTAATTAGAGGAGAAAGGAAGCGTGGGGGCGAATGGAAAATATGCGAGGATGATGGAAAGTGTGAGAAGACCTTTTATGGATGGGTAGAAATTCATCAAAGAGGCTTCAAGAGGAGAAGACGAGATGATTATGAATTTTAAGAGAAGAAGAATATAGGTTTTCAGAAATTACAGGCTGTCCATCTTCCATCTTCTAAACTGTCCTATCACTCCAAAATCAGAGCCTGTCTGTTGAATTTGTTTTCTCCGACTGGCTCTGTCTTCAATCGTAAACAATTCTTCTCTAACTTTCCAAAAAGTTTGTGACAGACTACTGTTCTTCTCCCTATGGGACAGGACCGGGGGACCGAGACGCACCACCACCACCACTTTTTTGCATTGCAAATGAAGCTGAAAAATTCATGCACAAAAATGTATATCTTTCCTTGGCTCTCCTTCTCCTTCGGCGCTCAACTCTTCTTCCCTGTAATTCTCAATTCCTGCCCACCACGTCTTATATGATGATGATATATATTTATTTGAGAAAGAAGCGAATGTTTATAGGACATTTTGAGGGTCTTCATCTCACTCTTCTCCATCATCCGGTTACAAAATTGTTTACGGTCTGATGAGAAGAAACTGAGCAGACGGCGTACAAAAGTACTCAAACATGCTCGCTGCATCGCGCATTTTGGTCGCTGGTATAAACAATTGTATTCTTCTTTTTTCTTCCTCTTCTTCTTTTCATCAAAAAAGTACCAGCTGTCAGCAATCTACAGTAGTGGTTTTGTATGGGGGTGAAGAGAAGGCTTCCTAATGACCATGTCGTTATTGTGCGGAAATCTCAGGGATTCGAAAAACGACATCAATCACCCACTAATGAACTTTTCGAATACATTAGGTTATCATTCACATGCACTATATCTCTTTTTTCTGTATAATGTCAGGTGTGTAAATGTGGTGATATGGTTACCCGGGGCAACTGTGTGAATGAAGTGTTAATTCAGTGAGTGCGTAGCCGTTAAAATTTGATATATACATGCATATATCGAAAAAGTAAATCATGTGGTTTATTATATGGTGCGGAGTAGTAGTACTGCTTTTGGCATTAGCACTTCATCCAAAACGGTCTCCTGACTTCTCGCGCTCTCTCACTTTTCCCTATCAAGTGGAGCCTGTCAAACCGGAAAAGGGACGAAAGAGCGGAAAATGGAGGTAAGGGACTCGAGCCACATACATGCATGCTATTTGAGAAGCCATTTTCGGAATATATGGATAGAAAGGGTTTTTGGGGGGATAATCGCACAGGCAATAATAGTCACATTAAGGTATACCAACAACTCACTTTGCCAGAGTACTTTTCCACTTTGGTAGTCAGGAAACGGATGCATTCGGAAATGTCTTCGGCACGATCGTGGAATAGGGCCTCACAGTCAAGTCGAATCATTTCAATGACATCTTTCTGAAAGGAATTACTGTATTTTTCGCGATTCATACATTATCAAATCAGATCAATTAAAAAACAGAGCTTATTTTCTAGTAGCTACTTCCTCTTCCCAAAAAACAGATTGTATAGGGGATGCACATTGAGCTCGTATTGCGGTGCCTGTCACAGAAGACGTTATTTTCTTCTCCATCTCTTTTTTTGCTTCCCAGAAAGACGAAGAAAAAAGCCGCTTCGTCTTGTTTTATGACGTCGTCATAGTCCCTTTCCGTTTTCTTTCCAAGCACAGAAACAGGAAGAAACAGCTTATATGACCGATTGACCGACTCGGTCGTCAATAGGGGAGAGAAAAGAAATCCAATCAAGCAGTGCCTACCTTCAGCTGTATGAAATCATAATTTACACCATAAACGGCTCGCATACACAAATCGCAGCTAATGCCGGCCATTTGATTCACCTGACAAAAGTAAAAGACAGGGATTTAAGAATGCGGTAACGGATTTATCGTCTACCTTTTCAACATAGTACTCGTTTGTTGTGAGCATCCGATCCTTCTCCAGATCCTTCACACTGGTTTTATGTGGATGAGCAATAATACATGAGGAGAATACGGATAAAAAGATTAATATACTGTTGCAAATATGTACCATTCTGAAAAAAGTATGAAATGATAAAGAAAGTAAGTAAAAGGATGAAGAAAACAAAACGGTCAGCGATTGAGAAAGAATGAAATGATCAGGTAAGAAATGAGAGGTGGTGCTTTGCCATTTCGGGGAGTACTTCAGCACAATAGACAAGTCAATAAGAAACTTTTGTTTTGTTTCCATATCTTAGATCGTTTTACCGTTCGTGGGCAAACGAAAGAAATTTACATTTGAATAGGAAAAAGTTTGTCTTAGTCTTTGCACCCAAGTCATGAAACATTTTATGTTTGTATAAAGGTCAGAACACATATTTTCAATGTAAATAGGTTAGAAACTTCTACTTGAAAAAAAAAGTAAAATCTAATCGATTGTCGAAATAAAGCATTGGAGCTCTTTCAACCCGATGTAAAGTGATATAAAAACGGGACATCACACGTGGTCTTGTCTGTAACACGTTATTTTGCCTGTCATTCGTACGTTTGTCTGTCCGCTTCCGCGTCATCGTCATTCTCATCATCATCATTCCCTCCACCAAGATCAAATCACACCACCACATGTGTTGGTCTGTCAAATTTTTCTTCGTATTCGTCTCCAACCACACACTTTTTCATTTCTTCTGTGTGGGAGAGCCGATGCGAGGAGTGCAATGGTTAATCTCTTTTATTAGTTATCTCGACAACCGGCAGCAAAAAGAAAGTTCAGGGGCCAATGAATAATGCAAGAGAGTAGGATTGAGATCGACGAAAACGACGGGCAAAGTGAAAAAGAAGTTCTAAGCCAAAGACGAACAGACAGACAGATGAGATGATGATGAAACTGCGAAACAGTTGCCAGAGATGATTGTTGATTGATAACGGGGACCTTGGATTGGTGGTTCGAATCTATAACAAAAATCATATTAGGTGGGGTGACCCAGATAACAAGTTCACTGATAAGAAACGTACTTCTTTTCAGAACCTTGTGATTTTTTTTTTCAATTCTTACCTCAAACGGAGTTTTCTTTGTGTTATAGCCATGACCGGTTGTTATCAATGAAACTGCCGGTAGCACTTCTATCAGGGCATTGTTAAACTTTCTGATAAGCTTTTTGTGTTTTTTCGCAAATGTGTATGCGACGTAATAAGAAGGAGCGTCTTCATCCCGTATCACCAGGTACTGTTTCGGAGATCGTCCTGGATTTAGCCAAGAAAGTGTTCCGGGTAGCAAAGCGCTATCTATAGTTGATTGATATATGCCGCCTTTTCTGAAAATGGATTTTATTTCTTTTCTGTCGCATATTCCGTCATTCACAGAAAACGGAAAAAAGTGAAAGAGAAAAATTATCTGCTAAGTATAATGTATCGTTTATGTTTTCCTTAGCTCCTCAATTCTCAATTATTCATCACGTCATGAGAAAAACGAAAATGGCACCGGCGCTCATTTTCTATTCCTATTCCCATTTCCATTTCACTTTAATTCAACCAGATACATGACAGCAGGTGAAAGTCACCTGTTTCTCGGGACATGAAGGTTTTACAATGACCTATTCAAAACAGCCCGAGAGCAGAGAAGCCGTGCATGTTCGAGTAACCCAGACTGACACCACATTCATCTCCGTGTCTCACACCGTAATTAGGCTTTCGCTGTAGCGAATCGTTTTCAATGGATTATTGCTCTCGGGGGCTTCTGTCTGTACAGTACCGTCTGTCGACTGTTTGTGTAGCGCTTCCGTGTCCCCTGGCACTAGGCGACGTGACAGATGTGAACGTCCAGATGTGCACCCAAATTCGATGTCTGGTATGGAAAAAGGGAGGAAACCGTTGAGAGCCGGGCAGGAGTCGGTCGGGACCAACGGAAACACGTTTATAATTTATATGCAAACAGCACACACACCATGCTCACTACTTTTACTTCTTGTCTCGAGGTTGTACCCAACTCTCTCGCGCAAAAGGAGAGCGAGAGACACATCGTTTCCGCACCACCCTGTTTGCTACCATGCTTGTATGCAAATTATCGAATTTGACATGGATAAATACATGGTGAGCATATAAACATGGACATGTGGCAACGATAAATTAAAGTTAAATCAGAGGTTGCCTGAACGTAAACCGTGAGGTGGGGGGTTTGGAGCTACAAGACTCAGAAAAAGTTTTGAATCAAGTTAGTTTTAAAAATCTGGTACACTGAGTATTGAAACGTAAAAGAAAAGAAACCATTTGCAAAATTGTCAAGCATCAATCACTGTGAAAATTCAAATAAAACGCTTCCTCAGCTGTCCCATTAGAGCTAATTTATCTTGTGCCCTGTGATAGATATCCAAAAAAGTTAACTGATCAAATTTTTGACATAAAATGTAAAAAATTTCATCAGGTGATCACTTAGATAAATTGGCTTAAATTTAACATGAATTGAGCAACTTTTAATTTTTTCTGATGACTAGTAACTGCCTAAAACAAAATCAAAATTCTATTTTTTTCAGTTTTTACTTATTTTTCTAGACCGCAGATTCCTTTCTAACAATATCTAAGAACTTCATAAACTTACAGGATCAAACTTTCAACATCATCTGATGTATCACCACGTTTTACTGGGTTCTTTTTTATGACCTGTTCATACCGATTACAGATATTCGGAGTACATAAAAATGACTGATTTTCAAAAGCAGCAAAGAACATCTTCTTCTTGTCGACCACGTCTGGAATGACCAAAAAGCATGAAAAGCACAGAACAGGAACTGAACTGTCAACAATCAGCTGTTCACTTACCCAATGCTTGTTTGATCGTTCGAAACGGAATATCATATGTTAATGGAGCTGATAAGAAAGCGTACATGTCTGTTTGATAGAGTTGGGATAACATGAATGTGGTGAATAGAGTAACCACTAAGAGGACCCGACTGCTTACAATAAATGAACTGATGGTTGTCTGAAAATTTGAAGTTTGTTTTCATTATTAGAAATGTTTCTCACGGAAAATAGATCCACAAAATATTTTGAAATAGCCTGATCAGGATAGAAGCCTTTCAGTTTGAAATAGTTGATAAACAAATCGGACAGATACAAAAGTAAAACGAAGAAAACAATCAACATCCAGACAGTTCTGGAAAATGCATTGAAAATAAACTGGCGAGTGCATGTAAATGACGGTGGCGCAATAACAAAAACACTCTGAAAAAACGGATAATGCGATGGTGGTGGCAAGAGTATTTCATATTACTTCAAATACTCTTGTGGGATATGAAAACAATACAGCTTCCTCTCGCTCTGAAGACATTCTCATTGAAAGGCCAATCATGTCCAGTTGACCTGAAAGTAAAAAAATGGGTATTTTTGGATCTCGGTTCGTTAATCAGAACATTTATGTTAGAAGAGTCCGATTTGAATATGTGATCTAAAAGGACATACAGGGCCGGCTAAAAGTATATTATTTTTAACTAACGTAAGCACTTTAATGACCCCTCAAACTTTTAATAATGCGTCAATTTATCTCATTTCCTGTGTAAGATATTGAAAATTGTAAACTCACAAATTATTTATCATAACATCACCAATTTTTCATCCGTTGATTATTTTTTGATATCTTTCACAGGAAATGAGATAGGCTCAAAGCTGACGGTTCGGGGGGATTCTATTAGAATGTTCATGGTATTTCATTTTTGCATTTTTGCCATTTTTCGAAAAATTGAAAAAATAACGACTGCAATTTTTCAAATCCACTAAACAATGGTAATACACAACTTTTTCGCATAAAACCATATAAATGAATCGGATTCATTTGTTTCTGGGAGTTTTTCGCACTTGGTTGACTCAAGGGGAACATCTCATTTGGGTCTATTTGTATAATACAAAGAAGTTGTCTACTACAAAATTGAAGATCTAATTGACGATTGTTCAAACTGAATTTGGAAATTTTGCTAATTTTGAGAATCCTGAGAATATGTGGGAATACATTTCGACAAGAATCTGTGGTGTGGATAGAATTTTGACGGAAATATTGAAATCTGAAGTTATTCTGCATAACAACTTTTATTCAACAAATTTGGATCGTTACAGTTTTTCTGGGTTACTGCTGCCAGGAATGTTAACGGAATTATAAAAAAATTCAACTTGGGCCGACTGTTTTGATACTTTACTAATCAACTCTTAGATTTTTGGAAGTTTCGGAGTTTTCAGAAATTCAAAAATCCTATTCCGCACACCATTGAATCGAAATCAAACCCGGAAATTGTTTTAGATTATTTCATCCGACATATTAATTAAAAATTAGTTTTTTTTTCCGATGATCCTGACTCAACTGTGTGATTGTCAAAAACATTTCAAAGAACGAGCAAAGAAAGCTTTTAAAAGATCCGAAAATTCAATCAGCAAGCGAAAAATCATAAACCAATAACAGCTCAATCGAAATTGAAAATACATCCAAACTGAATCAATATCTCAAAAATTATACCTGTTTGCAGTAGACCAATCATTCCGGACCAACTCCCATCAGCTTGTTTTGCTCCAAAATCATATAATTGTCCGAACTCTTTCCAAACATCTACCTGAACTGACAAAGTAAAATCCAATTGGGAAAGTATTTTTTCGAGCCCACAATTGTATAATTAACGCCAATTAGTCGAAACGCCAGTTGAAGTACTTCCACCTCTGCTCCTGGATTTTTACAAGTCGGAACTTCAAAACATGTTTGCGCATCCTTTTCAAGCGGAAAAACACCAATCCGAATGTTAGTCATAATGAATAAAATGGTCTGAACCCAAAAGAATGTGACGAAGTAGGTAACTTGATACTTGATATTTCAAAGGACGTTTTCTTATTTTTGACCAGTGCCTGGTTTCTTGGTCAAAGTGGAGACACTGCCAGGTACTAGGCCCACTCGGAATTTCCTGTTTTTAGTATGCACCAAATTTTTAAAATAAAATGTTTCATTTAATGAATAAAATTGAAGGAATGAGGCTCTTTCAGGGCAGCATAATATGACGAGGTTTAGAGAATAAAGAATAAGTGAAGCGATTTTGAAAAAAAGTGTTAGTGAAATGACAGAATATGAACAGACAATGATATAAACTGATTTCAAACCAAAGAAACACCAATAAATTATTAGAAAATTATTGATAAAAGCCAAGGCAACGGTCCACAGCTTTTCTCCAAGTCTCAAAACTCTTCAGAAGACCTTTTCGAGATTCCAAGTTGGGTGTGAAGGTTCGTTCAATTTTGACAAGTTTTTTCAAATCTTGTTTTGTCCAGAGACCTTGTGAATATCCAGCAAGCATTGCAGTTCCACGAGCAGCGACGTGATCCGAGTCAGCCATTCTCTCAATCGGACGACCTAGAAGATTGGCAATGCACTGGCAAATGAAGTTGTTGTTAGAGACACCACCGCAAATTCTGAAAGTAGAAATCTAGTTAAATGCTGTTCTTATTTCAAAAAGCTCGAATACCTGACAGGAGAGTTTTTGTTGATGTAGACTTCTTTTTCAGCAGCTGTGTAGATCTGATAAACACGGAAGGCAATAGATTCCAAGACAGCTCGAACCCTGAAAAAATGAATAGTTTGATTTTTTGATCTCTATCTCTGTTCTCCTTTTGTTTTTTATTCCATTCTTTTGTTGATGTGTACAACACTGGTGTAAGCGTACACAAAGTACGGTATCAGTCCCGCCCAATATAGAAACAATCAAGTCTTATTGGTTTCCAGTAAAACCATACCCCAAGAACAACTTGGCAATTCCTCACGTATTGCCTCATATGCGTCGAAAATCATCAAACAAGTCTCATCAAGGAATGCGATATCCTAGCGGTTCGCGACTACAAAACATACACCAAACAAGAGATGAATTCTGTAGTGGCCCCTTTTCCGTGACTTCTTCTATCTGTTTAGGCGTGATTTGTGACCAGACTCTAGTTCAGAAAGACAACTAAAACTATTAAGAAGGTGATGCGGAAACTACAAAGATACACTTAAACGATTTTGGTTTTCTGGACTTCGAATCGTCTTTTTGATGCGCAAAGTATTATGAATCATAAATAATGAAATTTGGCCTGATTCCTATATGGCTTGATTCCCCATTGAACTCACATATGAACTTTAGAGGTATCTGGTCGAATGCATAAAAATCCTGAGCATGCTGTCTCATCATTCACTGGGGTTTGAATACCACAGAACGCTGGAACAAACACTACTCCATTGGCGTTTTCCACTGATTCTGCGATATCTGAAGTCTCGGTCACATCATCGAAAAGACCGATCGACTGTGCCCAATGTAGAATTACAGCTGTGTCGTGTGCGTTCCCTTCGGCAACAAAATCAGTTTGACCGTTGATTCTCCATCCAACGATCGGGTAAAGACCTGAAACACAGACATACACATCAGTCAAAAATTATCTTCAACGTTGAAAGTTCAGTGTCAAAATCACAAAACACGTCTTCCATTCTACTTCGTCTTCGCATAAATCACATGAGATCAAGAAAATCGGGTCTATCTCTTTCTTCTCTGTGTCAGAATTCACGAAAATCAAAAAGATTGTGATCTGCGCGCGGCAACGCCTTACACCAAAAGATCAGCGACAATTGGGATCAACTGAGACTTACCAGACATGGAAGCGTACGGAATCGTTCCAGTATGAACGTTGACAAATGTTCCAGTACCCAATGTGATCTTGACATCTCCCCGTTCCCAAGTTCCACAACCAAACATGGCGGCTTGTTGATCGGCAATCTGAAACAAGACTTCTAGAGTTATTTTCAAAATTCCGAAAAACTCACAATCGATGAGATCGAAAGTTCACTTCCAACATGTGTACGATCAAGAATGGGGAGTTTTTCCATGTCACTGAGATTTGAATCCACTATCCGGGAAAGCATATCGGTTGGGAATCCAATAATTTTCATAATCAAAACATTGTAGGCTCCCTGAAAAAGTTCAATCGTTGTAATAGTCAAAGACATTCCCACAAAACTTACAATCCACGGATCAAACATTCCAGATGGTGAAACATTGGAAGCTTCCACACACAGCTCATTACTCTTTGAGGATCTCATTAGTAGCCATGTCTCGAGGGATCCAAAGCAAAGATCTCCATCGGCCTTCATTCTTCTCAGCTTCTCTGATCTGTTGATAGTGACAATAAGTCTGTGTGATACCATGGCTCCAAGGAATTTCAGTCGTTGAGCAGCAAGGAAACGGTTCTTTCTTGTCACCATGTGTAAGAATCCGCCTACGATATTAAGAACTTTTAGGATCACCGAATTATTCAGCTGGTGACATGTCTTGTTGGCTCTTTTGTCGTTCCAGCAAATAATCCGTGTCTCTTCTTTTTTAGTTTTTCTGAAAAAAAAAATCAAAAAGTTCCTCCTATCAATTTCCTTTTTTTCCCACTTGTTCCAAAGGACAATCGAATTCCGTTGAGTGCAAAGGCCAATATTGACATGTGCATTTGGTGGGAGGGTTTTGTCTGAAAATAGAGTTGTTTCATTGATATGTTTCAGAAATCATCTTTTCGTCCATAACTTAAGAACACCAGTTTGATTTTTTCTAATCGCAATTGATAAGAGGAAAAAAAATGTGGAACAGCTGCTGGGAGGAAGAATGATAGTTCAACAAATCAAAGAACTAGGTGTGGCCGTTTTTGGAGGCGACATTCAAAAATCTCATCTCTTCTATCCCATTATTCTGATTTGTCATCCTCTTCATTGTCGTTGCATCTTCTTGGCTTTCATGATCTTTTGGAAATAGAATGCAACCGGTTTTTCTGACACCGATCAAATTTTCACACCATTCAGGCGCTTTGATCGGTCAAACTAAAGTAGACTTTTGAAAGTTATCAGTTAGATGAGCTATCAGAACATGATCTAAAAATGTGCCCTTTTTTGTAAAAGAAGAGATCATTGCAACCAATTTGTATTGTTTTTATGATCTCTGCTAGTAGAATTTGATCTCTTTCTCTCCCTAATATCAAATAATCACGGTTCACTATTTGCTGTCTACCTCAAGAATTTTAAAATAAATCACAAGAAAAATATAGTCTTGTTTGCTCAAAATCCTTCCTGTTGAAACTATACATACTCATCATACACAAACCGATCACTCCATATTTCCTATCGCCATTTGATTAAAATGATTACAACATATGAAACCCGAATCGAGTGCAAGTCAGAAATCAACTCACAAACTTTCTCGATAACTCGCACGAATTGCCGAAACATGTGCTCGGGATCAATTTCGACCAGCACCTCATCATCGTTTCCCGTTGAGTAGATAGTGTTGACCTGAAAAAAAAGCAACGAATTATACACAACTTATAGAGCTGAAAAAAGAAAAAGAACTGATATGGATTGTATTGTACCTTTTCTTGATAACTGCCTCGTTCTGTGCAACTGGAATCGTAGAGTACTGAGCGGATGGTGGTGGTGCCGATGTCGACGGTAAGCACGTAGTTTTCTCCATTCATATCCATGTCTAAAATTAGTATTGATTAAGACTACGCCTAAGAGACATCACAAACGAATGAGGCAAGAGAAGGGCTAATCATCCGAAGAGAGCGAATCTTTAAATATACAACCCCACCCCAAAAAAAAAGAAAGGGCCGCGCAATACAGTCTAGTTTTGACAGTGAGATGGACAAGATGAAGAAGACGTCTCGATGGACACCATAGAAGAGTGTGTGTGTGTGTGTGTGTGCAACCGAAAAGAGCGCATCTTTGTTGTGTGACTCGTCATCATTGCAAGAAAAGGCGGGAAAATGGCGAGAGGTGTGGGACGAGAGAGTGCAAGACGCAGACAGTTCTACGGGGGAAATCAGGGGGGCATGGTGGGGGTTCGATACAGTGGTTGGCCCGGTGAGCTGGTGGGGGTAGTTACAGAAATGAGAGAAGAGGAGGACTGGGGTGTGCGTGTGGTGAGAGAAAAAAACCACCTGATCACATTGGAGGTCTACTTCAAATTATTTGCTTGTGAGTTGTTTTCAACAATGATTGTGTATTTTTGTTTTTCGAACGAAACTACCCGTTGTGTTTTGCATCAGTATGTCATTAAAATTTTTTTGATAAAATCGTCAAAAATCATCGGAAATCAACACAAAACCTCCTGAACAAACCATTTAATGATATGCAATAACCAATGGTATTATTTATTATTTAAAGCAACAGGAGAAGTTTCATATTGCGAGATGTTGACAACGCAAAATATAAAAGAAAATTATCCGTAATGAAGACAAACAAGAGTGTCGCTGAAGAGAGAAAAATGCAAAATCAATTATTACAGGCATAACAAAGTGAGGCATTGTGAACAAATTAATTGAAAGAAATCATTCGATGCCACATCGAGAGGACCAAAGGATTCACAGTTTATAGAAAAAACCTGCTTAGTCGAGAAATTAGAACCCAGAAATTGTTCGGTTTTTTGAGTACATATAAGGCATTTTTTGATTAGAGTTTAGAATACCAGATGACTAGTGTTCGGAGAGGAGTTATTCACAGATTACTGTAAGCGAAAAGATAAATAAATAATCAGAAAAAGATGTAAAACAAGTCCATAATCCTAATTGGGAGCGTTGATACGACAATTATCCCCAGTTGAATTTGAATGAGTAGTCACCGCCTCCGCCGCCATGACCACCGCCAAAATGATGGAATCCGTGTGGGAAGCCGCCGCCCCATCTGAAAACGAAAATTAGGTTGTCAAATATATCTTAATCTCGAAACATACCCTCCATGATGTCCACCTTGTTGTCTTTGTGCTTCGGGGTCCAGTGGATCAATTCCTTGGTCGAATTGACGTCGTTTTTCTGGAATTCAAAAAATTGTCATCATCACTGAATCAGATTTTTTCAGACAACACTCTATTTAGGATGTTTGCGTAGACAATCGTAATGTTTTGATTCGATCTCAATAGTACAGAGTACGTCATGAGGGGAAAATGCTGATCGCAATGATTTGATCACGCCGGACGGGGATGATAATTGACGTCATATCTATTCATGTCCAGAAAACCATAATACATACGGTTGAGAGATTACTAACCTTCATCTTGTAGTACCTCCTTGGCGGCAGCAATATCAATGAACTTCTTCTCGGCCTTCTTCTTCTCCTCCTCGTCTGAGAAGTTATCAGGATGCCACTTCTGAGCGAGCTTCCGGTAAGCCTTTGTGATTTCTCTCTTGTTAGCGTTTCGTTTCACTCCAAGAATTTTGTAATAGTCGCGTTTTCCAGCTTGGGTCTTTAGTCGCTTAGCATGTTCAAGTCCTTGTTTAGCTTCGCTGTGCTCCGGATTCACCTCTGTAGCTTTCTGGTAGTCTTCGATAGCTGAAAAAAGCGTTTATTTTGTTGTATGCTTATTTTTCGAACGCACCAGAGTCATAATCCTCTTCGAGAATATAAGCTTCGGCTCTTTCGCACAAAATATCCGCATCAGAAGGATCGTCTTGAAGAATCTGACTACATTCGGCAATAGCTTCACTGACATGTCCGGCTTCTCGTTGACACCTATTTGTGATTCTGAAGACGTTCAGCTGGACTGAAGGCGTTGGGTCGAATTTCAGTGTTTTCTGTCCTTCCTCGAGACACGCCATCCAATCGCTTTTCTCTACTTTCTTTTTCATGGACTCTGAAATAAGGATTGCTTCATGGATGTATGAAGTAGGGATCTTACCGAGAGATTTGACAACCTTCCTGAGCTTCTTGTAGAATGGATAGCAGTTTTTGTGATCTGGATTGAGCTTTAGGCACTCGCGGATGACGCTGAAAGTCATATTTGAGTACGCTAGAGAGCTTTTTGCATCAAACAACTCACTTCAAAGATTCCTCCAAATCTCCAACGGTGTAGAGCAACTTCGATGTGTCGAACATCGTATCCGTACTATCCGTGCTCAGCTTGGAAACAATTCTCATGTCATGAATGGCTTTTTTCAGCTCTCCTCTCTCCTCCAAACACTTGGCACGCATTCTGTATAACGATGCATCCCAGACCTGGACCTCGATGATATGGTTAATGTACTCCTCGACAGTTGAGCAGTCTCCACCAGCGAATGCAGATTTTATTTGATGCCGAAGCTGTCGGTGCTGCTCAATAAGTGCTGTTTTCTCTTGAACTTCTGTGTTTGAGGTGTCATGATTGAGCACGATGTTGTAGTCGTTTTCAGCTGCCTCTAGTTCTCCTTGCTTCAAAAGAATGTTTGCCCTTTGAAGACGAGCCTGCAAATGGAATGTTTATGAGAAGCAGAGATTGTTTAGAGTGTTTCTGGAGTATTGGATGATCAAAGTGTAAACAAAGTTGGATAAGAACCTTCGCAACGGTGTTCTCTCACTTTTATCAGCCAGAGATTCCTGAATTTCATAAAACTCACCCCATAAAAATCAGGTTTCAACTCCAATACACGTTCTAAATCCACGATTGCAGCCATCCCCCGACCCATTGCCAAATATGTTGTTGCTCTACGATACACAGCTTGATAATTCTTTGGATCAAGTTCAATCGCCGCATGGTACTGTGTGAGGGCATCAGCGAATTGGGCCTGAATTGATTTTACTGTGACTTTTGCTGATTTACAACGAATCTTACCCTAGCGAGATGTTGACTACCTAGTTCCAAGTGTTTCGCTACTTCCTCAGCGGTTCCAGCCAATGTTGTGGCTGTAAATATCGATTTTTCCTATTGAAATTCAATTTTTCTTAACTTACCAAATAAACTGGACCATAGGAGAAATATTTGTTGATATAATGTCATTTTTTGTCGGTTAATTATCTGAAAAGAAAACAAAATAAGTAATAAAAGGGCAGCTTTCGAAAAGGAAACGAGAAGGGCAAAAGAAGTAACACCAGACAAATTGCTAGTGAAACTAGGTCAAGTAGACTAGTTCACAGACGTTTCATTTGTAATAGAGAAACACTTTCTCCATGCAGTCAAAACAATTATGGATATACGTGTTTTGGCAATCGAAAAAAGTTGCATTTCTGAACGAAAATCGTGGCAAACTGGGTGTGGAATAAGAAAAAGAGTCAATAACCATTGCGAATAGCGGACGTCGACGTCTGTTTGTGCTATTGCGACCGCTGTGTCTGCGTCTCTTCTCCGGCCGCACTCTTCTGCGCATTAACACACGTCAGCATAAGAAACTTTGCAGTTTTCAATACGTGTCATAAGAAAATGAATATAGGAATATAAAATTGAAAGCTGAGGAAGAAGATTTACAAGATAAAATGTTATTTCAATTGTTTTCTGGGAGTTTCCTATAGATACTTAAGTAAAGTTACAGGTCAAACAAAGAATTGTCAAAAAGTCCGCAACTGCGCGTCATGGTGAACCGCACACATTACATTTGTTTGACCGGCAATGTATAGATAAGATCTTGTTTTATCTCAAACAATTGACCTACAATGTTCACGAGTAATGTGGAATGGATACAAATATTCTAGACTGATTGTATGGGTTGAAGGTTTTGAGTCTGAAAAGTCCAGTCAGAACTACTTCGCCGTTTAAAATCAGTGGCATAAATAAAAAATGCATATACATGGCAAGAGGTAGTGTTCTGATGGTTAAGTTTCGGCTTTTCCAGGGGAGCTGTTAAGATTTCAAGGCAAGAGATAACTGTGAAAAACGCGAAAGTTCACTAGATGATACGATACCAAAATGGATTTTTACAAACAGGTACTGTAAGAAAGCACAGAAACACGGAAAAAACAGGAATCACAAAAAAGCACAGAAACGCATACTTACCAAAAAATAAATGTGCTCCAATCAGAATTTCAGAAACTAGGTTTATTCTCAGAATCTCAGGTTTAGTTAGGGTGAGGCGACATATGATTCTGAAAAATAGGAATGGTGAGAATAATCGTGAAGACGGAGTACATGAGAAAGGGTTATACACTGGACTGGGAAAAAAGGAACGCGGGAGGAGCTTTGGAAAATGATGATAATCGAGTTTAGAGAGTAGGGAGGTGAAGGGTCGTTAATGGAAGCTACTGGCCATGTGGGCATGATTGGGATATGGAATGATTCAAGATCTAAAGACTCTAGAGGAATGAGAAGATGACAATTCCTGTCTCGATCACTAAGAGCCAATATGCTACATGAACGAATGGTGTTTCTTGACTCATAGAGCAAACTACAGGAAGAAAAGAATGTAATGGCTCTAAGGATGTAAACTACATACTATGGATAGTAATCTACGGTGTATTGAGTAATAAGGGGTTTTCAGACTCTTACAGAAACAATGTTTCTATATTTTTTCTGAGGGTCATCAAATACCTTAAATGTTTTCATACACGTTACCCTTGTACGTACTTTGAGACCAATTATATTGGTTACTATGCGAGATATCGAAAATCCGTCAATTAATAATATATTGCTGATGTTATAATAAATAATTCTCCAGTTTGTAATTTTTTGATATCTTTCGAAGAAACCAAGGTAATTAAGCTCAGAGTGTACGTAAAGGGTGAGCTCTCATTAAAGCGAATTCGGCCGTTTTTCTGAGTTTTATCATCGGAGCTTTTTGAATATTTATGAATAAAAATGTATGTTTTGTCGTAAAAACTGTTTTTAGATACTTTTTACACATTAGGAATATCATGCGCTTCAAGATGCTTGAAAATCATTTCCTGGTTCAAGATTTTCATTTCTAACCGAACATAGGAAAAGCTTGTAATTTCATAAATCCCCAAACCAGTTACGTATGTTCATCCAGAACTTGTTGAGGAATTAAAAGTACACCCGATATTTTGAACCTGGATTATCCAAATTTCGAAATTGTTCATATATCACTAATTAGTGAATTAGTAACGCACGTAGGCGGAGCTTTCTCGTTCTCTATTTCTCTGCCTTTGTCACTAAAGACAATATCAGCACATTCACATTCATTCTTTTCTTTTTGAAACAAAGCTTCTTGCTTCAGATTATTTCCACAAACTTTGAGTGAACTGCGAAATGGTATTTGTAAGTTTTTCTTTGTTAATTATGTTATCACTAATGAAGCCCTTTGTGGGGTTTAAAAGCCATCGGTTTCAGAGTGAAGACCCGCTGTTCCAAACAAAAGTTCCATACCCTCCAAAATCTGTATACGAGTTTGAGTCGAGAAACACTTGGCGTTACTTCGCACCAGGGGTAATATTCTCAACTATCATTCAATAGAATCATCAATGAGTATATTTTCAGGAGTACCGAAATGACGAGTATGATGATACTATGAAGGAGATAAGAAAAAAAGAAATGGCAACCATGACAAAGGAAGCGCCGATCAATCCAGATGCCACTACAGATGCTTCGGTTTCTGAAGAATTTGAGGATACTGACGACAAAACCCCATTAATTTCCTCATCTAAAAATTAATAACCTCTCGCTCCCCACTCAATTCTTTGGGATTTTTTCACTTTCCTACTTCTGAATATCCAACCAACTCTAAATAAAAATTTTATCATATTCACACATTATCCAAAAACGCAATTTTTCCAGAAAAAAAAATGATAAGAACAGAGAAGAATGCCTGAATCGGCATAGATCACGTAGCGAGGATATGAATAAAATAAAAACAGGACAAATTTGCTGATGTGAACAACCGCGTAGCTCACACGATTGCGTCTGAACTAGGGCTGACGCAAATATATACATTTATTTTAGGATGGCATAAAAGGGAAAAAAAATCAGATTTTCAAAATCTTGGAATTTTGGAATATTTCGGTTTTTTGAATATCGATATTTCTGAGTCTTCGAATATTGAAACATTCAAGCTTGAATGTAAATCCTGTTTTCCCATCACAAAAAAGCATAAAATTGGTGAAACATTGGCAAACAGACTTCGAAAACGCGAAAAAATGTTGAAAGTTATACCGATCGAGACTCACAAGAACAATTTTATTGACACACCGTAGCCTAAAAAACTAATTCCAAGAAAAAAGCTTCAAAAATATTACGGTCGGAATTTCATTCTGTTCATAATTTTTCTGAATTTTTGGAATTCGGAATTCCGTTCCAAAAATCCCTGGCTAAATTGATCTCGGTCACAAATTTGTCTCCAAAATCTTCTTCCCATCCTGGTTTGAAAAAAAATTGGAAAGATTTTCTGCCCCAAAATTCATGACGTCAAATTAGCTCCGAAAAACTTATTCCCTTGTGGATCTTAATCTTGTTTTTAAATAATTTTTTGAAATTTTGAAACGCACACGCTCAATAACAATGACAATTTTGCTTGGCACGGCCTGGCATCGGATCTCCCTGCGGGGACGGCTGGGCTATATAACTAGTTCCTAATTGCGAGATTTTAACCTCCTGATAACTCATTTATTTTTTTTTCTAGAAATAGGTGCGGAAGAAAAATGTTTAGAGGCATTTCTGGTTTTTGAAATTTTTGATTCCATTCTCATTTTTGCTTGTGGCGTGTATCGCATACCGTGAACCGTCAACTTCGAGCGAATTTATCTAGGTTTCTGTAAATGATATCAAAAACATATCAACTAACGGAATTTTTATCATAATTTCAAAAACAATTTGTCAGTAGAACATTTTTGGATACCTCTCACAGAAAGCAACATAAATTGTTCTAAATTTGAAGGTTAGGGCAAAGGCTTTCTATTCCAGTGTTAATGGTAACATTCTAAATTTCAGAATGGAGTCAAAGAAAAAAATTGATCTCAGCTTCAAAGACATCCCACAGCACGAATGGGAATATTGCCTTCCACCGAAAGCATCTCCGGAGCCAACAGTCCAAGTCCAGGCGGCACCGAAGCACAGCACCGGAGAAGGAAGCTCGTATTCAGTATTGGAGGTAATTGAAAAAAAGATAAACTATACATAAACGATTTTCAGTCGATAACTTCCGCTGTCCGTCGCTTCTTGGTGAATGGAGAGCAAAAAGAAATCAAATTCGATTCATTCTGACTTCTGCGGAATGGATCACCTCTGATAATTATGTCTTATCTCAAATCTCATCTTTTCTTTATCTATGTCTTCATATCCTTTCATATAAATGTTTGTTCCTACAGCTCAATCGGTTCCACTATGAGGTTGTCGTCCTCAAAAATTATACTGAATCATAGTTCCCCAGAGACACGCTCCGAAGACAGTTGAAGAATGGCACTGATTCGACAATGTTATTGAAAGAATCAGCTTAACGCTGACACTTTTTTTTGGATAATTTCGGATTTTTAAAAATTTCAGCTCATTTATTGAGCTTTTCGTTTGTTATTTAATTAATTTTCGTTAATTTCAAAATTTGAAATCAAAAACAGTAATTTTCGTCTTCTGGTGACTGTTTTTTTGGGAAGTGGACGTAAATTTATGTTCTTAAAATGCTCTCTGACTATGTAAATACGTCGTTTGATTGGGGCAAGACGTCGTTATATTAGGCAATGACGTCGTTCAATTAGGTGGAGATTGTCGTGTTACAATGAGTTGTCATTCAAGGCCTTCACAGGAGTTTATACTGAGTCGATTGGAGCAATATGAAGAGCATTCAAACAGAAGCTCGAAACCCAATCATGATGTTTCAGAAGACCAACTCGGCGGCTATATGTGGAAATACATGTTTAGACGCTTTTACGAAAGAAAGAAACTTCGCAACCCTCCTCTCAAACAAGTACCGAGCGGAAGATGAGAATTATTCTTCCAGCGAATCTGATTATTCAAGTGAGAAAAGCTCTATAGTCGAAGACAAGATCTTCTATGAACCTGGAGTATATTTGAGCTAATTCTTCCGATAACAATGACAAGTTAGTGTTATGCCTTCAACATGTACCGCGTTCGGAGCGCGTCCCAAACGTTCTATGATTCAGACAGTAGTTGATCAACTTTGAAGTGCAAATATGAATTATTTTGACTTTTCAAAATATCCCCAAGAAGAGGTAGCGAACACAGTAAAAAACTGGGATCTGATGAAACTATGGACTTCGAAAAAATCTTGTTCTGGAAATTCCGATATTTGAGTATGTTTACAGCTTCCATGGTTTCTTCTGAATTTTTTACCATTATGTTAAAAAATCAGTTTTCAACAATTACCGGCGATCCAAAACTAACGCATCAGTAAATCAAGCAGCTCCGAGCCCTGTTAAATGTGTGCGGACAACTAAACTAGGAGAAATGTGAGGAAGTGGACATTTTTGTTCCTCTCTCTGTGTCCACAATTCAAGCTTCGCCAACAATTCTCAAGATTCTCTTGTATTTGTTTTGTCTTATATAAATTTTTTCTGATTAACAACTGTTTATCGAAGATGAAGAAATTTATTCTGTTGAGGTAACGGTAGGTTTCTGAAAACTATACAAAAATTTCTCAAAGTTCGAAATTATCCACTTACTCGATTTTATGGTGATATGAGCCACTGGCTTGCTTGCAGTGGTAGTGAGTCTGAAAAGTGAAGCTGTTTTTTTCTGAAGTTGATCTGGGTTTGGGGTTTGGTGAATAAGAGCCAGCTATGTGGATAAGTGATTTATTTGTAAGTTATAGGTTATACATAATAGGAAAAAGGCTAAACTGAAATGATGGGTGGTGCTGTCTTTGTCCTATTGGGCAATTCCAGCAATGTGTGTGTGGTAGTTTGCTTAGTGTACTCGGGTAGATGACAATCTCAAACTGGGGTAATTAAACCATTTATTGGATAAAGATATAAAGAAACATTATAAAGATAAAAGAAAAACAATAATGATAGAAGGATATAGAATAGCTCGCCTTGGGCTCGCTTTTATATAAAAAATATGGGGTGGAGTTAACAGTAGATAGAAAGGATAGGAATGTGCGGGGGAAACGATAAAAACTAATGGACAGGAGATAAATCATGGGACAAAATGAACTTTGTCCAGATAGAAAAAACCCAAAAGAATACACAATTATGAAATTTGGTATAAAGGGGTGACTCGAATCCGACTTATGAAATAGGGACATAAAGTGTGGGGTACGGAAGGCCTCCGCGAAAGAAGGGAAGAAGGGTGTTTATATGAGCTTCGGGGGCGTTCCAACCATGTCAGGTGGCTTGGTAGGAGCGTGGGTTGGTAGAGCTGGCCGGACGTGGTATTGGTCTGAAATTTAAGAGTTAGAGTCTGTTGAGAATAAGGTGATTTAGAAAATCCAATTTCTGCAAAACCCTAAGTGCCTATCTGTCTTGGACAGAAACAAGGATGTCTCCTCGTCTTAGAAATGTTGAAAAAAAAAGTCTAGAGATGACTAAAGTACACTTGAGTGAATCTTAGAATAACTAAGTACCTAATTTGAACATACTAAGGTATTTAGAATACCTTACACCTACCACCTTAGATTAGGACCGACCCTGGTCTATTGAAGGCATACATGTGGATGGCCGGGCCGGGCCGGGCCGGGCCGGGTCGGCCCGCTTGTCTCAAAACCCTCGGCCCAGCCCAGCCCGCTCGGCCCGCCTAGGACAACTTTTCGAAAATGTTACTTTTCAAATGTGCCAATATATTTTTAATAGCACAAATATTAATCGAAATGCATATAACCATCCGAAAAAGTCAATTTAATTGAAATTGAGTGCTGTCATTGTCCTATTGGCTTTTAGAAAAATCTCAGCCCGGCCCGGGCCGGCCATCTTTTCCACAAGTATGATTGAAGGAAAACTATTTTTGAAAAATGTTGTAAATCTAATACAGCAAACCTGCTGAACCGAGCAAGAAGTGGGCTAGATGCATCTCCTAGTGCTCGGTTTCCTGACAACGAAGAACGTCAGCAGCCTTCGATCGAGGGCATCGTGGGATCTGGTCCAGCACATCTCGCCATATTCCCGATTTAAAAGCACTGGAAACGTCAGGAGGATGCACAACTTCTTGGTTCTTGTAATGACGATGTTGAGGATGTCATCAATTAAGTCGGTCTCCATGCTTTCTGGTCAGCTTTCTTTTTTCTTTTTCCTTTCTGGCTTTTGAGCTGAAGATGTCCGGGTGGTGACTATGATATAGATGTCACACTCTTGGCCTTGAGATTTCTTTTGCCAAGTGACCGGCTTGAGCTTTGTAAAAAGAGAGCCCTCCGATTGTGCGCAATTCTCTTTGCCTTGACAACCTGCGGATGAGGAGAAAAGCGACGTCGGCTTCTTCAGGATTGAGCATTGACTTTCCTGCTGATTGTAGACGCGAGAAGTTTCCGGTGTCCACAATTTGAATAGGGTACTGCGAGGAGAAACCCAATAAGCCGGCATTTCTGGCTCTGGGCGAAGCATGACGATTTCGAATAGGCAGCGTCTGACAAAATCGATGTTGAATGGACGAATCTTGCTTGATGCTGATCCTAGCAAATCTCCCACCGTAAATTGACGGAGATTGTCTGATAAATACCTTACAGGTGGAGTAGGGTCAGAGGTGACAGTGTCGGAATGGATGGGTACAGCGTTCTGTTCGGGGTGTGGAGTTTGACTTGTAGAAACGTCCGTGTGCTCTGAGAGCTCTGCAAATGCTTCAATTTGAGATTCTCAAATTATTATACTCGTATTTGAATATTCAAAGTCTGTCAAAATGAAAAGTAATCATACGCCAAAAAAATTAATGAAAGCAGCGAAGGATATGCATAACCACATCAGGAATACTACAATTTTCTAGAATATCAGTGAGAATACTCACACACATTTTCTGAATAAAGCTGCTACTTGATCCATTGACCAATCCTGTAGTTTTTATAAAATAATTTTCAAAAGTATCTAAAAGAAAACTCACGTCGATTCTCGCTGAAGACATTCCTCGATCGAAGCTCTTTCTATCATTTTGCATAATTTTTTGAATGGAATAGCAGTTTAGAAAAATAAATTTGGGAGTTTTCAGAATCAATTCATAAGATTCGTGCCTAGAAACTCCCGGAATGAGGTGAGGCCTCCGTAATCAGATGGTGGCCAGTGGAAAAAACGATTGATGAAAAATGCCCGACGTTGTACAGGGGCGGTACAGCAAAGAAAAGCTTTGAGAGGGTTTAGTGTAAAGTCAACACAGAAAATACAGAAACATTCTTCTTTAAAATATTTTGATCAGAGGATGAAAACAAAAAACTTCTGTTTTCGGTGTCAAATTTTTATATTTTTTGAATGGAAGTAATTCTCAAAAGTTGAACTGAAATGCAAGAAAAATGTCAAAAATTATCCATTGAGAGTTTGAACCCTTTTCAAGTATTTTTTTTAAGAGTCAGAGGAGGAGTTTGAGAACAAGAATTAAAGACCTGCATTTTTACGGACTATATTTTCATAACAGAGCCGCTCAATTTATACTTTATAGGAAAATGAAACAGATACATGTTATTGGAATATATATATATATATATATATATATATATATATATTTGATTTTCCATGGACCTGGAGGCGCTGAGCTGCTTTTCTCTCTTAAACTCCTGAAAGCTTTTTTTTCAATTATCATTCATTCAAAGAAATATAGATCAAATTATCCGACAAAAATGTGACAAACGTTACAATTTTTCTAGAAAACAAAAAAAGATTGTCGAGAACGTTGAGCAGGAATTAAATTAATACTGGGCAAAGTGAGAACTCTTTCAACCAAAGAAAATTGATCAATTTGAAATGAGACATATAAAGATGATAGATAGCTAAAGAAATGGAAATTGATTATAAAATGGATTGATTTCTGGTGAGTTGTCATTCAAATTTGATGATAGGAGGCATGAGGAATGGAGATGATTTGAATATATTGAATTAGATTTTTTTCTGGGAGCGGTTTACTGTAGAAGAACAAGCAGACGAGTTGTTGTTGTTGTTGTTTTGGCTACGGGTGCGCTTGGCGGAAGAGCTTAAAATTATCAATTTCCTGTTGGAACACTTCAAGAAATGATTATTTTTTCAGAATTTCAAGTCAAAATCTAACATCTTTTATCTAACAGAAATCTTAAAATTCTTTAGCGTTGGTTAGATGCAAAGCCAACAAAAAGAGATTTACCGCTTAAAACCAACCATGTGCTAAAACTTATATTGATAACACTGAATTCAGAGTTTTAACCTTTCCAAGCTGTTTGTCTCTTTTGGATGAATTCGCCTTTTTTGAGTGAAAATTTCCACTTCAAAATTGAAGCTCTATTTATGTTATGAAGACAAGAGAGTTTTCAGTTTCATCAAAAAAAGTTCGATTAGTTTTTTGGAAAAACATTTATGGACTTTTGACGGGGACTACAACTGCTATTGTTCAAATCAAAAACCCGGTGTCTCTTTTTTCTATTCTCTCAATTATTTCATAAGTTCTTCTTTCTCCCATATTTTCTCTTCTTCCCAGTTTCACATTATTATACATTTTAAACTGCCCAACCCATCTTATCTGATGGCGCTTGTAATTTTTGGCAGACTGATCACAAAACTGATCATGGAAACAAAAAAGAATGCAAGGAAGTAATCATTTTATTCAAAAAATTGACAAATTGAAAAATTGGCAGAATGCAAGAAATCACACTAAAATCACACTCGATCTTCCGGAAAAACAAAACTGCTAAGAATTTTGGATAACGACTGATGTAACTCATTTGGCGGTTGATTTGTAATCGAATTAACAAAAAATTTACTAGCACTCGTTCATCATAACCCACCGTTTCCAAATTTGGACCCGTATTGGTTTCAAAAGGAACGTTCACTTCATTCTCAACCAACGTATTCTTCATTGTTTCAGCAAACTTTCTGTCTTTCGATTTTCTTTTCGAAAACCAGTCTCTGATCTGAAAATTCAATTTTGAAGAAAGATAGGGTGTGATTGCTTTACCTTTTTTCTGTCCTGTCCAGTTTGCACAACAAGATCTCCATATGGTATTTTGAATGAGCTTCCTCCAATCTCGGCAAGCTCTGCTTTGAAATGATATTGCTCGAACAACTTCAATTGACTTTGAGAAAACACGCTGCTTCTCTGAAAATTTTCTTTTTAGTTTGATGGCAATTATCAATTGTCACGTACAGATATTCCTTTTCTAAGTTGTTCTTCTCTCATTATCAGTCTTCTTTTTCTGTCTTTCTCATTGCCTCTACCATCTTGCTTCCGGCGTTGATTACATAGCCAGTTGTTTACTTGCTTTATTGTTAAACCGGTTTTACCACTCATTTCTCTTGTGAGTTCAGGCGTCCATCTTCCAGGTAGTGAGTTTTCTCCAAAAGCAAACGTATCTTCAAGAATTCTTCGCTGCTCATCTGTGAACTCGTATTGCTGACGAGGTGGCGGAGGTACATATTTTCCATCCCTCTCGTCTCTTTTTCTTAAACGTGAAAGAGTATCTCGAACCTAAAACGGTGGGTTATGATGAAACGAGTGCTAGTAAATTTTTTGTTAATTCGATTACAAATCAACCGCCAAATGAGTTACATCAGTCGTTATCCAAAATTCTTAGCAGTTTTGTTTTTCCGGAAGATCGAGTGTGATTTTAGTGTGATTTCTTGCATTCTGCCAATTTTTCAATTTGTCAATTTTTTGAATAAAATGATTACTTCCTTGCATTCTTTTTTGTTTCCATGATCAGTTTTGTGATCAGTCTGCCAAAAATTACAAGCGCCATCAGATAAGATGGGTTGGGCAGTTTAAAATGTATAATAATGTGAAACTGGGAAGAAGAGAAAATATGGGAGAAAGAACATTCCTACTGTATTCTCCACTGGGAAATGACGCGATGGATATGCTAGCTCTTTCGAAATTTTTTGAGCAAGAAAATGTGAAAAGGGATCGGTAAAAGTGGAATGGTAGGATGCGATTGTTTAGTATCTGGAGGTTTAACATATCATGTTTGAAACAAACAAGCTTTGAGCGAGCGTTTGAGCAAAAGAAAAAATTTTAGGGCAAACTAAATGCAAAAGAACCTGTCGCAGCCGAGATAGCCTGATATTTTTGTTTAAGCTAGCTCTTGTTTATCGTCCAGGCTTCCTCGTCATTATTCTCTATCACAGTTTACTCCTAATGCCGTAATTGGTCACCCTTTTTCCAAGATTTGGTCACACTATCGGTGAGTATAAACGAAACGGTTTCGGAGCGAAACAGTTAGTTCGCATACGGGGCGCTTCAAAGAGGCTCATTGAATTGGTTTATTATATGAGAGAGGACGGTAGTAGAACGGCAGACATAAAAAAAAAACATCCAGAAAAAGGAAACCGCGATTAAGATCATGATTGCCGACAGAGTTAAGGATTGATGTAAACCATGTGCTACGAATCGTTAGGTAGATGAGGTGCTCGTGGTCTTATAAGATAGTGAATAGTGAATATTCTTGCCATGTGGAGTCACGTTGCCTTTTTATACTGTTTGTAACTGTAGACTGAATACTGTCTGTAGTGTTATTCTAGTGATGATACTAGGCAGAATTCTCTCGGATATTATCAAAAATTGTTATTGCAAGCCTGAGCCAATTGTGGTATCGGCAGCCTGGTCTACGGTAGAAAAGTGTTTCTACCTGGACCGCCTTCCGAAACCAACAAAAGCTGAGCTTTGTGACAGGTGACTGTATTTTTAGGGGCTGTCTAATTTCCTGTTCTTCTCTTTGAACCATCACAGTTAATAGCCGAGCCCGAGTCAGTGTCAAACGGTTGTACATTAGGTTTTTAGCAATTTCGGTTACAGTTTTGTTCGAGGCGTTTTCTGTTTGGATGTTGTATCTTTCTATCAAATCATTGTGCAAAAAAGTAGTGAACCACAAAAATAATGGTAGAATTATATTTTTGAGTTGTGTTTTCTGAAAATGTCAAATCAAGGACTAAATATTTATTCAGGCATACAAATCGACCGGTGTCAGTTGAAATAGTCTTTTTGAAATAGGGCGCACATCATGGTCATCACAGCAGAAAAATTGGGAAACGGAAAAATCGAACCTGATTGTGAAATCCTACAGCCCTATGAAACATTCAGAAAATAACGCAAACAATTATTTAATCCTCAGAACTTTCGAAAATGTTCGAGGCGCCAAAAAAACGTAACCGTAAGAAACTGTCGGCACCATTTCCGCAAAAAATCTGAAAGCATTTTTTTTGCATAACTAATGTTGTATCAGACAAAGAGTGCTGCGAACAATTTCGCTTTTGCAGTTCTTTTTATCTTCAGTATGCTACCGTATTCCTTCTATAATCATCCCTTTCTACGTTTCACGCTAAACACATTTCGTTTTTCATAAGGTATAATATGCTCTCAGCTACCGTATGCTTTTCGTAGTCATCTCTCTTTCCTCTCACTTTCTCTATTTTTCCTGACCTAATTAGTCACCTAATGACCAAAATTTGAATCCGCTGTACGATTTAGGAAAGTTGTGAGTCAAAGAGGGGGATTAGCGAGCGATGCAGGTGAATAACTGGCTACTGATGGGTTGCTTCATAAGGAGCTCATCATCTCAATGTGTCGAAAGGGGTATACGCAGAGAGGAGTAAAAAAGAACGAAACAAAAACCTGCTCGTCAGCTGGACCATACCTGTGACATAAATACGGTTATCTTCTCAGGAAAAATACAAGATGCGTTTGAAAGTTGGCTAAACGGGTGACAATGAAGCTTTAAAATTTTACAAAAAGAAATCAGTCAACATATTTTGTATACATCAGTCGGTTAGCTTCATTTGTTGAAAAATGGTTAGATAAACTATAGTAGAAATCGATGAGCATCTGAGAATAATCTGTTTGAAGTTTCAGATGAAATCAAACGTTTAGGACTAATCTCTGCATATCATGTCCGAATCATGAAAAACATTGAGGTCGTAAAACTGTGATGGGCTTGTTGTCAATTTTCCCCATTGTCTTGGGACAGTGACAACTTGAAAACGCTATAACCCAGAGTCTCCCGATTTTCCCCATAAAATCCCTCTGGATTATCCGTTTTAATCGGGTCATATTCATCCCCCTTCTTATCACACTCCGTTCACTAATCACAATCAATTGTTTCGTTCGCTAACTTAAATATAATTTGAATAAGCGCCAACACGTGCCGCGACACGCGTCGCGCCGCTCGGCATTAGCGCCGACTTGAGCGGCGCATTCCGCGCACGCTCACAGACGAATTGTTCGTATCAGGGAGACGGGTATCTCCCTTCGTCTGACCGCTATGCGGTCCCTTTCTACTTTTATTATAGTTTCAGACTATTTCCTACGTTTGGCAATGTTATGGTTTTGCTAGCAACAGTTTTTGAGGGCAGCAAGGTTTCCTCCGGTAGCTCCCAGGAGGTTTTAGTCCTACACCTTTACCTCTTTTCTGTATCGCTTTCTTTTACCCATTACTATTGTCTTTGCCGTTTATTCGACCCTCTTTCCTTCAATAAATTGGGATTCGAATAGCTTGCGTACTGTTATGCACTTGCACCGCTTATCTTACACATTGGGGGGTTTGGGGGTCTTTTACAGGTAAACAAGTCTCTCTGGTTAGGACGTTGGATCGGTCTCGACTGACCTCGGATCCACTGTCAACAGGGCTCACACAAGTAAGCTCGAGTTCAGTCAAGCCCACTGTGTGTGAATTATCAATTTTTTTGGCGGCTTACATCAATAATCGGGACAAGATTGATAAGTTACGAAAAATCAAAGACACAAGCCGCCACATGGGGCAATCTACAGGAGGGATGCTTTTAGACAGGCTAATTGGTTTGCTGCAAAGACAGAAGAGGAACAACTTGTATAACATAATGGTGGATGATGTAAATGTCGTCAAAAAACCATCTGCGCGACAAAATTTTTGAAATGGCTGGAAAAGTTTTCAATCAATTGAATGTTGCGAAAAATGAATTTATCATATTTTGCCAACTTTTACCAAACGTTTGCTCATTCTTAACAAATTTTGAGTATATTCTTGTGAAATAATTTGGCTCTTTTTACTTTCAAACGTGGTTGCAATTAATCAAACCCAATTTTATTTTTTGTTTCCCATAAAAATGGTGTTTTCCGAAAAAAATAATATTGTTCGAATTTCTCAGATGAAAATCTATTTTATGATCGAAAAGTTTTCATTGCACATACTTATGTCTTTTCCTAATTTCAGGATTTTCTAAGGGGTGCTCCAACCAAAATTATCAGGATTAGCGTTTTATCCGAATGAAGCTAATGGCTTGGATAGGTGACATCAAAAATAGTAATTAACAGCTTAAAAAAGACCTCAAAGGGAAAGGAATAAGTGTACCGTTTAGCAGGTGTTTTCTAATGGTGGTCGAGCGGAAGATTGCGCCAATTAGTGTTGAGCAGTACCACCTGTTACCTACCGTATCTAAAATTTGTCCAGATTAAGAGGAAAGGCGGCAGATTTATAACTGGAATTTAATGATAATAGAAATCAACTTCTTCTGCGAAAACCAGAAAATGAAAAATGCATTCTTGGTTCTCATTGTGCATAGATTTCGAAAAAAAATCCCGGTTTTTCAATTGGTAGTCTTTTTCTGAACATTTTAATTTTCTATATTTGCCCAATGTTGTTAACTGTTTTCATTCAGATAGTATGCTAGATGTTGAGATTCACAAATTATCAGGTTGATTTTCTTTTATTTTCAGTATGCTTACTTCTCGTATTCATTATATTCCAAAGAAAAAAGTATTCGAAAGTCTCAAAGTTTATAAACTGTGCAAATTCATTTAACAAGGTGATGATTATAAAAAAGAATTCTTAGTGGCTGGTTTTGTCATCGGCAGACGAAGTTAATGTCTCTTTTTCGGCTGCATCCGATTTTTCCTTTTCGGCAGCAACAACCTTTTCCTTCATTGCTCTCTCATCCTCTTCATCCGTTGGAATAGCAAAAAGCTTTCTCATTTCTTCTGGATTCAATCCTCTGGCCTGTAGAGCTACATGTTTGCACGCATAACTTAGAAGCACTGGGATGTCCAAATAACAAACAGCTTTGATTAATTTGAATAATTGTTTATTGTTGAGTTGATCCAGATACGTTTTGTCCCAATCCGGAATAGTAACTTCGTGTGGCTCTTCTTCGACTAAATCATCTTTACAGTGTACCGTACACCAATGGACAATGAATTTTAATGTTGCCGAGTCGATATTATCAATTGGAATTGGATTCTCTGGAGATTGACCAAGGATTTCAATCAAGGAATCGAGGGTTTTTGAGTGTTTTGCACCCGATCGGCATATTCTGATTCGTGTTCCATCAAGACACTCGAGTTCGTAGAAGACATCCACATGGAATTGGGATTCGGTAGCAGGTTTGGTGTCTGGAGTATCGGCAGCTGGTGGAAAATCGGTAGCGACATCCGGTACATCCTTGTCGCCCGATGACATTGCTCGTCTGAAGAGATTGTCAAGTTCTGGAATGTAATGAAGTTTTGTAACGATTGTTGAAGCGTTTTCACGATAGAAAAGAAATATTGAGAAACAATATGCGTTCTTACTGAATGAGTTCATTTTTCACTTGTCAAAAAATCTCCTTATTTTCTTTCGAATTTCGAAGAAAATTTTTGATTTTTTTAAAGTTGTGGATTAGAAACTGATCCGTGCCAAAATGCGAAACGCTCAGAAAAACGGAAAAGGAGAGTTATCACTCAATGTTTTATCTCGGAAGGGGGCAGTGTTTACGTGGGCGTTTTGTGTGTGGTGGTCCTTTCTATTTTGCGTTTTCGCAGAGGTTGACTCGATCAAATTTGCGATGGTGGGATAACTACAGTATGTTCGAGTAATGAATTTCTAGTTTTTTAGTTCCCCTGACCATATGGTTGTACTGAAACCGTTCAAACTCACAAGGGAAGTGTTTTCAGAGGGGCGTTGAGAATTAGCTCAAAATTTGTACAAAGGTACTTTCGAACGTGCTGAATACGATTTCAGCAATATCTCGGTCATAACCCTAATAGGAACAAAAATATAGGCTCTCAAAGTGTTTTCAGTACTTAATTTTGACCAAAAACGTGCATTTTTCGAGATTTAAAACTCTTTTTCCAGGATTTTTTCAAGCGGGAAACTCTTTTTTGATCATTTTTCTATCATCTGAAATATTTTTTGTGCAATTTCAAAAAAAAAATCGATTTTTTTTTTGAAAAAAAAATCATCATGGGGCACCCCACACTTTAAAAGTGATTTTTTGAGAAATTTTTTGAAAGTGCAAAAAAGTCTTTCAAACATTCAGAAATGATAGCAACATCATTTTCACAGAATTTGGCAGCTTGATTTCGTCTGTGAGCCCTTATAATTCCCAAAATCTGATAATTGCAAGAAATTTGAAAAACTGTAACTTCTCAAATATTGCTCAAAATCGCACGGAATACACAGAAATATGCAAAGATCATTTGGGTGATAGATTTGGTGGTGTTCCACTCAAAAAAGAGCAAGACGGAGCAATTCCGAGAATCGAAAGTTTTGCTTATGGGCGATAGGACGTCTAAAAAAACAATATTTCAAAATTTCTTCAAAATTTCAAACGCCTTCTTTTTCACTTTGAAAATGTCGGGAATTCGTCAAATAAGTATAATTTGTTATTCAGGGGACCAAAATGGATATCGAAAATTTGTCTCGAAAAAAACAAAAAAAAGATTTACCACAGTGGGGTTTGAACCACCATAGTCACTCCTAATGAGTCTACCTCTTACCACAACATTACACATCCGATATTTTCCTCTGGCGCGGAGTGCGTAAAGGAGAGAGGGGCGTGGAGTGAGGGAGAGGGCGAAATCGACCAAAAATTTTCAGACGAAGATTTTCAGCTTGTTGATGATACTATGATCTAGATTTTTTCGTCATCGTGTTGCGGATATCTCAAACTATCAGTACTGAAATTTTTAGAAAATTCTCAACGCCCCACTGAAAACACTTCCCTTGTCAGGATACTTTTCATACTTTCAATTTTTCAATACGTTTGGTTATTTTTCGCAAAAACGTGTTAAAAAAATAACAAACTTATCATCATGTTCAAATGGTCAAAAAATGAAGTAAAAAACCATCGAATGTTCAAACTTTTCAAGAGTTATTTTTTCAAAAAAAATCCGAAAAATTTACGTGAAAAAAAGAAATTCAAACCTTATTTCTACAATTTCGAAAAAAATAACGCTGATATTTCATACTAATTGATTGGCAAATATCTCCAGAAGCTCGAAAAATCGTTTTAAAAAAGTGAGGCGAGAAAACAGCTAGTGACATCCATCGCTACGCATTGAAAAAGAGACGCAGGAAAAACAAATGTGCCCCTCTGCACTTTATGTAAATTTCGTTTGTAAGCGTTCCTTTCCACGTTCGCTTGGTTGGAAGTGAAAAAGAAAAAGTTTAAAAAATCGTGATTCATAAAAGATTATCTCTTTTTCAGATACGATTGAAAACCGCAAAATGTTTGGACCAAATTGACTGAATCGGTTTGCACAGAAACGAGACAAATCGTAAAAGTTAGATTGCTAAACTTTATCAAGCGAAAGTGTCAATCTATTAGAAATTACCTTCGGAAAGTACAAGAAATGGAACGATTTGTGTTGAATACACATTTCCTAACGAAAAAAAAACTAAAAGACAGGCAAAAGAAATGCATCTTGGCTATGTGTCTTGCCAACCAGCTGGCGGTGTCGGAGTGAGGAAATCAATACAGAAAATGGAGAGCGTAGAGAAACAGAACGAAATAGCCCCGTGTATCGATTTTTTGGCACTTCAAAAACAGAAGTTGCTGAGAGTGAATGCGAGAAAAAAAAACAGTAAGAAAAATTCATATTGATAATGAATAATGAAAGGACTATTGTAATAGTTTTAAATATAGGGAAAATAAATTTCAAGATGTTTTCTGTAGACTTTTTCCGACTTCCGACTATTTTTTCACTCTAGATTTTCAACAAACGGCAGTTTGTACAAAACCTTTAAAAAAAATAACTAACTGAAGGTAGCAATTACACTAAAATTCAACTCCCAACTTATTCCGACCACCTCCTCGTGTCCGTGTCGCTGCACTTTCTCTGCCCCGCTATTCTCCGCCTCGCTCCCCTCTTTCTGTCTACTACTTGTTTCGACTGCGCCCTGAGTGTCTTGTCCGCCTCATTGGCTCAGTGGCAGAGCGTCTGTCTAGTAAACAGAAGGTCGCTGGTTCGATTCCAGCATGAGGCACCGAACTTTTTTACTTTTTTCTATAACCTTTTCAAGGAAAAGAAAAGCACACGTTTTATTAAATAATTGACTAATTTTCAAACTGGCCCAAGCATATATCACAGTTATCAAAAAACCGGAGAAATAGTTACAAAGTGATAAATAAATAGGAAAAATAACATATATACCGTCAACACTCTAATGGAAACCTTACAAACTTTAACTTTGAGCCAGTTCAGCTCAGTTTCTGCAGAAGAAATCAAAAAGTAGCTAACTGGCAGAACACTTTTGATGTTATGGCAAACGTTTTGTCAGTTGATCATTTTTAAAACCTTTTACAGAAAGTGAGAAATATGCTCAAAGTGGGCGGTTTTGGGAGCATTCTGTTAAAGTATTAACGGTAAAATTGAACATTACAAATCAGACAAATACAGTCCCATTGAATCCTTTGGCAGGTCCTCTATAGGTCATTTTGAAGTTGTCTCCGTTTTCGATGAAGTGGCATTTCTTCTCGCCGAACAAATTGTGACTCAAGACTCCTGAAACCACATTGAAGATTATGAATTTTTCTGAAAAAGTCTAGTTCCAACCTGGAGTGCCACTGATTTTATCTATCAGATCTTTTTCAGTTTTGTCTGGGTGTCCCTTGTCTCTGGTTCTCCAATCCATTGGTGGTACCCATTCGATGAAGATTCGATGCTCTTTTGAATCGATGTTCGAACGAAGGCTCATAATTCCTCCATGCTCATCTTGCCAAGTCTTGGAGAGCTTGTACCCAGCCGAATTGTGATGCAGTTCAATTGGGATCCCTGCGAAGCTGGTTTTGAAGATCTCCATTCCGGAGCGAATGAAACAGACAATTTTCGCCTGTTTCATCATGGCTCTCGGGAAATCGGAAGCGGCGTTTGACTTGACATACATCGGATTTTCAAGCTAAAAATTGCACAAGTTTTCAGAAAAGTTCGCAGAACACAAACCCCATCAATGGTGTAGATAACATTGATGGCATCCAAATAGCAATCTAACTCCGGGATCACCATTGAGTTTTCCGGAAAATAAGTTTTGATTTTCTGCTTTTGAAAGTCTTCGAGCATCTGAAAAAAAATTTGAGTAAGTTTGTAATTGGCCGATATATACCTGAGGCTTGAACACCGCAAATCGGATATTTTTCTCTTGCATCATTTTTTTTGTGGCGGAAGATCTCCAAAACGAGAAAATCAATCGCTAGTCCCGAACCAAGACCAATAGTTGTCCCGGGATATTCGAGAATATGATCCACGATGGATTTGGCGAATTCCTTATGCTTTTTCTCTATTTTTCGCTCAACGTCCTTTGCGGTAATTTTCTTCTCAAAGAAAAATGAAGACACAAAGCAAAGAAAAGCAAGCATTTCTGAAATTCAAAAAGTAAAAAACAAAATGTTCCCAATAAAATTTTTCTTGAGAATATGTCAATTTTTTTCAAAAAAAAATTCTATCACAAAGGAACATCACTTTTAAAACCCAGATTTCGATGATAATTTTAAAATAATAAAAAGATTTTATGCGAATATTAGGCTTTTTGATAAAAAGTTTAGGCTGGAAAAATAGATTAAGACACCTCTGAAAATTTTAGGATTTGATTGCAAGTTACATCCGAGTTCTACCAGTTTGATTACCAAATACTGTATTTTCAAAGCAAAACCAGAAATTTCAAAATCGATTTTCTCAAATTCTAAGACGTTTGAGAACATGAAAGTTATTGTGAATAATAAAAAACGATTTTCGTCGCTTCGCTCCTCTGTCTTACTCAAAGGGTCTATATTTTATTTCAACATTTATATTTTATTTCAACTTTTTCAACGTGTTCGTACAAACAAACCGAGAAAAAGCGCAACTTCATTTATTATATAAATGATAAAACGAATTTCAGGTTCTGAAATGTCCTAGAAGATGAGAAAATCTATTAGAAAAAGCGCAGCTTTACACTGAAAATGCGATTTTTGGTACTGAAACTGATATAACTCTGCTAAAATTAGAGAGCGGATTCTAAAATTTTCAGGTGTGTCTAGATAGGCTATTCATTTCGTATTCTTAGAATTTCATAAAAATCAAGGTTTACAAAGTGTTGAGATGTTCTTGCTAGCCAATAAGGTGATAGTTTTCAAAGACAAAATGATGAAGCCTAACTTTGATAATTTTTAAATTTTGAAATTTAAAAATTTGTAACTGTTATATTTTTTACTAGAAAAACTTTAAGAAAAAATATGGCAAGATGGTCTGAAGTTTTTCATAACACAGTTGCGTAAATAGAAACAATAAGAAAGAAAAAACAACAGATTGCTCGCTCGCAGAAATCCCCAATTATGAAGATTAAAAAATTTCAGAGCTTTTTAGAACACTGATTGTGACTGACTCGACACTGACACTGACTCGAGTGCCACCAAATGTCATAAAAACAGTCATAGTGGTCTAACAGTCGATTTCGTTCCACGAATGATCATTGATCTCAATCAATGACTAATTCTTTTCTAGAACAAAACAATATTTCAAAATTCGAGAACGTTTACCAAAACAATTTGCATATAGTGTTCGTGGCGGTTGGTACTATCACATGATTCATCGCGAAATCGACGTGTTTCACAAAATCCGCGAGCGGTTTATTATCGAATGGTATGGGAACGCTGAAAGAATTGAAGATGGACGAGCTGAAAAAAATATGTGTGTAAATTTTGCATGGGAAAAACATACACTTTTTGGAACAAAATGTTCGAGTATTGAAAGTTACTATCAATGTGATACCATAGTTGCTTCAATAGAAGGTCATCCAGCCTGTCTTATTTGAGCTGAATCATCTTGATTTCTGTGGAAGACTTCAAAAAAGTGTCAACTGATAAATTGTTTATCATATTATCTTTAATATTCTATACATTGGCAAAATTCTGATATCTTTTACCGAAATAGAGACAATTGAGCTCAAAGCTCACTTTTCAGCGGGCTTTTCAAAAGCGAATACGCTAGTTTGATTGCAAGCCATTTTTCAACAAAAGAAGAATTCGTATGAGCATGAGACAAGGCTATTACAAGACCATGTCACCAATTAAGCTTTTTTCCCTATATATTTCAACATACGCGAAAAAAGTCAATCACACCACTAACACTTTATTGGCTTCAATTTCATTTTGAAAATTGAGAAAGGAAAAAAAAATCTACGAAAATTCCAAGACAATAAGGTAACCAACATCAAGAGCAGAAAAAGAAAAAAAGAAGGGTCATCCACTTCAAACGATGAACTAATTTGTCATGGTTTTATCTGAATTTGGCTACTAGCGACTATAAATAACTTTGCAACTTTTTCTAGGAATAAAACAAAAAATGATTTGTTTTTCTTCAGACTTGTTCAAAATTTCAAATGAAGATTTTTTCAAAAAAACAGACCTAGACTGAAAACTATGTATTTGCAGATTTTTTTTCTGAAAATTCCGTGTTTATCAGTTATCTGTTAATTTTTTATGTCTGTTTTAAATCCTCCAAAATATTCAAAGTGGTCAGACATTTAACATCCGAGCTCCAGACTCCTGAAAATAGTAAAGATCAACTGAAAAACGCTTTTTTGTATATCTTACTGATCGGTACTGTATATGGGATCAATCATATGTGCTTCTGTGAGTAGCACATTGTAGTACTAGCTCAAATGTTGACGTTGACCACTTTTTATTTACTCTCTCTCATCCCATTTTATCAGTTTTCTCGCGCTCAACCTACCCATTCCTATTTGAGCCGTCGTGACCCATCTTGACTATCTCCATCAACACATGTTGCAAATCTGGCAATTATGTGAAGACGATTGGAAAAATATGTGTGACTCTTCCTTATTTAGCATGCGACAAAAAGAAAACGATCATTCAATGTTCAGTCTTTCGAAGGGTTCTTGATGACAGCTGGAAGTGTGCACGTCGTCTGCGTGATGAATGCCGCAAAAGAAAAGACGACGCATCCTTTGCCCTCTCGACGGGATTTCCATCCGTTTACCGTATTCATCATTCTTCTAGTTGACAGCTCACCATATTCACACCCTCCCTCTTTTTGACCGCCGGCTGTCGCCTTCTCCTCTTTCTTCCTTCATCTTTTTTGCATCTTCAGCTGCTTTTTTGAACAATTGAAACAGATATACACCGCACACACTCATTCCATCCCATCTTCATCTTCACCCATCATCTTCAAATACCTCGTTTTTCTTCCTTCCATCTCGATTCTAATCGTTCAGCACCTTAGCGCCACCTGTACACATTCTTCGCGCATTACTAATAAAAATAAGCAAAACTGAGGCGCCCTCATCCTCGTTTTTTCTCTCATATCATAAAACTATTGGAGGTAAGGGGAGCCCCCTTTTCTCCATAGCATCCATTTTTCCATCTCCTCCTTCACTTTCTTTCTCCGACGTTCTCCTATGGGGCACATTGATCTTGAAAAAGATCTGCTGAGTTTAGCCAATCCTTCTTCATTGGATGGGCGAATACAAAGCGAGAAACAAAGACAAAGACCCCCTTCAGTTACTGCCCATATTTTACTTTGGGCCCTAAAAACGGCCAAGACGATTTATCAATTGTGGCTCGGGTGCCTCCACCCAACCAACACTCCCGTTGGGGATTATTCTACGAGCTAGACGTGGTGGAGCACACCCTCGGAAGCTCAACCAAAAGAAATGTGTTTCTCTTTGTTTTTCCGTTTTGTTGCCAAAAATGTGAACGCCAAGAAACTTTTGTAGAAACCAACCATTGCTCCTACCACTAAAAAAATATTTAAAATTTTTACCAAGAGTCATAACTCCAACTGATCTTTTACGCTTTTGCCAAACTACTCCTCCTTCTTCAGATTTGATCCCAATCAAAAGCAGCTGACACGTGTGGCTAGAATGATTACAAGAAGACAAATTTCGTGTCAACTTTTTTGATAATAAATCAAGGAAGCGGTCCTTTGATTCTCGTGTTGTTAAACACTAAAATTGACACTATCTCTCTATGTTAGACCATCGTCTTCCCTTTCTTCTTTTTTGATGATTCACTGCAAAAATGATTTGATTCGATTCTTGATAACCAGCAGTGTCTCTGATTGTGTGAGGTGATGTAGTAATCGAGAAACGACAAGATTTGTAACACAAACATTAACACTGAAGATCGCATCGGTCTCCCAAGTACCCACGCAAGTTTATAGCATTTTTAATTGATTATAGAGAGTTCATTCTCTTTCTTGTTCTTCATCTCTTACTTCTTTTTCCTTCAACTTATTTTAGATTTTCAACTCATTACTTCACTTTCTTCTGCTTCATCTCTTGATTTTATTTTATTGCATTTTGAAGAAATGTATGTGGCAATTCGGATTCCATCAATAAAATAGTGGTGGTGTGCAGTTTTTGGGTAGATTCCTGACCTTTCGCACAAAACGACTTTACATTTCACCTAGGGACCACCGCTCTGACATTAGAACTCACACATTTCTAACTCACTTCATCCATTCCACTTTGAATTTTCCCTCAATTGTTTTCAAATCCCATTAACTCTCGAGAAATCGTTATTGGTTTTTCTGCATTTTTCGGCCCCTCTTCTCACGGGTGGGTGTAGTTCTTTGGCAATTGGTTGAGCGGTCCTAGATTTTTTGGAGCCGAAAATAAAATTGGAAATTTCATATTAAACCGTAGTTGTTTATGTGTGTACATATAATATTGGAAATTATCATCATTCAAGGTTAAAAACAGAATTAAACAACCGTATTTTGTCTGACTGAATCTTATCGAAACTGTCAACTTTCAGCTTCATTAAATCGATTTCTTTGAAGATATAGAAAATCTGCCAATTTAAATTATTTATTTTAAAATCACCAAAATTTTATCCGTTCACACATTTTTGATATCTTTCACGTGAATCGAGATAATTGTGCTCAAAGTTGACGGTTTGGGTAGGCTTCTATAAGAAATACGGTAAGTTTTCATAATTTGAATACCATTCGAAGACACTAATTCCGCCAGATTCGCTCCAAATGTCTTATTCTGTTTACGTGTCTTATCCTGTTTACGTAGCTTCAGTGTTCACAAAGTTTCGGTTTGAAATAATTTCGATAATCTCGCTTTACATAGCTCTCCCGTATTTTAGATTTTTAATCATATTTCAAATAAAACCTACGTCAGTTGTACTTTTACCAGTGTTTTTTTCTCGCACACTGTTCAAAATGAGAATCACACCCGTTATGTTCAAATAAACGTGACCTGACCTTAAAGTGCACCTGTATCATTTAAAAGTGCAAATGCATTTGTCAAAGTTAACCCAAGACCTTTCTTTTTTGACAAACACAATTCAAATTTTCTTTTTATGGTTGCGGTCTGAGCAAAAAAAAGGCCAAGAGTGGATATCTGGTAATTTTTTTCTTAATGGTGCAAGTGCGAACTACAGTATCTTTCCAGCTAAACATTTTTTCTATTTTCTTGATTTTTTGATGATATTCACAGTTACCGTAAACACTCTAATAGAAGGTCACTCAAACCTGGCAACTTTGAGCCCAGATATCTCCTTTCTTGTGACAGATATGAGAAAGTGGTAAACTGATAAAGTGTGAATGATGTTATGATAAACATTTTATCAGTAGACCACTTGTTCATATGTTTTGCAGAAACTGAGATATATGGGCTCAAATCTGCCAGTCGGAATATCGTTCCCTGCATTACTGTATTCGTAATTTTTCTTTCCTTTTCACTTTCCAATTTCTGCTCGTTTTATGAACATTTTTGAAACAAAGAGAAAATTGGTTTAAAAACTTCAACCAATCCTGTTTCAACACTTAGTTATATTTTTAGGTACGTGTTCATAAGTACATGTCTTTTTTCTCATTATTTTTTTAGTCTTTCTTTTCTCACCTCACGTTTCCACTGTAGTTCTGCTTCTCAGCACTGCCCTACTCGCCTCCAAACCATCCCAGTTTCCTAACCGACCTTATCAATCTCACCTAAACGTGTTAGCGTCGTCGACAGTCAACAGAAAGCACTAAAATATTGCACTAAAATATTTCAACCGTCTTCTCCTTAGGTGTTAGAATTTAGTGAAAAGAGAAGGAGTGAATGGAATGTGATGTACTGCCCGAGAAATCGAATAATGGATAATTTTTCATGTTGTCCTTGTGCCTGGGGGGTAAAGGAGACACGAAAAACGGACAGGGGGACACCCGGCCCCCATGTCCGACCGGCGATTTCTATCGTACTTCCAAAAAGGAGGTTCAAGATTTTATTTTTCTTCTCTTTTCACAACAACTGTCTACCTTATTTTTGATGGGATGCGATCCCTATTTTAGCCTCAATCTTCCATCTGCTTGTTTCCTTTCTTTTTGTGTGTTTCATTACGCGCGAAAATTTACGGCGTGAATTTGAAGAGAAAATGAAGATGGAGACATTGTAAAATCTACAATGAAGTGAAAAAAGATTCATCTTTTTACTTGTTCATCTTTTTACTCCTCTCATGATCGTCGTTAATTTTTTTGTTTCTATAAAATTTCCTTCTTCTTTTTCTGTTCTTCCTATTTATTTTCTGAATTTCTGATCCTGTTCGTCGCTTCTTTTTTCAGTTCTTCGTATCTATAATAACAATCTCGACAAGTCACATGAACTCGATAATGGTTTTGCAGCATGCGAATGTTTCAAGAAAAAATAGGACAGCATGCGTCACGTTCGCTAAGTGGGGGAAGATGATAGATTAATTCATACAAAGATCGAGAGAATGGGTGTCAGAACAATAGCTTGGAAATATCGTTTTGTCCTTGCCTTTTCAAAATATAGAGCAGCGAGATTTCTGAGAATATTGAGAGAGATTTTTGTTCGAAATGTGTCACGTGGTGGAAGCACCAAGTAGCCACCTCTGACGTTTTCTCATATTTTTGAATATGAAAAATGCGCCCGAGTTTATCATATTATCAGAAATATTTTGACAGTTGACACATTTTTGATATCATGCATAGTAATTGATATATTTGAGCTAAAACTTGACTGTGTCAAAGCCCTTCTACTCCAGGTTCCACGCTATGTTATTTTTTTTCCTTCCTTCAATCCTCCTCCCTTAATTGACGATAATACCCATTATCATGTGTTAAAATTCTCCATTTTTTCTCGCAGTCTCTTATCGTGACGCAGAAATTTAGCGCTTTTTGTTGGTCATTTGTAGCTTAGTGTTGCGATATGAAACAGGCAACAAGAAAAAATACGCGAAAAAAGTGTAAAGATCGGTTTACATTGTTTTTTCTCCAAGCGAGAGCTCTAGAAAAACCAGAGAGTGTGAAGACTGATGGGGTGCTCAAAAAATGAGTGATCGTTTTGAGGGGGAATTGTTTTGAAAACAGAGAAATAGGAAGAGAAAGTATGTAATAGTACACGACTTCTGTACTAGCACCAAATCCGTGACATAGTGATGTCAATCCTCCACCACTTGCTCATTAAGGAAATAGTGTTATCAGTTAAGAACAGAGACTGGAGGCGCCCGATGCAACACTTTACCCGTTTCTTAAACAAACTATGGCAATTTTATAGATGTTTCCATTTCATTGTTGCCCTGTTGTAAAATTAGTTTGTTTTCTTTCATCCTAATCTTTTCTAAAAACCAATGTTTTCTTTATACATTATTCCTATTATTTATGTCTTCTCCTGGACTACCATAATAAAACAGCAAACAGTGATTGAAGAAAAAACGAAAAAAAAACAATATAAAAAAGATAATTATGTCGTTATGATGAGATGATAAGTGGGTATCTTCTTTTCGACAAAACTGGTGAAAAGACGGACTTTGTTAGATAAAAGTCGCCCAATTATCTCAACTGATAATTTATTGTTAAGCATCAATCCTCCTTGCTTCTTTCTCCGTGATTCTCTATTCATCTCCAACCACCCCAAAATTTCCTCCTCCCAAATGAATCCTTATCAAAGTTGTTTCTCTTTTTCCCATCCACTCCAATCTTCCATTTTTTCCGTTTGTTCGCTTTGAAACCCACATTCACTGGTGATGACTGTATGTGCTTTACACTATAGATATCACTTATTATTGAAACACACATACCTCCAATTTTTATTAGCCAATTTCACACCTTGTGCTGCCTTACTTGCTGATAGAGATGATTGAAAGGAGGAGAAAATAAAAAAAGAAGAGGCGTAAAAAAGGAAAAAAGGAAGAGTTACTGGTCAGAGGACGGGGAAAATGAGCCCCATCTGATTTCAATATAGGGCCTACTCTTAGGTAAGCACACACATTTCTATTGTTGCTTTTTCTTTATTACAACAACTCTCAGACTCTCAGATCTCACGATTTCACCGGGGGCCCCCATCACCACACACTCTTTCCGTGTGCCCAGCGGAGATTTGTAATGTTTTCAAACATTTCTTGTTCATTCAGTTTTTCCTAGACCCCCCTCTCTCTTATTTTTTCAATTTTTTTTTATTTTCTTCCCCCATTTTTCATTCTCAAAGAAATATTGATAAGATCCTCATATTTTTTCTTGTCTCCCGAGATTGACCTTTTTCTAAACATGACGTATTTTCAGAAAACTGGGATGGACCTGGATCCGAACCTAGTTATCAACCATGACGATACGAACTTGTCTGAGATATCATATACAATGTAAGGCTTGTGTTTCAGGAGTGGTCAAAATTCTTATTCGAAAAGTTCGAAAGAATTCGTGAAAAGCAAAAACCAGAGAAAAGAAAAACTTGTTTGATAGAGATATCAGTTTTTGTCCTATCATCACATCATTCACGCCCATCCATCATAAACCAATTTTCTTTGAAACAAAAAATTCCTCTTCACACCTTTTATGAAACACCCTTTCTCTTCTTTTAGGGAACAAGACTCATCAAGTTATTCTTTGGAGATGGGCGGAACACCGTCATCTGCCGGTCACCGAAAGGTCGATATGTGGCAGAATCACAATTTTGACAGCGGTTTCCAAACCATGAATCACAGCGAGGTATTTTGTGCGAAAAGAGATAGAAACAAAGATTAATGCGTTTCAATTTCAGGCTCCATCTATTATCTCCTCGTTGCATCCCTCGTCGCATCTGTCGGGAATGTCCTCGATGGCAGAGTACGAACCGATTCCCAATTTGTCAGAACAGGTTGGTTTCTGAAAAATTGAGTGGGTGGCATAAAAATATGTTTGCAGCAGAAACAGAAGTTTGATGGGATCACCAAAAATCCAACCGACGGGCAGTACAACACAGTTCGCGCAATTCCAGAACTCACAATGTTGATGAAAGACCAAGACAATGTGAGATTCTCATACAGTCTCGGTCAATAAGATATACAAAAACCTATTTTCCCGTTGATTTTGACCATGTTCAGGAGTCTGGAGCTTAGCTCTCAAGTTTCCGGTCATTTTGAAAATTTTGGAGGTTATGAAACAAACCGAAATTGATAATTTTGCGTTCACAGATTTTTCTGAAAATGCCTACTTTTTCAGCAATTTGCTGTTTCTCAAAATACACCTGCTTTTTCACTTTCTCAATTCAAAAACGAGCCAAATATAGTGTCTTTCAAAAATAGCTATAAAAAATAGCTCGGATACTAGGAATTTTCTAAAAATTCTGTGAATGCAATGTTTTTAATCTAAGTCTGTTTTACACCCTCCAAAATTTTCGAACTGACGGAAACTTGATAGCCAAGCCGGTACTGTATCATGGCTTTTTGAAAAAAAATCAGTGATACATCATCCCTATGATTTAACTATTAAGTAAAATTTTATAGGAAGTGGTCCAAAAGGCTGTGATGATCATGCAAAATATTGCGAAAATGGAATGTGATGCTATGAGACGACAGAATGAGACCAAAATCGTAGATCCATGTGTCATCTTTACATTGCGAAACTTGCTTCGGGACAAAGTGGATCACCCGGTATCTCTTTTTTGGAGCGTTTGTTTTTATTTTACTTTTTATTTTCCAGAATATTATTCGATTCACTTTGGGAACACTTTTCAATATTTGTAACCGCCAAGAGGGAATTGATCTTGTCACTAGAGCAATCAGCGAGCAGCCCGACATCATTCCGAATCTTATCAGACATATTGGGTAAGGAATTAAAAGATTCACTCATCATTGTTTTTTTACAGTACGTTCGCAAATTCTATCTACAAATACGCGATTCTTACTATGCATTCGATTTTGTCCGATAAGCAGAGAGGAGGACAAAGTGTGACCATCGCGCGGCAACAAGATGCGATCATTGTAAGAATTTATTAAAAAATAGAAATTTTAAAAAAAGCACCTAATGAAAATGAAAGTGTATATGACACAAATTGCAGCATGTGACGCCTTGGCTGGAAGCGGAGAAATCGGAGAAACTTCTTCCTGTTATCGTCGACTTGATCAGAGTTCTATGTGAAAAGAATACTGACCAAAAGGTCAAGTTTGTGAAGATGGGAGGACCACAGAAACTGCTCCATATTCTGCAACAACGAGGATATGAGAATCTGTTATGGAGAAGCACTCAGTTGTTGAAGACGTTCTCGAATTTCGATGCACCTTGTCTAGTGGCTTTTGGTGGGCGCCAAATTCTTGCCGGTATGTTGTCCCACGGAAGTCCACGATTAGTCCTCTCAACACTGGAAACACTACGAAATATAAGTGATGTGCCTAGCAAGATGAAAGAGGAACTTCTTCTAAAATCTCTGCTAGAACTAGTCAATTCTAGAAATGCCGTTATCCGTTTATACTCAGCCCAAACTATGTCCAACTTGGTAGCCAATAATCGACCGAATAAGGTAGAGTATAATACAAAATTAGAAAAGTTTCTCAACAATTTTTTCAGGAATATATGTGTTCTAACAATGGTGTGGTCAATTTGTGTAGAGCGCTTGCCATTGCAACCAAAGACTGGCAAAATTTTCAAGACAAGGAGGCTCAACAAATGGAAGATTATGCGGTAAATAGTCTAATAATTGGTATTTGATTCGAGATAAAATTTCAGGAAAGCCTTATCTGCACATTACGGCATCTGTGTGTTGGCCATCCGTTGGCGGAAAAAGTTCAGGCTTACGTTTTTCGAGAGCCTTCGATATTTCTACACAAACTCATGACAATGCGACCAGTGTTGCTGAAACACACGCTGAATGTAAGCTTTGAATTATAGGTGCTCTAGTAGATGACAGTTTTCAGCTTCTTCTAAAAGTTGTGAGTCAAAATGCACTTTTAGCCCCATTTCTGCTTTGTCGGATCGGAGAAATCGGATTTGTGGAGCAACTCATCCACATTTTGCGAGTTGCCTGCACACAACTAAATGTGGTTAGTGACATATTCGAATTGTTAATTGTCTTTTGTAATTTCAGCAGGATGTGATAGAAGGTGTCCGCGTCAAGGATATCGTGCATTTATGTATTCAAATTCTTCGATTGATCACAAGAAATCCAGATATTTTGAATGAGGTTTTTATTCATTCATTATTCAAAATTTAACGATGACTTTTCAGGTGGATTTCTTCCTCCGTTCCCCGGAAAACAGTCGAATGGGCGATGGCCATACTCTTCCAATTTTTGTACTACAAAAAGCAAACGTAGAAGAGAACACAAAGTCATCAACATTAGAGCTGATCTACAATCTGATGCATCATGAAAAAATGGCTGATCATCTCGAGCGAGATGAAATTCTATGCAAAATGCTTCACAGTGTACAGATGCAAGCAGCAAATCATCCCGAATTAGGTAACAGGAATTTCAGGGAATCCAATTTTTGAAATTGTTAGTTTCAGCAAATTTGGCAGCAAACATTCTGAAACTAATGTCCGAGAAACGAGAACGCAATAGGATTCATTACGGGAGACACGGTAGTTTTGAGGTATACTAATGCATTATTATTGCTTTCTTACCATCGTAAAATTTCAGAGCCAATTCGGACATCTTAGCGTGGCTGCTCAGAGAACAGAGGTGTTGAATAGTCACGGAGAAACTTATGAAGGTGCTGGAGAGCAATGGTCGCAGCCCATGAGCGATGACTCTATGATGGAATCATATTGTAACAGTTCTGGAAGGGATTCGTCGAGTAAGTGGCTATTTTTCTCATATCTAAAGTAATCCGGTATAGTTCCAGAAACCTACAACTCTCCAATGTACCACTCCCCGCCATCTATGTATCCTGAATATCCTAACGGACCACCTTCGGGACCATATTACGATCCTCATGCTTTTACGTCCACTCGACCGACACCTCCGCACTATGCAAATTATGATAGTCCTCCAGTTTATAATAATATTCCTTCTAACCAAGGACCTAGTAGCCACTTGTCGGATCAGTATCCATACCGGCAAGGGCGGTTTTAATTTTTTTTTTAATTGAATTACTTTTTAACTAACTATTTTCCTCTCCACATTCCTTGTAAAGTGAGATTCTAATGATGATAGTACGGGTTTTTATAACGATGAATGCAAAATAAATGACGAATAAATTTAATGAAATATTTTCATTACAATTGTAAGGATGAATATTTACAAGTTATCAAGCCATTTGGTTCATTTCGTAGTAAATACCCTTTAAATTCATCAGTGATTCGTGATCACCTTCTTCAGCGATTTCACCATGAACGATGACATATATTCTATCAACATTCCGAATTGTGGATAGACGATGGGCAACTGAAAAAGAGATGTTTTAGACTTCATAATTTTTTTGAAGTGGAAAATTAAATTTTACTTTGAATACACGTGCAAGCAGTCTTCCGAGCTCTCTTGACTCGTTCAAAGGCAATTTGAACTTCTCTCTCACTTGCACTATCCAACGCTGAAGTTGCCTCGTCGAGCAGTAGAACAGTTGGCTTTCTAATTACTGCTCGAGCTATTGCGATTCTTTGTTTTTGACCGCCCGATAGTTGTGCACCGAATTCTCCGACTTCCGTGTCATAGCCCTAAAACCAAATATAATCATAATCATCATCTCATTTTTTTTATTCCATTCAAGTACCTGTGGGAGACTGGTGATAAAATTGTGAATATCTGCAATCTTCGCCGCTTCGATCACTTTATCAATGGTAGCTTCGCTTTCCATCATTCCAAATGCGATGTTTTCCTACAAGATAAAAAATCTAATTATTTTGATTATGACAAATGGCTTAGGTATACCCTGATAGTGAATGAGAAGAGATCCGGTTCCTGGCCGACCTGTACGATGCATCGTCTCAAATAGGCCGGGTTGATGGATTTGATGTTGTACTTGTCAATGATGACAACTCCGTCCGTGGCATTGTACATTCTTTGGAACAAAGAGATAATTGAAGACTTTCCGGATCCTGATGGACCCACAAGTGCGATTGACTCTCCACCACGAATTTTCAAGTTCAAATTCGCCAGAACAGGTACAATGGGTCTTGTTGGATAACGGAAGGACACATTTTGGAGGCAAAGGTTTCCTTCCAATTTCTGAAAAACCAGAAGACTTTTTTCTCCAACACCAAATTATAAATGCTCACTGGTCTCAATCCTTCTTCCGACAAGTTATCCATTTCTACAGGTTGCTCTCTGATAACTCTCATAACATTCTCTGCGGCAATCTGAGCTTTAGTGAAATCACTGACAGATGCGATAAGTTGAGAGAAGAAGTTAGCTCCGAATTGAGTGAGCAGAACAACTCTTAAAGATATTATTTAATTTACAGAAATATTGGAATTTGATACCTCATATAGTCAAAGACACTAATCTCATTAGCCAACATCATCACTTTTCCAAAGTGCAAAGTGATTGCGATGAGGATGTAGGTGAAAGAATATTGACATGCGAACACAAACGCAGAAATCACAGATTGTTTCTGCATACACCTGGAATATTAATTTTTCACCAGATGTTTTTGAAATAGGAATTTACTGAGAAACTGGTTTCAAAGCGTCACAGAACACATTATAGAAGTGAGACTGTAGGTTGTAGGCTTTGATGGTACTCATATTAGCAAGCACTACAGAAGCCAAGTTTGCTGCTTTCTTTTCCTCGTCTACCATTTGACGTTGTCTGAAAAATGGGTCCGTTAGTGTTGTTCATGAAATGACTATACCTTTTTGTTCCTTCTCTAATTTGCAAGATTCGAATAATAAAATAAGCTGGGAACTGGAACGAACAAAGAAGGGCCATTTTCCAATTAATCCAAAGTGCACAGACAATTGAGAAAACAGAGCATACGATTCCCGGAATCAGCATATCCAGTTTTTGTTCCATGATTTCATTCAGCGTGGATGATTCATTGATCACTTTGTGTACTAATCTGCCCGGACTATTTTTTTCTTCATCGAAGTAAGCGGCACCGTGTCGAAGAATTTTTCGGAACATCTCATTCCTCATAAACTTGCAAAAACCGTGTCCGTAGAGAGCAATGAACAAACGCTAAAATTGTTTTCAATCATTGTGAATATTGCAAAGCTAGTAGCGTACCCCAAGTGCTTCGAAAATGGTCTTAACAATAATCAACGCTGTGTAGATAGCAGCGACAATGAAAATCTGTAGAGCTCGCTCGTCGTCCGGAGCAATAGAAATCTAAAATTTATATTGTTTCTATTCTCATTCAATAATAGAAGAGTCCCTCACTTCTAGCACGGAAGCTACTTGGAAACAGATAAGAAGATAGAATACAGCTCTAACAATTGTCGTTGGGATTGCTCCGGCTAACAGTGGCAACCCTTTTCTGTAGGAGTAGATCAGATCTCTGAGAACGGTGAAATTTGTTTCTTTCCCTGGCAAATCCTAAAAAACAAAAACGAATTGTCATAGTTTCCCTAATTGAATTACATCATCCTCCATACTCTCTCCATGTTGTTTCACATCCATACTATGCACTCTCGAGTATTTATAATCCAATCTTTCCGATTTCTTTTTACTCATCACCGGCAATTTCAATTTCTCCTTCTCCATACTGTTCACAGAGTACGATTTTCCGAGTTTCTTAGTGCCTCCAAGAGAGCTACGAGCCCACGCACGTCGCTGCTGGTCGGGGTCCTAAAAATAGAGATTTATGAGAACAGAGGGTCGCGAGTGTGATTTACAACGTGCCAGTTTTGGGGGTGGACTGAAGGACATTTGTTGCTGGAGTGATGGTTTCGTCTGCAGCTGTTGGTGCTGTTGGCTGATTTGGTCAAGACGTTGGTCATTGTACATCTGTCGAGATGAGATAAAAGTTGTTGGTTATTTTTGAAATTGAAGAAAAATAAAACGCTGGAGAGAAGAAGGGGGAAAAATTAAAACTAACCTTATGGAAAATTCCATTCGCATCAGCCAATAACTCATCTGGCGCTCCTTCCTCAACTATTTTACCTTCATGCAACACAATAATTCTATCAGAATTCTTAATTGTCGACAAGCGATGAGCAATAGTAATCGTGGTGAGACCTTCAGAAGCCAAGTCGATTGCAGCATTCACTTCTTCTTCATGAATATTATCCAATGCAGATGTGGCTTCATCGAAAATCAGAACAATGGGTTTTCGAATTACAGCTCTAGCAATTGCAACTCTCTGTTTTTGACCTCCGGATAATTGATGACCTCTGAAAACTCATTTTTATAGCACTACCCGGAAAATATGACAAACCTCTCTCCGACTCGAGTCCTCATTCCATCCGGCAAACTATTAATAAACTTCCATGCTCCAACTTTTCTAGCTGCATCGTTGATTTCTTGCTGAGTAGCATCCAATCTTCCGTATCTTATATTATCACTGATGGTTCCATCAAACAGTACTGGCTCCTGACTAACCAGCGAGCACTGTCCACGAAGATCATCTGGAGACATCATTTTAATGTTTTCTCCGTCAAGAAGAATCTGAAAATTAGTTTTCAATAAATTTTCAGCTAAATGGTCCGCATACCGATCCTTTAGTGGGGTCATAAAACCTAAGCAACAAAGCTGTCAAAGTACTTTTGCCACTTCCACTGCTACCAACAATGGCGATTTTCTCACCGGCTTCCACCTTGAACGAGATTCCACGTAGCACTTCGGTTTCTTTTCTGCTGGGATAGGAGAAATGGATATCACGGAAGTGGAGAGCTCCTTTTCCTAAAAATTTTAGAAATTGCTAGAGCAGGAGACGTAATACATACCCATAAACTTCATACTCTGTCTTCGATATTTGCACCTTGTCACGGGAACATAATCAGAGTTGTTATCAATGGATCCTAACTCAACTTCAATTTTCGGTTGCTCATCTTCAATTGGAATTATCAGGAAAACTAGAAAAATCAGAGAAATGTGTCTTACTCAAAACTTCGCAAATCTCCTTTGCATTGTCCTTGGCTCGTGTTGCTCCATTGATATGGAAACCAATAGAAATCGATGTAACACACATGTAAAGCATATTGATGGCCAGCTGAACTTTTTATAGATTTTCAGCCCTAATCAAATTATCCTACCGCGCAAAGACGACCTGGTGAATTATCAGCAACTCTCCAGATTCCATAACACAATGCTCCGGTAAAAATTAGTTCAGTGAGAAGGATCTAAAACTTCTTTCCAATCTTTTGCCTGTCTATGACCATAATCAATACCTGAGTCAAACTATCAAACACTACCGATGATCTTAATCTTTCTTCCGTCAACATGCTATGTTCTGCAGATAACTTTTCAAATCTGCAAATTCAATAATATCATTTTCAAATCTCCGTTTATCTCTCTCACTTGTTGATTTTTTGTTTCTGTGCGGCAAACGAGATGACCGTTGTTATACAGTTAAACGTTTCGTTGACAAGATTAGTAATCTTATTTTGTAGCTTTGTTTCCTCCTCCATCGTATTTGCAAACCACTGAATAAAGTATTTTTCATTTCTATGCATCCGTTTCCGGTCCGGCTATACCATCAATCTTATCTTATAAAATCAATCTCTCACCTTACTGTACAAAATACGTGAAATGATAAGAAGAGGGATAGCGAGACACATGAATAGTGTGACGTCCCATTGGATGTAAACGCACACTCCAATGTTGACTAGGAGGTATGATAATATGAAGACCACCATAGGTAGATGGTCCGAAATGCCATTGTAGATAGAGTCAGCGGATCTGCAAAATATTGAAGTGGTGAGGTCTTAAATGATCCCGTGAATCTGTAGGCAGACAATGATTTTTTTCATCACATCATCCCAAATTTTTATAGTTTTCAGACTTTTTATATTTTTAGGAACCGAAATAATGGAATTACTGCTGAAATTGTTGCTTTCGCCTTACTAAATACGTCGAATACAAAACTTAGCATTCCTAAAACTATTGTTCTCCTTATTTCCCGTATACCGACTTCATCTGGCAATAGCCCGCCGAAACCGTCAACATGGGCTTAATTATCGCGACTCCTGTGAAAGATATCTAAATATTGTCAACTGAAAAATATTGGTGATAATATGATAGCTAATAAGTCAGTTTACAAATTTTTTATATCATTTAATAGAATCGAGATAATTGAGCTCAAAGTTAACAGTTTGAATGCGCTTTCATTAGAGAAAATACGGTAATTTTAATTCCTGTCAATCTGTCAACATTTGAATCAAATTTTTACCCTGTGACTTGCGTTACGATCCACAATTATACTAACCCAAATTTCTTTGTACTCGTGATACTGATCTCTTTATCATCGCCCATTACTATCCCTTCCCGGTCCAAACACATTTACTATCACTACTACTACTCTTACTACCATTCTCCGTTTTTCCTCGGTGACCACCAAAATTTATTATCATTGCTTTCCTTTTACCCTCCCGTCTTGCGCGGGGGAGGTAAAAGTAAAGATTGCTTTCTAGGTGGTTTCAGGTTTTGACTTTATGTCGTAGATCTCTTTTGTTCTTTACGCTTATCTTACTCTTGCAACATTGCGGCGACATGTCCACTTTGACGGGATTCCAACCAAGAGATATCCATGAGAAGTAACTTTCGAATGTATGCCTTTTTGATACGGAAGACTTGACGAATCGAAGAAATTTCCCAGGCGATTCGCTGCAAAGTAAATAAATATTTCGAAAAATCCAATAAAAGTGGAAAATTTCCAAAGTTTAAGAAAAAAAACCAGTTACCTGACAGAAAGCCGCGATAAACATGGCAATAGATAGACCTAACATAGAAATGAACGCCGGAGTGGCTGATGAAGCAAACTGATCGTCGATTGGGTATTCGGATGTGAGATTTTTCAAGCCTAATTTTCCTTCCTAAATTTAGAGAATTTGAAATGACGAAAAAAAACGTCTAGAAACTCACTTCTCTCAATATTGAAACTGATACAAAATTACCCATAATAAGCCATACAAATGGAGGAAGTGCAGATTGAAGAAGAGCACTGAATAGACCCATGACCATCAGCTGAAACAAGATATGAATAATAACATGAATATTCTAGAATTAGCCAACCTGCATATCAATATTATCAGCGAAGGCATATAGTCGTTTATATGGCTCGAAAAATCCTACTTTTGGCTTGGAACCTTTTGATTTTTCAGGAGGATCATCCATCGTGATATCATATGCTAAACAAACAAAAATTAGGCTAATTAAAAAATGAATTCACAAACCTTTCTTACTATTTTTGATATCATCAATATAAAGTGCAGAAGGCTCTATCGGATAAATAATGGATTTTGTCGACTGCTTTTCTCCTGCTTCTTCTTTTTTTGTTGCATCTCCATTGGCTTTTGTATTTTCTTTATCTTCATTTTCATTTGACATCTGGAAATATTGACACTTCCAAAAAAGAAGAAAGAAAACGAAAATCTAAATTCAGAAGAAAGTACAACCACTCTTCAAAAAACGGGAATGAAGTCTGAAGGGCCTCGTGTGCCTTCAAGACTTTTTAAACAAGAATTTACTATGAAATCATCGCGAGTGACAAAAAAAGGAGGTCTACCACTTGGCTTCATTAGGACGGTTGTGGTCATTACTCGCAACTACAAAAACAGAAAAACGAACGATGATAAAGATGGGTGATGGTGGTAGCTGATGCGGTAAGGGGGAATGGAATGGGAGAATAAAATGGAGGGTGGAGAGTGTTAAAATGACCTGCGGCCCCCAGAAGAGGGTTCTTAAAGAAAACACGTAAAAACCAAAAAAAGGAGTATGTAGGTAAGAAGACAAAAAATAGGGAGGATAAACCAGAAAAAGAAGAAATGATATCAAAACGGAAAAAGATAAGAAGGGATAGATAAAAAATTGAAACTGACACGAAAGATAGATCAAACATGGGTTCAAAATAAGTATAAGAAGTATAGGAGAAGATAATTCAAGCTGAGTTTTTTAAAGAAAAATAGTTAGTGTCACCACTTGTATAGAAACGATTGATGATTATATCATCAACTGATTTTTTCTCATTTTCTTACCAACACCATACCCTCTCTCTCCCCGTTGTCCCCCCAAACGACGCCTTCTTTCTCTAGTTTTGGAAAATGACCGAGAGACTTTTCAAAAAATTCTCTCTCTTTCGATCACTCTCTCGATTTTTTCTCTTACAACCAATAATTGATAACTTGATCAGTCTCCATATATGTCGCAACCAATTTCATGCTACCGCTTATTACTAAAAATTGTGTATGTGTGAGTCAATTTCGTGGTGGCGGGTCTCGTTTCGCTTTTTTTCTCGCCAAACTGTTTTGTAACCATCTGATTTCCTCACTTCTTTTCTCGCCCCACATTTGGATCGTATTATTTATTACTGCTTTGATTTTAGGGAAATCAATGTAAAAAAGGGCAGTGGCGTAGAAGAAAAAAAAATGAACCTTGAAAGATAGTGCAATAGTATGACAGCTGAGAAACAATAAGTACATTAGGGTTTTCGTTTGATTAGTTGATGGGAAATGTCTTTTTTCTGGTCGGTACACTTCAAATAATTTTGTGGTTTTCAAACAGTGATGGGGTCGATCTCTTTTTGTAATAGACAATAGAATTCGGGGAACCTTTTTCAGGTTCACCATAATAATCTCGAATTCAAAAAAATATAGTCGTGATATACAGTACCGGTCAATAAAATAAACAAAAACGTGTCTTTGAGTTGATTTTCGGTCATGTCAACCATTTTCAGAAGAATGTTAAGTTTCCGATCACTTTGAAATTTTCGAAGGGTATAAAACAAATGTAGATTGAAAAGATTGCATTTGTAAAATTGTCTGAAATATCCTAGTTTCTTGTCCAGCTTTTTGTGAGCTTCTGAAAGACACCTTTATTGTGAATTTGTAAATTTTTTGTGGTTTTCTAAATAATACCTTTTTCGTTTTTAGTAAAAAAAACATGCCGAAATCGGTCTTCCAGAAAAAAAAATTTGGAAAAGATGAAAAAAAGGAATTTTCAAAAAATTCTGGGTATGCTAAATTTTCAAGGTAATCGCAAATTGATAGCTGAGCTCCGTTCTCCTGAAGCTGTTTAAAATAACTGAAAGTTCACAGAAAAATACGTGTTTGTGTATTTTTTTTGACCGGCACTGTACTATAAAAGTTAGAACTCTAGATCTTTCAATAGGAAAAACAAATCTATTAAAAAAAAATTAATCTAGGATATCTAGAGAAAATCTAGAAACAAAAAATCTAGCTGCAATAAACGAAGTTGATCAGGACATCCAATCCTACCAAATTTGTTACTTTTAAAACATTTCGATTAACCCGATGTTGACCACTTTCTCTTATTTTTACTATCAGATGAACTTTTTCACGATATCTTAACTTTCTTGTTATCGTTTATTGATTTCAAAACTGAATCAAAAATTAGTTTAATCTTTCTATCAAATTATTAAAACTAGAGAGTTCAAAAAACTTTCTTAATGTGAAAAAACATGTGAAGTGTTTTTCATATCCACCACAGTTCGTTCTTAAGAAAGTACAATTAGAAAAACAAGGGTAGAAATAGAAAACGAAACTTGTGATTCGAAAAATGGCAACGTTTTCCCAATTTCTTTTAATTTTTCCCGCCTTTAACAGACAAGAAGCTAATGTGAGAATCATCATCATACATATGGGAGGTTTTTTTTGTCATCGCGAGTTTTTCACTAATTCAATCAAATAGTTGGAGGACACCTAATCACTTGTTTCTTGTTTTTGTTCTCGCTTCCCTTTTTATTCCAATGTTTGTGTTACTACGAGATTCATAGTTCAGACATCGTCTTTTCACAGAATACAAGAAAATTTGAACAACGATTGTCTAAGACGATTTTTCTGCACCTCAGCTGATTCAATTTGATCACTTTGGATTTTGGATGATGATGATTGCGAATCAGTTTTGGATGTCCGCCATTCTAGTGGTCTTACTCATCACAACGTTTTTGGGAGGTCAGGATCTTATGGACATTCTACATAGATAACTGGACAAGGGCTTAGCTGGTTGAAATGAGAAAAAAAGAGATTTAGATAGAACACCAAAGCAGAAAAACGCAAAAAATTTTTTTTTATATTTTTAATCTGCTCCAAATTTTACTCTATTTAAGAAAGTCGTACATATTGAATCTTATATGCAAAAACCCGTCAATCCGTCTATTTTAAGCTCAATTATCTCAATTCCTGTAAGAGATATCAAAAAAGTGTAAACTGGTAAATTATTTATCATATTATATACAATATTTAATTAGTTGATAATTTTCTGATTCCTCTCACAAAAATCAAGATAATTGAGCTCAAAATTGACGATTTGGGTGGGTTTCTATTTGAGGAAATACAGTAATCCGAATGGATGATTGACAAACAACTCAGACACTACATAGAAACCTCAACTCACAAATGTTTTACAGAATGCAACAGTGAAGAGGAGAGAATAGTGGGTCTCGAAGAATTTCTAACCAATCTGGACCCAAGTTTGAGCGACATCGTAAGTGAAATTGTCACACTGATACATTCAATCATTTAAATGCAGTCGCAATCTCATTAAGTTTGATATATTGAAATCGTTACCACGTATAACTCTGGCGTCTACTCAATTAGTAAAAAAGAGAGAAAAATATGGCTGATAGGTTGTGTATAATAATAGAACAGACGAGGAGAAGAAGGAAGACGATGGCGTATGTGAAGTTGAAATCAACTACCAGTTTGTCACAGACTGTAATAGTTTTTTAGTTCTATGCATCGAGAAATCGTTTCATTCTTGACGGATTCCTTTTTTAATGAATCTGGAGGAATGTGTGAAATTCCAAATTGGGAAAGGCTGGGATGACAAAAAAAGAGACGGTACATGACTGTCATATGATAACTTAAAACTTGTCGCAATCTTTGTGAAACTTGATTTTGAATAAGTATGTGATGTTTGATAGTAGAGTATTCCAGGCAATCCGAACTAACCAAGATTTTCCAGATCCTTGAACTATTGGAAGCCCAGCAACTTCCCACGAACAAAGCCAATCGGATGATGAGACGGATCATGCGTAAACTCCCGGCTGAAACTCTGGAAGAGCTTTTCGAAATCTACAAGAAGACTCGAAAACCATAACTTCATAATGTGTCCATCATTTTTTTATAATTGGCATATTCTTAATAAACATAACATTATGTTGTGTCTTGTCATTTTCTTGCTAGCTCTAATAGATTTATCTATTCAATCAAAAGAGAAGAAACAAGATAGCTCCGGTGCAATTCTTCTTCAATGACTCATCTCATATCTTCAAGAAGCAATTGAGAGACATTTGGCGCACTTAATTCAGTGTTAGGATGAGTCTTGCAAATCCATCGCTTCTTTTTTTGCTCCCATCGTTTTTTATAGATCTCTCTAGTCGTCTGCGATCTCTTTGATTAACACACTATTCGGTCTCTTGGGTAGTGGACTCGGGCTCTGATAGAGTAGGACATTGGGCCGGGGTCGACACCAGCCAACTCTATCTCGCAAGACAGCGGGGTCGCTCGTGTATATCAGAAACAGTGTAACAAATCGAACAGTGGAGGAGAGAGGGAGAAGAGTTACGGGTTATGAGCGCGGGCAACTGCGAAAAAAGAAGCACTGGCCTGACCTCTGGTGGTAGAAGGCCCCTCCGATCCCCCACCTCTATTTCTCTTTCTGCTCCGATTGCGGCTCGAATGACCCACAGATAGGTTTCTTCTCGATGATCAAATTTCTGAATACGTTTTGTTTTTTCTTTGTTGGGTTTTGTTGTTTCTTGAAGTGACCATTCCAATAAGACATTTAGGTTACAATTTCTTTAGACAGTTAAGAACAGGAAAATATAACTTTGAGTGTTTCAGTCGTTGCACATCATCATAAAGTAGTGCCTATCTTTAAAAAATAACACCTAAGACCTAAGGAAGGTAACAATTACACCTAAGGAAGGTAACAATTGTTATTATTTTCAAACATCAATAAATATGTTTTAGAGGAAATAAGACTGAATTGCAGAATTTTCCCAGTTTTCTTCATTTTTGTCAGTTTTGAGAATTTCACTCCTATGTAAAATTGTTTGTAAATCTGAATGAATAGTTTCATAGAGTATAATAAATCCTTGCCTTTTTTTCCGCGCCATCTAACGTTCAACGCATTTTCGTCTCTTATTTGAGAATTAATTTTGGTCTCAAAATTTTGAACCAGCTTTCGAAATGTAATTGACACCTGCTAGACCCAAAAGTTTCATGGCAGGTCACATTAAGTCTCAGGGATTTTCAATCTGAGAGAACGGAATGACACACGAAGAAAGAATGAGACATCAATTTGTTGATTTATTATGAAAAAGGTGATCCTACATTTTTAAAAACTGTAATGATATTTGTTAAAAATTTTCTTATTTTTCAGAGATTTTTTAAAATTATTTTGAAAGGTGTTATAAAAAAAATGTATCACGCCAAGAACGGAAAATCTATTTTTCTCTCATTTTTGATAAGTTCACTTCATTCAGATAAGTTCTTCTTTTCATTCATCATCTTCTAACTCTCATCTCCTTCCTCGCACATCAAATTTTCCGACTTCGCGCGCGAACGTCACCTTCAAAGTCTTTTTCTCCTTCAGAAAATCCAACTTATCATTATGAATATATCCAATCTGTCTCCACCGCGTTCACCCGTTCTCGAACAATCTTCCCTCCCACCACCGCAACTATGCCCTTATCTGCATTCGGTCTAGTGTCTCTTCGAGTTATACGATCTCTGGCCCAAAGACACATATTGCGGAGGGCCTAAGAGGTCATCATCGTCTGGTGTTACTACAATATTAGTCTTCGAATATGACGATTGTAGTGGTTATCAATTTATCAATTTATAGGTTTTCATCAGTTCTTGAGTAGTTATTTTTCTGCGGTGGATTAGCCATCCATTTGACCCCTCTCCTATCGTTTACGTAATCTGTGGCAGTTGTCTATTAGGATCAACGTACAGTTTGCGTCTGCTCTTTGATGACGAGTCACGTCTGTTTGTCCACCAGACGTCCCAGCGCACACAACCTACGGACCACTGTCTGCCCACCTAACAAATCGATATTCGGTTTTTGCGCAATCCAAATTTCGTTTCTTCGTACCTTGTTCATCTCCAATCTTGGTAATATACACACAATTTCACCAACACTGTATTCCGATTCATTTAATTTTACGAGACTCAATGCAGTCCCACAGAGTGCAAAATAAAAATTTTTGACAGGTGTTCCTAAAATACCACAACCCATCACCATGTCCAGCTGTTCCCCGACCTTTTTTCTCATTCCGAGCCCAAACCGCCTTCCATTCCGTACCAGAAAGAGATCCATCACAAAATTCGATTCGTCTAGAAAGACGCAATGCACTTTTTTTTTCAATTCTACCCTTCCAATTAATCAATTGGGTGGTGGATTGAAAGAAAGAAAGAAAGAAGAGCTCTGGTCGGCCACATGGCAAAGTTTGCTCACATCGAAGAAGAAGACGACACGCCCTTCTTGCATTTGGGGGCCTGTTGCTCTCTGCCTCTGTGTGTTAGATACCCCTCGCATATGTGGTCCTGTACCTTCACCAATCCGATCTTCCCATCTCTTATTCGTCTTTCCCAGTTTCTCTCCTTCTTTGTTACGTTCTCAACTGGTCGTCTACAGTTTCGTTGGCTAGGGAAAAGAGGGTCCTTGTTTTATTTGCCCGAGAGTTGCTATGTACACTCTAAATGACTATTTGCCACACAATAAGCCGCTCTCGCCGTTCGCTATTGACTGTGGTTTTGACCCTCTCCTTAACTCGATTTGCTGATAAGTACATGTACAATTGGATGAACGTTATCAGTTTCCGACATCTCTGTTTCTCTCTTTTTCGCTCTATCCCATGCCACAATTGAGGGTCCCACAGCATTTTTTATATTTATTTGCTTTCAGATAACACCACCCAATACTCAACAGGGAAAAAGTCACAATTGGGCAAATGACATCGATACAGTGGCTTTTCTACCTTGCCGTTTTATGGCAGGTCAGCCACCCACAACCGGCTGAACTCTATCCAAGCATCGATCCGAATCACTTTGGTGCCGATGGAAATCCGTGCTACGACCGCAGCACGCATCAACCGCAACGATGTGTGCCCGACTTCGTAAACGCCGCTTTCAACCTCGATGTGCAAGTGACCAACACGTGTGGTACGAAACGGCCAACCAAGTTCTGTGTGCAATCTGGGCATACTGGACAACGAAGCGTCTGTGAGACTTGTGACAACCGACATGAGGTTAGTTGGGGACACTGTCGGCGGTGGCAATGAAAAAATGGGTCGTATTTTTTTCGAGTTTCGAGGGCTATGACTCTTTTGACTCTTTTTTGTTTAGAAGAAGGTTGGGGTTCTCGTAAAAACATTAGGTGTTCTGAAAGCAATAGTCATAAAGCCCGGTCGGCGTTCGAACTTGAGCCCAGACTGTACAAGATCAGAGAAGCCGATCATGGTTCCGAAATCTTACCCCAGTTTGCGAACTGATTGACTACGGGTCTGCGTTCAACTAGCTTCATTTTCCAAGAAACGTCAAGTATGCTCTGTGATTTTCACTAAAACCCTGGGCATTCATTTTTGTAAAATCTCTAAATTCCACATTTTCTAATTGTTTTAATTCAAATTCTGAGTTAAAACTGGTCATGAACAGAGGGAGTGATCGGCTGAGGGCCAGACAGCTTACGATTGGCAACTATGACTTTCAAAAATTTTTTGTTGTTGAAATTCAATCCAGTCGATTCTAGAACAGTTTTCTTGTCGTTTTGCACTTTTTCTTCGTACATCTCGCTTTTTTGACGTCAAAAATCCCATTTGTCCAAGATGGTGCGTGTGGAAAGAGCTATGAACCTTCAAAACATGCCCATAGTACAGAAAATCTTTCTTTGTTCTGATGATTTCTCATGTCTTTGTAAATTCATCAATTTTCTTCATTGTTCAAACGTTATTCCATTTATAGTGGCATAATTCCTGCAAAAAAGTGTGTACAAGCAATCTCAAAATTCCGAAATCAGCATTTCTGATTTATTTTTCTTGACATGCTGTAAGATACCTGAGAAAAAACTCCTAGAAACGTATTTGATTTGGTTTAGAACCCCGACTAAACACAGCGCGACCAGTCATACGCGGAGTGTCGTTTGCATGGTCTCGCAACGATATCTGGTTATTTTTCAAATTTGAAAGATTTTAACCAGTAAAGCTATTGAAAAAAAGTATTAAAATGGTTTTGTGGCCATCTGTTAGCTAAATTAGTTAAATACGGGAGAAATGAGTAAGTAAAACTGTCTAAGCATCCAATAATCCGTTCACAACTCCTTATTCTATTCAATTTTTTCAGGGTTTCTCTCATCCGGCCAAATTCCTCACCGATTTCAATGTGGGAAACAACGAAACCTGGTGGCAATCCGACACGATGATGGAGGGCATGCAATTCCCAACCAGTGTGAATCTGACTCTCACTCTTGGTTCGTCAAAATTTCCACTTTTCCACAGACTAAACCATTTTTTCTTTTAGGAAAATCCTTCGACATCACCTACGTCCGATTAAAGTTCATCAGTCCACGTCCAGAATCATTCACTATCTACAAGAAGACCACTGCCGATGACGATTGGACTCCATGGCAATATTACTCGTGAGTTTTCTTATACCTTGAAGGCTTTAATACGGATTTTTGCAGAGGATCCTGCCGTGCTACCTACGGTATCCCAGATCGTGCACCAATCTTGCCAGGAAACGAAAATGTTGCTCAGTGTACCAAAGAATTCTCTGACATTTCCCCAATCACCGGTGGAAATATCGCGTTCTCCACACTCGAAGGACGTCCATCTGCCCATATTTTCGAAGAATCTGATGTTCTTCAAAACTGGGTCACTGCTTCTGCTATCAAGATCTCCCTGAATCGTATGAACACCTTCGGAGATGAAGTGTTCAGAGATCCACAAGTATTGAAGAGTTATTATTATGCCATCTCGGATTTCGCCGTTGGAGGAAGATGCAAATGCAACGGCCACGCTTCCGAATGCGTAGGCTCATCATCGGTTGATGGTGAGAACCGTCTTGTCTGCAGATGTGAACACAATACCCAAGGAGCCGATTGTAATGAGTGCTTGCCATTTTATAATGATCGCCCGTGGAAGGCTGGAACTGCCAATGAGGCTAACGAGTGTATTGGTAAGTGTTCTTGTTTTCTCCCGTCAGTAAATAAACCGGATTTACTGTATTCCAGCTTGCAACTGCTCTCAACTCTCCAACAGATGCTACTTCGACCAACAACTGTTTGAGCAGACCGGACACGGGGGACACTGTATCGACTGTCAAGGAAACACCCAGGGAGTTCACTGCGAGCAGTGTGTTGCCAACCATTGGAGACGTCCAGGAGAGAACTATTGTGTTGCTTGCGGATGTAACGAGGTAACTAGGATTTCTTATCTCAAACATAAAAAGGATATTTTCAGATCGGATCTCTCTCTACTCAATGCGACAATGAAGGAAAGTGTCAATGCAAACCAGGAGTTACTGGACGTTTCTGTGATCAGTGTCTGGATGGATACTACGATTTCAGTACTAATGGATGCAAGTGAGTTAGGGAGAAAGGAAAAGAGTGGCGCCGACAGGCAGCTGACGCTAGTTTTTGATTTACCATTAGATATCAAGCGTTGGCAAAGGTCACCAAATTTCATCATCAAATTTTTTCAGGAACTGCGGATGCGAAGCTTCGGGATCACTGAACAATCAACCAAGATGTGACTCAACATCTGGATCATGTACCTGTAAACTCAATGTGGAAGGACGTCAATGCGACAAGTGTAAACCAGGATACTTTGATCTTTCAACTGAAAACCAGTTCGGATGTACTCCATGTTTCTGCTTCGGTCATTCATCTATCTGTAGCACTGCTGATGGATATTTCGCTGTTAATGTCTCCAGTGTTTTCGAGAAAGAAAAGGAAAACTGGAAGGGACAAAACAGAATCGGACTCCAAGACGCCATCTTCGCTGAGCTCGACAAAGCTGTCGCTGTCTCTGATACCGACAACTCTCCAGTCTATTTCGTCGCTCCTCAACAATTCACAGGAGATCAACGAAGCAGTTACAACCAGGATCTTGTTTTCACTCTCAGAGTGACCAACCATGTTACCAACCAAGACGTCAAGTAAGTTTAATTTTTACAGAAGTGATTAAAGGAAACACCTTTTCCAGAGACATCATCATTGTTGGAGCCGATCGTCAGGAACTGTCGACCTCCATCACTGCTCAAGGAAACCCATTCCCAAGCAATGAAGGCAAAACTTACCGCTTCCGTATTCACGCCGACCCATACTTTGGATGGTATCCAAGAATCAACGAACTCGACTTCATTGGAATTCTTTCCAACATCACTGCCATCAAAATTCGTGGGACCTACTCATACAAAGATATCGGATACCTTTCCAATGTTCACCTTGGAAGTGCCGGACTTGCTCCTTCAGAGTCGAACCCGAAACAGGCCACATGGATCGAGCATTGCGAGTGTCTTCCTGGATTTGTCGGACAGTTCTGCGAGTCTTGCGAGCCAGGATTCCGTCGTGAGACCAAGTTCGGAGGACCATTCAACCGTTGCATCAAATGCGACTGCCACAATCACTCGAACAGTTGTGAAGCTGAATCTGGATCGTGCATTTGCGAACATAACACTGCTGGAGATACCTGTGAACGATGTGCTCGTGGATACTACGGAGATGCTCTTCAAGGAACATCGGAAGATTGCCAAAAGTGTCCATGTCCAAATGACGGACCATGTATTCTTCACGCCGACGGAGACGTAATCTGTACCGAATGCCCCAACGGATACACTGGACGTAGATGTGACGAGTGCTCTGATGGATTCTTTGGAAATCCAAAGGACGATATCGAGTGTAATGAATGCGCTTGTAACAACAACACCGATCCGAATTCTATTGGAAACTGCGACAAGATTACTGGAGAATGTAAAAAGTGCGTGTACAACACCCATGGATTCAACTGCGAGAAATGCAAACCAGGATACTGGGGAGATGCTCTCATCGAGCCAAAAGGAAACTGCCGACCATGTGGATGCTTTGCTGCTGGAACCCGCCGTCCAAATAACGACTACACTCTTTTGGAATGTGAACAAACTGACGGACAGTGTGAATGTCTGCCAAATGTTTGGGGAATGCAATGTGACCAATGTGAGAGTGGATTCTACAACATTACTTCTGGACTTGGATGCCAAGAATGTGGTTGCGACCCATTGGGATCTGAAGGAAACACCTGCGACGTCGTAACTGGACAATGTCTCTGCAAACCAGGAGTCATCGGACAGCACTGCGACCAATGCGCACCCTACCATTTCGGATTCAGTGCTAACGGATGCCAACCATGTGATTGCGAGTACATCGGATCCGAAAGCCAACAGTGCGACGTGAACAATGGGCAATGCTTGTGTAAGGAAAACGTGGAGGGAAGAAGATGCGATCAGTGCGCTGAAAACCGCTATGGAATTACTCAAGGATGTCTGCCATGCGATGACTGTTACACTCTTATTCAGAGCCGTGTCAACACCTTCAGAGAGAAGGTGAAGAGTCTTGACAACACTCTCCAAGAGATTATCGAGAACCCAGCTCCAGTGAATGATACCAAGTTTGATGAGAAAGTGAAGGAAACATCTCGCGCCGCCACCGAAGTTTGGGAAGCCGTTAAGCAGAAGACCAGTAAGTCCTATATCAAAGCGTTTCATACTAAAATTCGTGTTTTCAGAAGAAGGAGGTGGCACTATCAAAACCAAGTCAAAAGCCATCAAGGAAGAGATCATGACTGCATTGGAGAAGCTCACCACCATTGATGATTCAGTTTCTCAAGCACGTGTTGGAGCTGATGCTGCTGAAAACGACATGAGAAGATGGGAAATCATCATTGAGAATGCCCGAAGAGAAATTGAAAATGTTCTCCACTACCTTGAGACAGAAGGAGATGAGAGAGCTCAAATCGCCTACAACGCTAGCCAGAAATACGGAGAGCAAAGCAAGAGAATGTCGGAATTGGCTCAAGGTACTCGCGAAGAAGCTGAGAAGCATCTCAAGCAAGCTATGGAGATCGAAAAGCTCTCCGAGTTGGCTATTGCCAACGCCACTCAAGCTAACAAAGAAGCTAGTGACGCTATCTATGGTGGAGAGCAAATCTCCAAGCAGATTGCTGAGCTCAAAGAGAAGCAAAACCAAATCAATGAGTCTATCTCGAGAACTTTGGATTTGGCTGAGGAACAGAAGAAGACTGCTGACGAAGCAAACAATCTGGCTGCTGTCTCCCTTACTAACGTAGAGGCTGTGAAGATTCCAAGTGTTGATCCAAAGGAACTGAAAAATGATGTCGCTGGAGTATTGGAGGAAGCTGAAAACCTTGTCGACAGCTCTTACAAGGAGAACGCTGCCAACGACGAGCTATTCGAAGAGGTTGAGAGAACTGTTGCTGATTCTCGCAACGAACTTCAGAGCGCTCAAGACCAACAGAGAGTTTCCGACCAACTGATGCTTGAACTCGAGAAGGCGCGTGAAAAAATTGTGGACTCTGTCACCAACGCTGATAAGACTCTGAAGGACGCCGAAGCAGTTCTTGCTTCCCTTGAAGAGTTCACTTCTAAGATTGAGCAATCCAGAAATGACGCTGTCGCTGAATTCGCCAATGTTGAAAGCATCAACAAGAAGCTTGATGGAGTTCTCGTTGCTCAGGATGCCAAGAGAAATTCTCTCCCACTCGACAGACAATTCACTGCTGACTACAGAAAATCTGCTGATGTTCTCCTGGATGAAACCGCTGTTCTTGTTGACAAGTACAAGGACCTGATTAACACCGAAGTCGACACCCAAGATTCCACAGAAGCTATCAACGGAGATATTGAGCAGCTCATGGAAGAATTGACCGAGTCCAAGGAGAACTTAGAATACTACCGCAAACAAGCCGAAGATGACAAACTGATGGCTACTGAAGCTGTTCGCAAGGCGACTCTTGCCAAGAACTCTGCTATTGACGCTAACTCGACCATTCTTTCTGAGCAAGATGAGATCAAAAAGATTATTGATGCTTTGAGTGAGTATTTGATATCAATCGGTTACAAATTCAATTTCAAAATTTTCAGATACCATGGAAGAAGTGAACAATGCTGAATTGGATGAACTCGAGGAGGAACTTGACAAACTTGACCAAATGTTGGCTCAAGCCGCTCTCGCCCAAGAAGTGCCAAACTTCCAACAGTATCGCGCTGACGAAGATGCCAAGGTGCAGCAGCTCAAGAATGACATCACTGAGCTCCAGAAGGAGGTTTGTAACCGCTTTTCTGAGCGCAAAAATCCTAATTTTCGTTTTACAGGTTGTGAATCTTGAGGAAATTCGCGACAACTTGCCAACCAAATGCTTCAATGTCATCAATTTGGAGCAAGAGGGACAGAAGTAAAATGAAAGAACGATTATATTCTATTTATAATTATTAATAATTTACGAGTCTTTTTTCATTTGGTTTTTTCTTGTTTTTCAATTACTCCTTTTCCTGTCGCCTTATTGTCAATGTTTCTTCTTTTTCCCTGTGCAATATAAGATTGAACTTTTGGCCCTCCGGCTACTGTTCCATCTTCCTATCTGACTTTGTTTTGTTTTTCATTACTTTTTTGTTTGTGATAATGCTGTGTTATCACATTAAGCCCCCTTTCCCCTTCCCTTCACAAAACGTTCTTCACGATGCTCTATTCAAAATACTTACATCATTTTTCTTGTTATTACTTATCTCGTACCAAAAACTTTGCCAAACAAACAGATCACACATCATTTCTAATGCTTTCTGCTCCTTTCCTTCCTTCGAATCAAAATGTTGGAATAAATTTTGAATAATTTAATTTTTTTCAACCAAAGCGTTGTGTTCGGGTTTTAAAGCCAACATTTACATAGCCTCTATCATTGTTGTATGTACTCTACATTGTGGTTTGTTGCGTATTGGTCGTTTAAGGTTGACCTTGAAACAAAAGATACCGACATTGTGTCTCTTCTCGACAGTATAAAAGAGATGATGATACGAAAAAGAGATAGGAGAAGAAGAATAACCAAACAAATATTCGTATTCGTTCAACACGTGACATGACTTCTGCAAACTATCGCGACGAATTCAAATCTGTTATTCAAAAATTGATTGATTCTCCGGATAATGAGCATGTTGCGCTCACAAACTTCATCCGGAATGAATTTGTGAAGTCTGAATCGTTGATGGATTCTGTGAATCCAGCAACTGGAAAACCATGGATCAAGATTCCAAATGGTACTGCGACTGAGGTGGACTCAGCTGTTGCAGCCGCTAAGGAAGTATTCAGAAGGTAATACAGCAGAAAACCTTTGGGCTAATAGCAGTGCTAGGAGTGGCAGGAATGTTGTGCCTAGCCGTTTCGGCCCGTTATTAGCTATACTAGCCCGTTACTAGCCAGTCTGGCCCTCTGGTAGCCATTACAACCTGCAATTAGTCATTCTAGCCCGCTTTTAGCTTTTTTAGCTTGCTACTAGCCAGTTTGGTCCGCAATAAGCTACTGTTTATTTACTATTATCAGCGCTTTCTGCTGAATCGCGCCCGAAGCAATAGCTATTAGCCAAAAACACCAATTAACAACCGTGACGGGCCCCGGAAACGCGCCACGCAAAACCAAAAATTCTATTTTCACTTTTAAATATTAATTTCAGCTGGAAAAATACCACTGTTCAGCAACGTTCAACTCTTCTGAACAAGGTCGCCAATTTGATTGAGGAATTCAATGATGAAATCGCTGTTCTCGAGAGTCGCGATCAAGGAAAACCTATCGGACTCGCCAAGTAAGCTTTCCTGGTTCGCATTACTTAAAATCCATTTTAACAGAGTCATGGATATTCCCCGTTGTGTTCAAAACTTCCGTGATTTTGCCAACGCTGCTTTGTATACACTATCAACTTCGAAGATTCTAGAACAGCCAAGCGGAAAGTGCATCAATTATGTGAAACATGATCCCGTCGGTGTTGCTGGACTCATTAGTCCATGGAATCTTCCACTCTACTTGGTAAGATCAGATAAATTAACCAAAAGAACACTTTTTGTTTCAGTTATCCTTCAAACTGGCTCCAGCACTGGTCGCAGGAAATACAGTAGTCTGCAAGCCTAGTGAAATGACTAGTGTCACTGCTTGGGTACTAATGCACGCATTTAAATTGGTTGGATTCCCAGCAGGAGTTGTGAATATGGTAATCGGAGAGGGACGGTCTGCTGGACAACGATTGGTTGATCATCCTGATGTTCACCTGATCAGTTTTACTGGAAGCACTCTGATCGGGAAGAAGATTCAAGAGGATAGTGCCAAAATGAACAAGAAGGTTTCTTTGGAAATGGGCGGGAAGAATCCAGGAATCGTTTATGCAAACTATCGCAAATCGGATATTGCAGCGATTGCGAGGTGAGTGAAAATGCTGAAGGAAAAATTGTGAACTAAAAATTTCAGATCATCTTTCTTAAATCAAGGAGAGATCTGTCTTTGCACTAGCCGTCTTTTTGTTCAGAGACCGATTCTGGAAGATTTCCTGAAAAGTTATGTGGCAGAAGCAGAGAAGGTATGTACTTCTGATTTATTCTGACTGGAAATACATTTTATTGTTCCAGTTTACTATTGGTAATCCATCAACCCAAGTTCAAATCGGAGCCATGAATTCTAAAGTTCATTTCGAAAAAGTGAAGAAATACATTGAAATCGCCAAAGCCGAAGGAGGCACTATCCTCTGTGGAGGTGTGAAAACAGTTCTGCATGGGTGTGAAGATGTGAGTTACTGCTTCGGAATTTTCAAAACTAACCGCACCCAATAATTTCAGGGCTATTTCATTGCACCGACCGTTATCACCGGTTTGCCAGACACTTCTCAAGTAATGACTGATGAAATCTTTGGCCCTGTCGTGTGCATCACCCCATTCGACACAGCGGAAGTATGTCTTCATTGCAAAAAATTGTTATCTTATCATGATTACAGGAAGTGATTGAGAGAGCGAACTCGACAAGTTACGGTTTGTCGGCGACCGTGTGGAGTGCGAACACCGATGAGCTGCTTAACACTGCAAACGAGTTGAGAGCAGGAACTGTTTGGTGCAACACTTGGCTGGTAAGTCTAATGAAAAGTGATGTGTTACGGGATGACAAAAACACAAACTGATACTAACTTGTTTGGTCAAAAAAAGTCTGACATGTGGGAGAAATGTGAATGACGTTTGTGAAATTTTGATCTTGTGCAAAACTAGAATATTTTAGGCTCGTGAGCTGAGCATGCCATTTGGTGGATGCAAACAGTCGGGAACGGGAAGAGAAGGGCTTCACGACTCTCTTCATTTCTACTCGGATGCCAAAACTGTCTGCGTTAATCTTGCTGCTAAATACTGATTGGATGGAATTAAGCTTCATTTATGCCAGTAGACAATTTGAAATAAAAGTTTACTTAGAGCATGATGGACATGGGGGACAGGTATAAGAAGCTCCTGTTGGATAATCACTTGCTGGGTATTGACAGACGAACTGATGTTTGCTAGTGCACAATTCCGAGAACCATTTTCCTGAAGCCACAGACATGGTGCCACAGTGACGGTCTTCAAGGGGCTCTCCTTGTTTCCAGTTGGTGAAGTTTAGTGGGAAATTGTCGGTCCAGCGCCAGTCTTTTATGTGACCAGCATCACTTGCGCCAATCCAGAAAAGATCGTAGTCAGCGTCGAGGTAGTCCACAGCAAATTCTGAAATTTTCATTTTAACGTTTTTTGAAAATGATAATTCGCTAACTCTGAATCCAATTGTTCTCGATCATGTTGTAAATGGGTACCAAGCTACCTCCCACACTCTTGATACAATGTTCCTGACTGTCGTTGAAAGATCCTTGAAGACGATTGAATGAGAAGCAGCTGAAAATTCGTAAAATAGATGTACCTAATCTTAATTTCTTGTTTCGGACTTACAAGTCTTCAAATGATGCATCACCGGGGAGACATCTTGCTGCGGTGAAACCCAAAATACTGCAGAAAATGGCCAAGGACAATAGGCGAAGCATTCTTTGAAGGGTTTAAGCGATAGAATGATGCCGCTTATCACGCCTATTTATATATTTTCGATGGTCTGAGGGTGTTGCCCTATGCTTCCTTCTCTTGATGATTCTCCATTCCTCACAATCTGTGCTTATCAGTGTTTAGACTGCTCCAAAGTCAGTAATATTCCGGAATGTTCATCTATGTGATGTTATCATGTATTTTCGATGACCGAATATGATAAGTTTCTTTTTTTGAGAGTTGATTCTAATGGCTGCACAAAATAATCATGTTTCATTGAAAAAGTTGGAAAGGAATTCCCTCGGAAAAAATAGAATGTTCAAAGTTTGAATTTTTTGGAGGCTTTATGACTTTAATCGGGATTTGAAGGAAAAATTCACAGATCGAGAAGATTATGAAATGGACAGACGGAATTGAAATGAATTTGGAATGTTTTAGGATGAAAAATAAATATGATACAGTACAGAATGCAATTTGACAGCTTGAGATGTGGTGTGTTAAATTAATTATTTTTACGGAAAGAGAGGAATTTGAGTCTTCTGAATGGGCTCATGAACGGACTTCCAGTTGATGCAGGTTTCCGTGTAACTGGAGCAGGAGCCACAGATGGTTCTCCTCGAGACTCGCTCTCCGAAGCTTCTCCTTCTCTCTCCTCCATGATTGCAGTACAAACAGACGGCTTGCGATTGAGCTCAGCACATACAGAAGATCGTCTGTTGATATCTATAGCTGCGATGGCTTGAGTTATATCGGTGGAACCTTTGCGAGACCTGAAATGTAACGAAAGTTCAAACCACGCATTTTGAAAAAAGAGGTTTTGAGCTTTGATCACATACTTGTTATCTTCAACTGAAACGATTGTGCTCAAGGACGAAGTTGATGAGGTGGTTGTTCCATAGTTCTCCAGCTCTTTCTTCCGCTTTTTAATGTCAGCAAGAAACTTCAATCCTTCAGGATCAACATATGATGAAACTTTGCCTACAAATGAATAATAAAAAATTGGGATGGGCAAGACAACATACCTTCACCGTCTTTGCCATCTTTCTTGCCAGAGAAACTGGAGCTTGGTGTGCAGTCAGCAATGCCACTATCGGCCTTTGGACGAAAATCTTTGTCATGGTCATGGTCCTTTTCTTTCTCCTCCTTCTTTTCCCTTTTCAGCTCTTTCTCCCTTTCCCTTTCTCGCTCCTTCTCCAATTTCCTCTGTTTTTTCTGCTCAACTTTTTTGTCGGCTTCCGCTTTTTTGGCGGCCAACTCTCGTGCTTCTTGCATTTCCTTTCTTTTCAGATCCATCGCCTTCTGCTCTCTATCCCGTTTTTCTTCTTCTTCTCGCTCCTGCTTCTCTCGATTGTAGTCCATTGAGCCACCCGGACCACTGCCCCCGAAAGGAAAGCGTCGTGTGTCGGTGATGGAGTTTCTTTTCTTACCCAACTTGGAGAAATCAATAGACATGAGATCGTCTTCTTTGGGGGAATTCATGCGTTGAGTAGAGTATCCTTTGGAGGGACTACTTCTAGCAGAAGACCCAATACTTTCAGTCCTAAATATGTCAGTGTTAATAGTATTCATTCTGAATATGGAACTACCTGTTGTGTTCCAAGTACTCTGCAGATGCCAAAAAGTTACTGCTAGCAGATGGTGAAGCATTGGACGAATTCAGCGATATTCCAGAAGTGGATGTTTGGTTTGGTGACGTGGTGCGATGACGTTTGCTGACAAGTCGGCGGAAATCGTTTAATCCAATCATGCTGAAAAAATTCTTGACTGAAACCACTCACCGGGAAAACTAAAAAATGTAACTCACTTAAAAAAGTTTCTGCTCCCAAGGGAAAATGCTCTTTTCCGAGGATCATCGTTTGGAAGGTCCAACTGATTGGAAGTGGAGCTCTGCACAGCAGCCGAGATTTTGCGCTCCGAATCTGGCAGATTCACGGTTGGTGGAAGCCTATTAGAGAATGTCAGTTGTTTGGCCCCGAAGGACTGTGCTCTGTTCGGCATCTGACATGCTAAATGCGGTTGTAGCGGTCGAGAACGCTGAGTTTCAGTTCCTCTCTGAAGGATAAATCATGTTTATAGCAGAAAAGTCGAAAATCCTCACCCTCGACGAATAACAGCTGTCACCACTGTCGGAGTAGTCATCTCTGCTCAATTCTTCTACTTTGCCCCAATCGGCAGGCCCCATCACAGTGTATTCACTACGCTCAGCTACTTTTTCAGCGATAACAAGCTCTGGCGGAGCAGGTGGCGGGCATATCGTGTCGAGAAAAGCTTTTTTGTTTGGATCCCGTAGACTACCGTCCGGCTGAAACAAAACGATTGGTTTTCAAACAAATCATAATTATAAAAACATACGTTATGGGTTTTTCCATCATATCCATTGCGTCTAGCTTCTTCCATTCGCTCTTTTTCTTTTTGAATAGACAATAAAAACTCTCCAGACGGTTTGCTGGCATCTAGCTTTAAAGGAGGAAGACGTGGTCTTGCCGAATCCCTAAAAAAAACATTCAGATGAATAACACAGGAGAATAACATACTCTTTCTTCCCGTCAGTTGGTCTACGTGATCTGTTATCCGACATTTTTCTCTCCGGATCCGGAATCACAATTTCTCCCCGTTCAGATTGAGTTGAATTCTTCTTTTTCATAGCATAAGCTTCAAATAAAACTTCACGAAGACCTGCATCCTGTGGTTTTGCATTTGGCATTGTTGGAATACGTTGTCTGAAATTGCGGGAAATGTTCTGTTCGACAGTCAAATTGAACTTGAGGAGTTTACAGGTGCTTTTTACGAAATATTCAAAGAGGGTGTTTGAAGTTTTCTATTGCAACTTTGTGAAAGGGAAGAAGCGGAAAAGCACACCGAGATAACATGCAAAGTTAGTAGTTAGTATATTACACATTCAATCGAAACCTCTCGATCGGGACATTTCCGAGTGAATGGATTGATCCGCGCTGTTGATCAAATCTGTATAAATTCACGTTCAAACTTAAATTTAAATAATCAATCATGCTAGTACCTAGACAAATGATCAAGCTGGAAGTTTCCCAATGAGCCTCGTGGGCGGTTATAATTGGCGAATGGAGACGATGGAGCAGAATCATCCTTCTCGAGAGATGCAAACGAGAGACAATCTCTTCCCAGAAGCAAACGGCGATCTCTTGGGGTAATGACAGGTGAGTCTAGCGACAGTTTAGTACGATGCAAAAGCGTTGAGGGAACAGAAAGCGATTCCATTCCAGGCGTATCGCTGAATAGGAATCAAAATCAGAATGAGCATTAGGAAGGTATAAACAACAAAAAAAAAACAAAGGTATTCTGGAAGTGAAGGGAATTAACTCAATTATTCACACTGTTATAAACTTCTCTTTTTTTCATGTCCCACTTCACTTACCTTGCTTCAGCTCTTCTGAAAAATTCAAATTGAGCAAAATTCCTAAATTTCATTTCCCTCACCTTGCTAAAGCTTGTTTCCTTATTTCCGCATCCCGTTCAATCAGCACCCTAATACGTGAATATATTTCTTTGCATACGTCATTGTTTTCCACTTGAAAAAGGATCTCGTATCCACGGTACGGGCTTCCTTTGCCGATTCGAATGAAAAAATATCCATCCTTGAATCCGTAATAGGCAACACAACTTCTCTGTGAAGAAAATGTCATGGTTGTAGTTGCGAATAATATTTTCTACCTCCAATATAAACATGTTTGCAGCTCGGAATGGTGGAAAACCAGCTGGTGGAAGCCCGAATGCGGTTGGTTCGATGCATATATCAACAATGGCAAGAGAATTTGGAAACAAGCATAGTCTAAAAAAAATTAAGGATAATTAAAAAAAAAACAACCGGAAGCTACCTTTTCTTTCCTAGAAGCTCCTTGACAATAGTACATATACTAGTCATTCCTTGTGTCTTGATATCATTTAAATAATTATCATTATTTTTCGGGGTCATACAAACTCGGATGTCATAGCAAGCGTCGAAAATATCTTCCGGTCTTGGAATCCGATCCATTTTTCTTCTTCTCGCCTCATGTACAGCTTTAACTATTGCTCGACGCCATCCTTCAATGGTTAGAATTCCTCCTTCCGGTCTCATACAGATTGTCTCATCTGGACCCATTAAACACAAACACTTTTTGAGTTTTGCGTCGAACTGAAAATCGTAGTGTTCTGAAGAACACGGATTCATTCCAACATACGTGATCACTGTGTACATTGAAAGTCATTGCCAGATCCACCAAGTGTTTCGAGCATTTTCCAGCTCGATAAGCCTTTTCAGACTCGTAGAGCTCTAGACAACGTTCCGTAAGTGTCACAAACATCAGTTTCTTTTTTTTCTGAAAATGTTTTTCTATTTATTTACCAAATAACTTTTTGAACTCACCACTGGCGCAAATCCAACCAAACAGTTTCCGCACTTGTAAAGATTTGGGATTCCAAACTCATCTGGATCCTCATCTTGGGGTAGATCTTCAACTGTTAGTTTTGGAAGAGCCTCTCTCAACGCCTTGTCTTGATTCGGATCGCGTCTTTTCTCTGGATTCTTCATTTGTTTTCCTTTATCTTCTTCCTCGAATTGTCCTTGTTGCCTACTTTCTCTCCGAGTTCGCTCGTCGCTATCAGCAACCGCGATAGACGCTAAAATGAGTGGGTTGATTATCATACGTGATGATTGAATTAGGATTATAGAGAAACGGAAGCAAAACTAATTTCCATGCGGTGTGACTGCATGAGGTAAACATCACGGAATAAACGTTTTTTGATCTATCGAACTGGAAAAAATGTGGTCAAATAAGTTACCGCAAAACCTATAAGTTACCTCAAAACCTTATTAGAAAATCGCCTGAAATTCGAATTTCACCAAAAAAAGATGTCCCTAGAATAGAAGCGGCCTTCAAAGCGGCCTCACGAAAATACAAATGCACCCTCAATTAGAAAGGTTCTTTTTATTTAAATACCCCTTTAGAAGCCACACAAAAAATAGAAAGACCGGCCCTTCTAATACAGGTTTTATGGAAGTAAATTAAGCTATGAAAAAATTCAGCTAGTTTTTCCATAAATTTTCTTGAAAATTTTATTTTCCAACCATAAGTCTTTAAAAAATTTCTTTAAAAATGAGAATCTTTTCAGATAAAAAAAACAGAAATAAAACTGACACCCGGGTTTTATCAAAAGCTACTCGTCAAAACAAAATAAATATCACCCACTCACCTCGATTCGGTGACTCCTCCTGCCTCGGTATCACCTGATCTGGCCTTCTGGTTTCCGGTGCTCTGAAGTCCGTTTCCACGTATTCACCCATATCTTTTGGAAGTGGTCTCGCTGGCAAGATCAACTCAGACACTGTCGTACTGAAGCTCACGGTCTTGACGAGGGAGCTTCTGTAAAAATTAATAGGCAATGAGGTGTGATGACTTGATATAATCTCTGATGATTGATGCTGACAGAAGGAAGCACCTATTTGAGAGAAAAGAGGAGAAAAATAGGATATGTGTTGGAAGAAGTCATGTTTACACTTCTTTTGGCTCGAAGAATGGAGATTTTGAGTTTATATTTATGTGAAAAGATGTGAGAGGATACTCAAGCTTCAGATGAGCAATATTAAATAATCACTGCTTGAACAACTGAGGTGAAAAAATCTCGTTTCTCAGAAATTATCACCAAAAAAGCAGATTCACAGGCACAACGGCTATCTTTGAATGACCCAGTTAGTGATTTTGAATATTCATAAAGTAAACTGAAAAATTTGGAGAAGGGAAATGACCACAACCTATTTTCTGGTTTTTTTTTCTAGCTTGCGAAAACTTTTGCCTTCATCCTTCCAGGTCACAAATCCTCATACATGATAGAAAAGGAGAGAGAAAAACAAAAAGTGTGAGCATCAGAAAAAATGTCATTTCCAGAAAAGAAGAGGCGTTTTGGTGAGGAGAGAAACTTGCAAATCGGATCGGAAATTTGTGTTAATGCGAGTTTCTTTTTTATCCTATAATTTCCGGGGTCATTTCCTTCTAGTTCATCTATTTTCGAAGTTTGAAATTTTTTATGAGTAAGAGTTGAAATATGTCACGTTGTAAACAAACGAAGATTTAGTGAACCAAAATGATGTGCATAAACTCTAGACAATGAACAGAAATTTTGAAAGCCTTCAAGACTAATTTTTCAATTTGTGAAAACTTCAGATTTGTTTTTGATAAATGATAATTGTTAATGTAACGATTCAATATTTGAGCGGCCAATTCTAGCCCCTTGCACCAGACAACTTTCAAATTTGGAATTGCCCAACTACTCTGGTATTATGCATGATCAAATGTACAGGACTTCAGCATCAAAACATCTCTATTTCTCTTCTTCCGGAGCGCGTTTAATCAAACAAAAAGGTCAGGAATAGATAGAAAGTACAAGCGAAATGCAAACGGCAGAATAAAATAAGTGTAATCTTTGTTGTCCAAAACAAATACGTGGTCTAGGCGTCATTCGGGTGTTGCAAAATGGGGCAACATGAAAAACATTCGTGTGAAAAGAGTCGTGAAAAAGTTCTACATTGAAACATCTAAATGGCATAGAGGAGGAGAGCCGTCTTCTAGTTCCATTTGAAAATTAGTTCATTTTTTATTTAGTTTGTTTCTCATTCTTGCAGTTTTCAGCAAATTTCAAAACCGACATTTTCTTGAAAAGTTTAATTGAAGAATTTGTTTACTTCAAAAAGTTTGGGAGTAACTCAAAAGGCATGCAAAGATTTTTTCTTCTCGAGAGGGAGATAACTTTCTTATATCTAATAAATTCCATTAGGGAAATTTTTTTTAGGTCAGGAAGCTATTCAACATTTTTTTAAAGAAAAAAAAGACCACTGACTCTTCGAATTACTGATTGTTGCGAGCGGCAAAAGTGAGAAATAATACAAAATGGAACGCAGGGAAAGAACATCCAAAAATCAAATAAAAAATACCTATTCGAACTGTCAGATTCCGATAACTAGACGAAAAACGGTAATTTTTGCAGAATGTTAAATAATTAAACGAACTCGAAACATCAATCCTGGGCCGGTGGACTCGGGTTTTTATATCTGAAAAAAGTTTAAAGTTTCAGAATTCGACCCCTAAAAATTCTGAAAAAAATGTCGGTCCATTGCAAGTGTTTGACATAATTCGACAAAAATTCAAATTGCTTCAATGCACCAAGAAATCCATTAGAATTATACGGCTCCGCAATATGAAGACGTCACATCATTATCTGTTTTTCCAGTAAACCTGAATCCTCTCACTTTTTGAATCCCAACTTTTGACAGCCAGGCTAATCCGATTTATTCATCATTTCCCAACTGTTTTTCTCTTCTCTCACCCCACCACCGCCAAACTAATCATTCCTTCTCAGTCCCGTGGAGATTAGATTAGGATAGATGGATTAACCGATGGCGAAAATCGGTGATAGGGATGTTTATTAGTAAGCTTCGCACGAGAAGCCAAAAAAAACCACTTCTCCCTTTTGAAATTTTTTCTCTCGTGGATCTTTTTTGTTTTTTTATCTGTCATGCGTTAGGTCTCACATCCATTAGGCACGGATGAGTGTTCCGGGAGGAGAGGGTAAACAAGGAGAGATGAGGGGGGAAAGGGTCTACAGGGCAAACTGAAAAAAAGGGATAGAAAAATGAGGAAGTGTTGTTTTTTCATTTTTGTTCAGCTTTTTTGCGGTAAAAATCAATAAGTGGCATTTATCCAATATAAAAAATTGTGGTTCAAAACTTAAGAAGAACGTTTGATCATTATTTTCAATTTTCTAATTAAAAATCATACGCTCAGCCAAATTTTGAAATTTCAGAAAATTTGAAACAGACAAATCCCTAGAACCGTGTTCGAAAATTGGTCATCAATCATGTAAGGTCACTGGCAGCACACCGAAAATCAAATAAAAACAGCGCGAAAAAATAGTTGCACTTTTTGTTCGAGCGCAAATATTATGACTGTTTAGGGGTTGGATGGGTCATGTGACGATTTTAAAGAAGGGTATTCTAGCTCCAGACAAAAGTTCTCAAGAGTTCACGTGTTTGGAAAAAAACAGAATATCAAATTTCAATGCATTCCTTGAAAAATCTGAGAATATCGCTTCGTAAAAAAAGAAGAGAGAAAATGAAAATATTGATAAAATATTTGACATCGGCTATGACCGATAGAGATTATCAGAATTAATCCCTTAATAGCGCCTTCCTATCGATATGAGTCAATAGTTTTTTGGATCAGGAGGAAGAGGAGTTCGAGATGTGCCTTCTACATAGACTTGAAGGATTACGGGATTTGAGAAAAATGGCTTGTTTAACGGAACCAAAAAAGTAAAACAATATATACCGTGAACGCTCTGATAGAATGACTTCTTGAAGTTCAATTTTGAGCCAATGCATCTCATTTCTTATGAAAGATATCGAAAGTGGTGAACTGATGAAATACTGTTAATAATATGATGAAAATTTTGTCAGTTGCTCTCTTTACGATATCTCTTACGGAAAATAAGACATATGAGCTTAAAGTTGACCGTTTGGAAATCATATTTTTAGTGTGTTTACGGTATCATATTTTTAGGTAGCATTTTTTGAATTCGCGTAATAATAAAATATATATTTTTTGTCCTTTAATCGTGTGTGAGTTTTAGAAGTAAACTTTTTATTTATTTATAGAGTCCTACCGTAACCCTCTCTTAATTATCTTTTTCAGTTTTCTTACATTCCATTGTTATGTCTAACAGAACTACTTGGTCAGATGTCAGGTTTTTTTCTCTCTCCTCCTTTACACAATGAAGATAAAAAAATCAAAACACAAAAGTACCTTGGTAATGTTCCATCGCGTCTTGAACTATCCAAAGATTCACTTGTTCTCAGTCTTCGCATTGGTGTTGAATCGTCTGTGGATTGAGTTCGCTTCAGAATACCTTTTCTCGGTAGACTGACATTATTTTCAGAAGGTGGGTCTTCTGATTGAGTGCTCGATTCTGATGCAGAACTACTCGGCGACGGACTCGAGCAAATTCCATTTTCTGTCATCTGTAAGATGTTATTATGATGAAACCTGACACTTGGTCCAAGGAAAACAAAAAAGAAGCAGGAACAAAAAACTTTCGAAAAAGTGTTTTCCAGCCAACCTAGATCGGCAGCAGATGTGTCAAAATGATGATAAGAACGCGAACAGGAGAACAAAAAAATGTGGCAAAAAGATAGGAAATGTTTTTGACGAAAGAAAGGCGAAGAGATGGGGCGGAGGCTCATACGAATGTTTGCGAGGGCAAAAACGTAACAAATAGAAATGAGAGAACACCCAGCCTAGAAAATGACTCTTTTGTGCATTTTCCAGTGAGTTTCTAATTTGGAAACACTGAGGTATCACAAAAAGTGCGTGATTTTCTGGCGGAGAAAAAAGTATGACAAGTGAGGGTGGTCGGAAACTAACGGGAATTGTGAAATTAAAACAAATAACAGGTTTTGAGAAGTGAGAGTTGTTTACGAAATGATTCTCTGTTATTTTTTCAGATATTAGGTCAGCAGACTAAAAAAAATCAGTTGAAAAATTGAAAAAAAACCGAATTCGACAAATTTAAAGAAACCATGACATTTTAAACGAAATCTTAATATTGATGAACAAAACCATTATAAATAGAATGAATGAAACAATTTTTCTGTTGCGTTACATGTTCCGTCCCAAGTCGAGCTTATAAACAGACTAGAACACATATGAATGATACTAATATTGAGGTCATCAGCATCATGTGTTCGCGTGAAAAAAGCGTAGAGACTGATCAGATTTCCAGTCTGGAAAACATCATCACTCCTCCCACACTGTTCGAATGAGCTCTTCAGACTCATTTTCCACTAGACCGACCCGAAGCACTAAGGATGAGAAGGGGGGAGAATAAGAAAACAAACGCAGACATTCTCTCAAAAGTGCGTGAGTTTTACTCAAACATTATTTACTATTCAGTTGGGCAGTAGCACCCCTTCTCATCTACGAATGCACAAAAACAAGTCAATGGAATGAATTTTAAGATGATTGGGTTGGTGTCGGTGACTTTGGCTGCAATTTTTGATGGTTATTTGTTTGGAATGATGGCCGAGTTTTGTTTATTTCTAGGGAACAAAAATAAAAATTGTTTTTGCTTACATTTGATGAAAAACTCAGATGGTTCACTATTTTCTGGCACCAAAAAATAAGAAAAAGAAGGTTTTTCCCTTCGGCTATATTCTCTGAAGAGACACAAAAAAAAATTAATTCTTGGTCTAGTTGATCCTATGGTATTGCACTTTCCTATTAAAAAGGAAATTGATATGCATGAAGAAAACGAAAAAAAGGTTACTGAGCAAAACAATTCACAGAGCAATCACCAAAAAGTGAATGGAAAACTCAACGTTGATTAAAAGTTGCCAGGTTGGTACGGCAAACGTCTTAACTGTGAACTAAACTTAATTTCAACTGATAACAAATATTTGATAATTCAACGCTTTTGTTTGTTGCAGAAAAAAAAGAGGAGCAAGTGAATGTGAAAACGAAAAATTCTACATTTCTACGCTAATGAAAATACATCTGAAATTCATTTTGTATTGTTTTCGCGGACACTGAGGCGGCCCGTGCAAGACCAAACATTGCGTGAGGACGTCTGTGTGGCTCACGGAGTTCACTTTGCTGCATTGTTATTTTTCAGACACAATGACTTTTCATGTTCGTCGAAATGAGATTCAGTTTTTCTGAAGAAGACGGAACTAGTTTTCGAAACGCCTTGAAAACATGAAGAGCCAAAAAGTTGGGTACTCAATAACAGGATAATACTAAACAATGAATGTGGAGGCGATTGATCTTAGAATCTATGGAAGAGCTGATTTCCGATGTTTTGAAGGATGATAATCATTGAGCCCTGTCCCGGTACTGCCCGGGTTTTCAGTTTTTTCTTCCTGACTTTACGAGAAGTTTAAGGGGTAAATAAAAGCAATGAAACAAATTTTTTGGGAAATAGTAAGCTCGCCACGAACGAAGTTTCCTAAAAAGTTTTTTTTAATGTGGAAAACCCGGGTTGTTGCGGACCGGGCCCAGAGATTTCTACAATAAGTATATCTACGTTACTCAAAAAAGAGCCTAGAACAGACCCATGCCGGTTGGACCATCGCTTTTTTCAGCTTGATATTTTTGACAAACTGGAATAGGTATGATAAAAATTGGTCTTGTACGTGAAAAAAGGACAAACCAAGTTAATCGTGAAAACTGATCGGTTCCGGCTCGGCAGTTCTACGGCTTTTAACCTTGTTTACCGACTAAAAATCTTTTGAATGTTAGTTGGCAAAAGTTGGCTCCATTTTTCTTCATGATACTCATAAGCAACTTCTCTAAAACGATAAACAAATAAAATATTAAACTCATACGGAAATATACTTCAAACTTATAGATTCCAATAAAAAAAACGGAAAATAATTTTCGGCTAAACGCAAGTTGCCATTATCCATTCAGCCTTTCAAAAAAACTAATCTCTAAAACATTATGAAGCTTCTCACAGGAATTTTCAAAATACCGTAAAACCTGTATCAACTAATGGCCCCACATTTACACATTTGACCACATTTTCCCGATTTCAGTGAGACATATCAAACAGTGTTTCCGTTACGAGATGTCTACCATAACATTTATTAGGTTGGCGGGAAAGTCTTTGTCACTTTTTCAATAGTTTATTTCTCAAAGAAAAAATAACCGAATAATTAATTATATTGTCCATCATTATCAACAACATGTCTCCAACGTTCCCTCAATTTATGGATTCCATTGCGGTAGAATCCAGCCGGGCGTGAGGCAAAGTATTGTTTGAGTGCCGCTTCGACCGCTCCACGGGAATTGAAGCTTCTTCCTTCGAAGGCACGTGTCATATCGCCAAATAACCAATAGTCGGAAGGAGCAAGATCAGGAGAATACGGGGGGTGAGGGAGAACATTCCATCCATATCCCATCAGCTCCTGCTTCACTTGTTTCGAAACATGTGGGCGAGCGTTATCATGTTGATAGTACACTTTCTTGTCTTTCAGGGCCGAACGGTCGACTGCTTTCTTGAGGTTTCGTAGTTGAGTAGTGTAGAGGTCTCCAGTTATTGTTTTGCCCTCGGGCAGAAGTTCCCAGTAGATGGGGCCGTCCACTCCCCACCACACAGAGAGCATAACTTTTTTCGGATGAAGGTCGGGTTTGGGGACATCCTGTGGGCTCTCTCCTTCTCCAACCCACTGGGATTTCCTGTGGTGTTATCGTAGAAGACCCACTTCTCATCTCCGGTTATTAGCCGGTCCAGCCATCGATCGCCCGCGTGGAGAGTGAGAAGAGTAATCGAATCGTCGACTCGGCGGTCAAGGTTGGCTTGAGTCACGTGATGACGTATGAATCGACCAAAAAGTTTTCTCATTCCAAGAGACTTCAAACCTTCAAGGACTGTGCTATGGTGAACTCCGAATGTGACAGCTAGTTCACGGCTAGATTGAAATGGATCCGATTGCAATGCGTGCTTCAGCTTGTCCAAATCCAACTCACGGGGTCTCCCAGAGCGATCCTTTTCATCGAGCGAGAAGTCATCTTTTTCGAAACGATGGAACCAATTGCGAATAGTATTGTAGTGAGGGGCATGTGTGTTGTACACATTCTTCAAGAAAGTTTCCGAATCCTTCATCGTGGTGTGAGATAGGAAGAGGTAAATCAAAACATGTCTGATGTGAATAGCAGTGGGAACAAACATATCGTTTCAATTACAGATGAGGAGCAGGGAAGGAAATGGGGACTTGTTTATATGGAAGGTTCTTATCACCTTGTTATTCACTAGAGTCGATATCATACACAGCCTCCATATACGAGAACAGTGATTAAACAAACAGAGTGACAAAGACTTTCCCGCCAACCTAATAAAACAATATGTTGGTAGAAAAAAATTGGAATTTTTAATAGAAATTGAGATGAATTGAGCCAAAATAGACTTGAGTGGTCCGTTTTTAGGCGTTTTATTCATTTTTACATGATCAGAATTATTTAAATTTTTCACATTTTTCGACTAAACTTCTATTTTTGGAAAAACACTTTTTTTCGATATTTTGGGAGGGAGGGGTCCTTAATTTTGTCTGGAGAAGTGTATTTTTGGTGATTCGCAGGATAATTTGGTGAGAGGCACGAAAATTGCCTTCCGAAGTCAATTTACATTTGGCATCAAACTGCATTTACATATTTTTGATGTCTGTTACAGATTTGAACGGACCGTTGAAGTTAAGGGATCAACGCTAGCCTAAACTTATTAAACGCGATGTAAATGGTATATCAACTAGCCACAAACTCACTCATGTTCCATCACAGATTTTTTTATGAATCAGATTTATAGAATACATTCCTAACAAAAGTTTCATGACGTCATGAGATGTATCTGAACACTTTATCACATGCTTGTCAACTATTCGTTTTTGATTGTTGACAATAAAAATGTAAGAAAAGCGTTAAACCAAGAACATGGTTTGAATGACATCTAATCGACTTGATCTTGGAACGGGTAAGATTTGTGAAACATTTGCATGTGAATATCCAATTTTATTTCGCCTTTGAATATAAAATCCCAAACTTGATTTTGAAGATATTTTGTCAGAAAAATGGGAGTTTTTGTATGAAAAGCACCTCAATATTTGAAGCGACGAGTCAAAAAATTTCGATTTTATAATGATCTTAGGAAGTGATGCCTCTGATTCAAATTTGAAATGAATAATTAGCGAATCTATTATATAACTGTCTTAATTTTATAATAACAATTTAGATTATCTATGTTTATTTTGTTTTAAAGTATTTTCAAACTCACCGCGATAATGACCGTTTTCAATAAACATGAAGAGTTCAAAAAATGAACACAACGAATACAGTTTCGGACACCATCAACAAAATCTCCTCTGTCTATTTCGATTGACGACCTCCCGCCGAGGAATTTTTCTCTTGATCTCAATAGACACGAGAAGAAAGCCAATGTGTCTGCCCTTTAAAAGAAAATGGCCGATTTTTGTCTACGATTAATAAAAAAGGCAGATAAGACAAAGAAAGACAAACGAAAAAAAATAAGATAACAAATTTGGCCGATAGTTTTTTTTTGTAACGAATAAACGATATTGAATCTTTTTTTAGGGCCGTATGTTCTTTTTTTCAGAAAAAAAACGTCATGAAGGACAAACAAGGCAGTAAAGAATTCATTGCATCTGAACATCCCATAAAACAACATTCAACGAGTTTGTGTACAGAATTTTTCACAATTGATGTCTGGACTTCCGAGGAATTTGCAAGCAAAAAATATAAAAAACCGAAAAAATATGTACCTGAAAAATGTCCAATACGAAACACTTCAAAAAAATTTCAGTGTACTCTAAATAAAACCGTTTTTTACCAAACCAGGTTTCCAGTATTTTTGGAAACTTCCCTCAATGAAATTTCAAACTCTTTTCTCAAAAGAGACTTAAATTCAATTTTGTAAAAAATGTTGAAAATTCTGGAAACTTCCAAAGGTTTTTGAATGATTATATCACAATGATTCTACAAACGGAATGAACTTGGCAATTGAGAATTTCAAACTGTTTTCATTCTTTTTTGTTTTTTGAATGGTTACTTTGATTCTGATTTTTTTTCTGATTTTTCAAGTTTTTTTTTGGACGAGATCAATTTGTGATTTATTCATCACGTTTGGTGCAAAGCTGACTTGGTTCTTAAAACATCAAGAATTGAAATGTTTCCATGACTTCCTTGAACAAAACGTGTTTTCTAGTGATATTTTATTTTCTCCAGCAAGTCTTCCCAACGACTTCCTAATTTCGTTACATCCATGCAACTAAATATAGCGTGGATTGAATTTTTGCTCTTTTTTTTGGATGACATTTGGGTAAGGCAGCAAGTTTTTCAGGAAACATAGTTTTACATTTATCACAAGTTCCTAGTATTGGACCTACTGTAATTTCTGATTCCAACCAACAGAGTGTGCTCCCGATTAACGTCCAAGGAACATATTTCTGACATTAATGAGAAGATCTTAATTCAATTCATACAATAAATAAAATAATATTTAATCCTTTGATTGGTATTAGTTCCCACCCTCACTATGAATCATGTGCTTTGAAAACCAAAAAATCGACCACCTTTTGTTTTTGACATTTTCGGAATAGAAGTTCCTAGAAGATAGAAAAAAGAAGAACAAGAACACAATAATTTTTTCTAAATTGTGGTTTAATTATAACTGCTGTTCTGACCAGACAGGTACCCTAACTGTTCAAATTTAGGTTTTTTTCTCTGTTCAAACTTTCCTCATATCCTTCCTCATCGTTCAAAAAATCGTCACGAGTACTTTTTTCTTTTACACGCCCAATGTTCGAAACATTTTAAACAGATTAGTAAGAAGGGCGAAAGGATGCAAGATCAGTCCCACCCTCGCTTTTGGCTTTCAGCCCGTTCTTCACTATGCTCTCCTTTTTTTCTGCACGTTCAAGGTACACATACTACTAATCAAAATGTTTTGTACTAATCAAAATGTTTTGCAACAGATTTAATATCCGAAATCAAAAGATTTAAGAAGCTACGGTAATCTTTTTGCTCTAGAGTATTCGAATACTTAGGATCCGCCCCCTTCCTGTTGACTCATTCTCTGAAACGACCTTACTTCTAAGAACTACAGTATCATCTTTATATCTAATCTTCATATAAGAAATGTTTCTATAGGTCCGCTTCACTGTTATCTGGTTCTTTGAAATTCCAGTGCTCTCACTTCGTTTCTCTAAAATTCAACTTCTAGATAACATGTCTAAACCAGGCATTTTTCCTATTTTTCCAGTTTGATATTAACAATCAAAGTACGAGAAAAACAAGTTGATCGTTACTCAAGCGTTATCACATTACACCCCAAAATGTGATTCACTTTTTTCATACAATTTTTTCTCATTTTAAGAAAAAACTTTTGCAACAACGATTTTCGATTTCACACATCTTCACATGGTAGAGTGAGTAATGTTGACTATTTTCTCCAATTTTGTTCCGGTTTATCTTCAATTTCATTGAGAGCAATGAAAATTTAAAAAAATTGAATGAGTTTAAGAGGATGACTTGAGATATTTTGAATTCATAATTTTCAGAGAAAACAAAAAACAACTTGAAACACAAAAAACAGGGATAGTGGGCTCTCGAGGTCTTGAGGAGGGTCTAGCCCCATTTTGTATCTTCTTTTTCATGTCCAGTCCGGGATCTGTCAGTCCGAGATGACACTTCCCAGAACATGTTTTCTCATCCTGTTTGGTAGACAAGTCCATTTAGTCATGCTCCCTTTTTTGAGTCCATTATAGACCCATCCTTTTGTTACCTTGCTAGCCAGGTAGACAATTTCATCAAGACGTCACGTCTATTAAAATAGTTGTTGATGCAACGACTACTCGTCACAGAGTAGAGTGTACCTCATACAAATGCTGCTTCCTGATTTCTTAACTACTGTAGTTGTAGTCGTCATTCTCTGTCTCCAACCAGAACACGAGAAAGAGCAAGTGTCACACCTTGGTTATTCATCCCCTCTTCCTTCGTTTCGGAATGAATCTTCGAAATCTTCTATTCATTATTACTCATCATGTCAGTTTATCCAATTTTGTTTTGCTCTCGGAAGTTTTTTGTTGCTTTTCTTTCTCGAAATTGGCTTCCTCAAAGATGATTTGAATCATTATTGACTATTAGGAGTGAGGGTGTGATGGATGGTGAAACAATTTTGGGTTTCAATCTCGAAAATATTAACTCATGTCACTTTTGACGTAGAAATTTTTTTCTTCTTGGATATGTTTCTGATTTCCGTCATGTCTACCCCCGCTTGGCTCTGTGCCAATTCGACTATGGAACGGAAGCAAACAACATTGCCTGAGTGCACCAGTCTTAGTGCAGCTACCGTATACCTAGAAAATTCGTATAGTGGAGATAAACAGGGTAGGATTATTCATCAGTTAGTTGAAATACTTGGTTCATAATCATTAGGAATCCCTTTAGCCTCCGTCTGATATTTGTCCCAGTAACCTTCAGTATAAAACCAAGACTCATTTCTTTGAGATTCATAGTTTTGATTCAGACTTCCCCTGCATAGACCGATCAGTCGCTCTTTGATGTAGCCTTTTCGAGGAAATCCTCATTCTTTGTTGGAAGAATTTCAAACTTCCATATCCAAATCTTTATCTGCATCATCCGCGCTAATCTGTTCCTCACTCCAAATTTAGTCCCCTTCTGTTGATTAAATGACAAATGCCTACGTCTAAAATCCGGAAACAAGAAACACTCCAAGAAGTGCTGATATGATATGAAGTTTACGTCATCCATCAAAATATACGTAACATTAACAAGAGCTCGTTTCTTAGTTTGTAGCAGATTAAAGTAAGTGACAATGAAAATCGCGCAATATGAACGAAGACAACGACAATGATGAAGCAGAAGAAGGAGCAAAAAAGACTACGTAACATGGTGATGACACAGTAGCGTTTTAGCTCCGCCCCTATTTATATTTTGAAAACTCCTTTAAGAGACTGATGAATCGACACCTTTTCCATAAGTCCAATTGTCATTTTGTGACAATGGTCGTTCTTTGACAATGGTCTCAGCTGTGACGTGTCTTCCAGTCTAAGATAGAAGTCTCACCTTCTCATTTTCCCACCATTCTGCAAAATTTCTCCTTACGTGTCGTACACACCTCTCCCACCACTTTGCAGTTCCACTTTTTTGATCTTTTCTGATATTTATTTATCAAATCATCAAGCATCTTTTGGCATTTCAAGTATTTTCTTTTTCTTATTTTCATACACCAAAAAGTGAAGATTAATTCTTGAAAATGCAGACCAATCGTGTTCTCAGAACCTTGATTCGCCATTCAAAAATTCCCCCAATCACCTAGAGAGATTTTCAGGTTTTGTAGTAAATGTTTACTCTTCTATTCTCTTGTTTTCTTTTACAACCCTCGCTAATCCCTGCTCATTTATCTTCTTGTTTCTGTGTTTTTGTCCGTGTTCAAATTTTTTCGGAGCCAAAGGACGCCGGATTATTTGAATAACACAGTGAATGTCAAAAACATTTCCAAATACAGTTAGTTATTTTAGGAATCCACGTCATCATGAACTTTCGATTCATTGTCTTTGCACTGTGTGTCTCCAGAGCAGTAGCACAATCAGCATTTGTAAGTTGTACTAGAGATTACTGTAACCTAACCTTCATTTTCTAGGGTCACGGATCACACAGACCATTGAATGATGCAGACGAAGTGGCAGCCAGTAGGCCAAGTGAGTTTGGGTTACGATACAGTAATTTGATCGGAGATTTTCAGTTTGTGACACAGATCGACACGGCAACAAGTATATGCCATGTGCAACGCCAGATCTGGGAAATGGGAGAAACTGGCCGTGCATAAAGTAAGGCATTCTACTCGATTTTCAAAAAAATTTATAGTTATTTTTTAGGATTACTGACTTGTGCAATGGTCGCAGAGATTGCCCAAACGGAGATGATGAGGATCACCTTCATTGCTTCTATCACAAATATGTAAGCTACAGTAACCCAATAAAAATCTGATTCAAGCATTTTCAGAGACTAGAAGAGTTTCAAAAGCTTCGGAAGATGCTAGATGAGATCCGAGGAAAGAGATATGTCTGGTAAAAATTTCGTACCCCCCCCCCCCCCTTTGATACGATCACCAAAATTTCACTTTTCTTATGACAAGTTTTTCATCCTTCACTCGCATTAATTTTTTTTCAAAACTCCTCAATGACAATTTCTTTCATTTTTTTCATATTTTTCTCATCTTCAACTCATTGTATCAACTCATTTCTCTCTCTGTTTGGTTTCAATTTGCATCAACAAACACTTTGCCTCATTTATTCGCGTAACACAATACACTGCATCTTCTATTTACTACCTAATAACATCCCATTCTGATTTGCTTCATGTTTCTTGACGAACCTAATTTGCAAAAATAAACAAATTTATCTATACATTGAAACAGCAAACTCGTATAGATTTGAGGGGGAAGCGTTAGCTAATCGGATGTTTGAGTAGAGAAATTTTTCAGTTCCCCAAAAAGTGCATTGTCAACACCCAGAAATAGATGAGTCGTTGAGGGACAACAAGTAATGACGTATTGAGAAGGGTACTTTTTATCCAGATGAGTTGGAAAACTATAGAATAGGCAAGGGACAAGGATGAATCATTATTCTGGAACGGGTACAAGTTTTTGGGTACAAACCGGAATGGAGCAACGGTGACTAATATGTTCTTGGAGGCGGGCTAGAGGAACAAATCCGGGTGCAAAAATAAATGGAAAAAAATTCGGAAAAGTTTTTCCAATCAGGAAATCAAGTGAAACATAATCTGAGTTGATTGAGATTCGAGAAAATTGAAAAGGTCGGATTAGATAGATGTCAAACTACAATTTTCAAACTAGAAAAGTGACCAGGGGTCAGATGTGTGGGAAGATTAGAGCATGAGTCATTGATAAAACAGCACAATTGTAGGAATAACTGATAGGTGAGTAAGAAGGTTCAAAATAAAGAAGAGGTGGGTATGGAAACAATCACTGGGTATAACCTACATAATTGCGTGTGATAAGAAAAAACCATGTGTAATTCTACCAAACAATTGGTTTGGTTGAGCAAGAAGCACATGATGAACGTAATTAATAAGTTCCGGAGCTACATCGGCAATGGTAGGACAAGAGAACAGGTGAGAGGAGAACTTTGACAATCGAGATTTTACAAGAAAAAACGAGAAAACGGTAGACAAAAAACATAGAGAACTTCCAAGATAGGTGTTTTTAGAAAGGCATTAAGAATTTTTCGAGAACAAGGCACCCAAAAACGTTCAGAGAACAGTAAAATTACTGTCCAGCGTAGAAAATGGGGTGCTTTAGGGCAAAAGCTGGATGGATTCTGCTCTCCCATTTCCATGTGAAACACTTGTTCAAGAAGTCCAGAATACGAGCGTTCTCCTTTCCTTGGAAAAATTCTCCAAGGCGACTCTCGACTCCAGGTGGTTGCCGACCGATTGCAGCGGTATCGTGCCTAAAAAACAGTAAATAAACTTTTTATCACAAGTATTTTCAACACTCACGGGTGTGTTTCGTAGGTCACCTCTCCGTTCTCATCTTGTATGGCAGTGCAGTATTTTGGATGACCTCCATAGGTGAAGAACTTGTTAGGATGTCGGATTTTTGCCATCATCTCCTTGGGTGGCATTCCGAAATAGTCGAGGAGAAGAGCAAACTGTTTCGCCGCAGTGTATTCATTCAAAAAATGATTTCCGTTGACCACACGGGCTACTATGACTCCGAAGCTCCACATATCAATTGCGCTGGTCACTTGCAGCTCCAAAAATACTTCTGGAGCTCGGAAATTTACCGTTTGGAAAACGTTTGTTCCGACTGGTTGATTCGAAGTAGCCGACAATCCGAAATCCGCAAGTTTCAAATTGAACTTGTCGTTGAGATTCAGCAAAATATTTGACGGCTTCAAGTCTCCGTGTACAATTTCATGACGGCGAAGAAACTCCAGCCCATGCAAGACGGATCTCAATTGCATGATATAATGCTGAAAAATAAGTTTCAGAATAAAAAATAGATGAGAAACGCAAACTCACAATGGTCTCTTGACGTGGTTTCATTGCTAAGTAATGAGTGAAATCCGTGTCGTAGAGACTCATTACAATGAACAGGTGCTTTCGGAAGTGTTCATAGTCTAACAACTCCACAGCGTGTGATTGATCTCCTTTTCCGTGCTTGTGGATTCTTAAGAGTGTAGCTGCCTCCTTATATAATTCGATATCGGTCTCTTCATGATCTTTACGGCAACGCTCTTTTCGTTTCTTGTATCTATGCACTTGAAAACCTGGAATAACAAGAACAGATATCAATTTGAAAATAGAAAAAATTACCTCGGCGTAGCTACCTTCTCCAATTTTCTTCTCTACGACATATCTATAATCAATATGATCATTCTTCCTAACGCGATATCTCCCCTCGTTCGTTGTAAATTGCTGGAGTGAGTGGCACGTCCCGAACTTGGCGTTACGTGACCCCGCCGTGTAAACGAGCTCGTATTCTTGGATCTCGTTCTGCTCGTACGGGGTCAGCTCTTTTTTGAAGTGCAATGCTGACTTTGGGAACTCCCACCCCGGATTCTTCGGTCTGAAACTTTTCTGGAGTTGCTAAAGAAAGCAAGATATTAAAAACAGTTAGTTCAGCTTTGCTTTGAGAGGGATTGGGAAAATTATTGACAAATGCTGCGAAAGCTTTTTTAAAAAGTTTTTTTTTCAATGTCACAGTAGATTTTCGAGAATCTTTGCTAACTACAAAATTGCAAATTCGATTTTTTGAATACACACATTTTAAGCTGAAAACAAACTCACGCCGGCTCGGCGATCAGATTCCGTAATCTAATGATGTATTCCTTATCAGTCTCGTTTGGTGGATCTTCATCCGATGAGAGCCGAGACCTGGGTTTGAGAATCCCAATCCGAACGAGAATCTGAATTGTAGAGAAGATTAGTTTGGTGAAAGGAAAGTGTTAGTTATGTTCCTACTCTTGGCGCTTTTAGAGGCATTTGCTCAATCCAATCGACTAGGTGTTGGATTAATGTAAGGAACTCAACTCAATCTATTCTGAATAAAAAGCAACAGGAAATTGGAAAATGACGCTTAATATGAAAACAATAATATTCACAAATTTCCTCCACCAACACTTTCATGTTTGGAGAGCCAATTTTTTCAAAGAATTTTTCAGTGAAATCTTAATTAACTAACAGCAATCTCAATGATTTACTCTTACAAGGAAACCGCAATACCTCGTAAACTCTGAAAAAATTGCAATAAAATGTCAAGAAAGGTCAAGTGAAGCCTATCTATACTTCTGAAAATTTTAGCCGCGTACTCAGTGCAAGAGACAGCTCAGGACCCTCAAAATCTACCGTCTCCTAATATTGTTTCGAAAAAAATCCACTTACCCGGTGGCTGCCTCGTTTGAAGCGTTGCCAGTATCTGTAGATCTTCATGTTCACAGTTTGATGACGATGAAAATTGTAGAACGACGACGCAAACTTCTGAAACTGATAAAAAAAGACACTGAAAAATGACAAGAAAGGTAGGTATAACACAGTTCAAAAACTGATTGGGAACAAACATAAAGAATGATGGAAACAACTAAACAATTTAAGGATTATATTCAAAACCAGGAAACTAAAAATAAGAAAAAATCAGCTTGCTTCAGAATCAGCCAAAAAAACAAAAAAAAAAACAGGATTTCAACACAAAGAATAAAAAGGTGGAAGAGAAACAGAAAACTGCATCATTCAGGATGGATTAATATGCTCAGAGGTTATGTATTCAGTCATAGAGATTTTACTACTGGCTCATAGTCCAATCATGGAGAGTGGCAGAGAATGGGTGCTTCATTGCGTCTTTTTGCGGTGATTCGGAATTCTGGCATCCACTGGAATAATTTCTGAAGAAAGTCCAAATGGGGTTCCTTGTTTCTTTCTCGGGAAGATTTTGTTGAGTGGAGTTGATCCTGGAAGCTTACAGCGACGAGAGGCATTGGTGAACTCGCTGAAAATAACAATTTTTTTTAAATACATTTATTTTCACTAACGTATCAACTTCATCCTTGCAGCCGCGGTGAATCATATTGGTTTTCCATTAAATAGGGAAAAGGAGTAGATGCTGGTAATTCCGAAAAATGTCAGATTATTCGGGATGGCAAATCAATATGTTAAGAAGCAATGAAAATATAGAACAGATAATGTAAAAAGAACGTTTCATGCGTCTCGAGCGGGAAAATTTTCACAGTCGTTTTTAAGACTTCCCGTGGAAGTTTTCATTTTTATTTGAAACTATTTTGAAATTCAAAAATGCAAATATCCATTTTCTTAACCATGCCTGTTACCCTCTCTCACCTCAAATGATGTATTTCTTTTGCATATAGGCTTCTATATTGGTCTCGAACGGTTCCATGACGACATAATGGAAATCACGAAACAACCCATAATAAAATTGGACGTAGTTAGGTTTTCGTCGGCAGCCATAACTTTCAGATGATTCTTGCATCTAGGAAAAAACCATCGTAGCGCCGAAGCTCCTAACCTTGATCGCAACTTTCTTTTTTATTCACATATCCATAACCAGAGATACCTATAAAAATTTAACTCAAGTCTAAGAGCGTTTAATTTTCAAAACGTACTTTTCCCGAAGTGCATCCTCCTACAATTTTCTGGATTTTGAACCGATATCCAATGTGATCTCTTGCTTACATTCTGTGATGAGAGCCATCTTTCTGGTACGGTTGGGTTACGGTTAATGGAGCTGTGTCCTGAGTGGTCTAGTAAAAAAAAATGTTCTGGAATTTGCGAATATTCCAGTTTGTCGAATGGAGAGATTAAATCTCCATATATATTGATAGCTCCACGTGGCTTGATTTCGAGGTGGTTGTACTGTACATCACTTTAAGAAAAATTTGATTATCAAAACATTCATTGCTAAATGACACTCACCTGTAATCTACCATATGGTTCTGGGCTCTCATCTTTCGTAATTCCTCCATATCTTCTTCCACTTCATATTTATCCTTGCTCAATGCAATGCGAGAATACCCCTCATACTTCTTCACAAGTTTTGCTTTTCCAGTCATCTGAAAAAAAAGAAGATAAAAAGGTACTAAAAGACAAAAAACAGAATGGAACCAACGGTTTCCAGTTCATAGTATTCGAAAACAAAGAACAACGAAAAATCGATTTTGATGTGTATGTATCGATAGCAGAGGAGGTAGAAAATCTGTCAATTACCGTAAAATCTGTATTAATATTGCGCCTCTATTTGAATTGCTCCTCTATTAGACTTGCACCCCTTGAGGGCACTTGAAAAATAAACTTGCTGCCTTTAATTAAATTGCCCCCGTAATACAATTGCATCTGCAGCAGTATTGCGGCTCCGCCGGGAGTACTGTGCAATTTTTAGTCTGTGACACCGTGAAGAACTATTGCACAGTTGTTTTTCGAATTTCTTTTTTTTTAACTACCTACCTAATTTCTGGTTTATTTTTATTTTTCTTTGTTTTTTAACAATATTTTCCATTTATTGAAGCGAGCAATGAGTTCTGAAGAAGACCTAGAAGACGTGGAAAACGTGTTCGATGTGGAAAAACTGATGACCTGGAACACGTGGAAAACGTGGATAACGTAGAAGACGTTGAAAAAATTGGTGAAAACTCTAGAAAGAGAAAACGTGGAGCACACACCTTAGATTACAAGCTTACGATGGTGAAATGAGCAGAATCAAAAAATAACGCGGAAGCAGCAAAGAAATTTGGAGTTTCAAGACAAAATGTGCAACAGTGGAGAGCTCAGAAAAAAAAATAATAGCAACAATCGCTCAAAATGAAGGTTTGAAAACAGATTACCTACTTGAGATAAAACATTAAATGTTGCAGTTCTCGAATGGATGGCTGGTTTCTTTTTTGAAGCGGCATGGATTTTCGAGTAGACGTGGTGCCACAGTCTGTAAAAAACCGCCAGAGTTTTATGTGCAGAAAATTATTGACTTTCTGCTTTATGTGGAACGATTAATTACCATGAATAATTATGTCAAAGTTTTCGCATGTGATGAGACGGCGGTTTATCTCGATTGTTCTAATAGTTTGACTGTAGGATCAAGGATCTAAACAACACCTCGATTTTTTGATTTTTTAAAATATGCGATACTTTTCTTTTTGTTTTGTTCAATTTGTTACTTTTTTTGTTGATTTTCATAATAAAACTGTTTTTTTTTTCAAAATTTTAACCTCAACTTGTAGTTTGAAAAATAGAATTGCAGCCTCTATTTGAATTGCCTCTCAAATAGAGTTGCACCCCTTAAGGTGACTTGAACAATAGACTTGCATGCAATATTAATACAGATTTTACGGTATCTGTGGGAAAATTCAAAAATACAAAAGTCGAAACAACTGAAAATGCAAAGTTTTGCATTTTTGACAATAGAGAAACGTGAAACAGTTTTTTTCGACAAAAAATGAGAGTTTGGTCAGTCTACTTTTGTCTAAATGGAAAGATTTCTCTAAAAGTTGTTTCAGCCGAATTTACAGAATTTTCTAAAAGCTAATCAAATCCACATTTAATCAAAGATAATGCAGTAGGACAGAAAATTTCTGTGAATAACATGATCTTACTGGACAATTTTGAATTTGGAAAAACTAGATGAAACATTTAAGAAATTCTTATCAGGGATTTTATCTCGTATGCGACAGGTAATCCATAATTTTGTCTGTAGAGAGATCAAAACAGCAGATATGTTGCAGCTGCGCAGAACAAAGAGATAAAAATCCACAAAGAAAAGTTTCTGAAAACGGCAATAAATCAAACAATTTCATTTTTCTACTCCAAGTAGTATGTCTGAATGTGTCTTTCTCGTTACGGCAGATGTTTTGGATACTTTTGGGAAAAAGAGGGAAAGAGGAAGAGAGGAAAAGAGAACTGCAAACTGTTCAATTTTTTAGAATAGCCAGCTGAGGACAACATAGAAAAATTATGCATGAGAGGTAATATTAGGATAAAACAGTTCTCGCGACCATTTTTCGAGATTCTAACCGTGATTTCACACAGTACAGACCAAGCGAGCGGTGAAACACAAAATGGAGATTCAAAGTTGAACCCGTCTGACAGCAATTTTTGTTATTTCCACAAAACGTAAACGTCGCGTCGCAGATGTTAAAACAAGGAGAGAAAAAGAATCTGTGAAAATGTGTTCCTACAAGGCCTGACGGAAAAAACGGTTATGTACATCACACCGGTTGTATGAGTAACGGCAATTTTTAGGAGAGTCGGGAAGTAGGTGAATATGAGGAGGAAAGGGGTGAACTATCAGGACAAGACAAATCGCAACAAAGAGGGACGGAAAAGAGAGTTTCACACCGGTCGCTCAAATCCCATTTCATCGATGTCTCGTTGCGGAAAAAAAAATTTCGGTGTGAGTGTGAAAAAAGGAGCAGGCAGATCAAAGGAAGAAATGCGTCTGAAGTATTGAGAAAACTGTTCGAATAGTTGGATGGAATCCGTTCTGAGTTTTGAGGAGGAATCGGCGAAGTAATACATAATTCATAATAAATCCACAAAACGTTAAAAACGTAAACGCCACGTATCCTAGCCTTCATTATGACAAAAAAAAGTAGAAGATGAGAAATAAGGAAAAAACTAGAAGGCAAGCGAGAAAGTCTGTATTGATACAGTTTGAATAAGGACACAGAAGATGGAAAGGTCTAGAGCCTACCCCACGGGTAAAAAGAGTGACGCTCGTGTGTCCTGGCTAGTCGCCGCGGAGATGCAGTTCAGCCAATGATCGGGGCAGAAAGAGAACAGTAATGAAGGAGTTCGAATAGGTGAGAGAGGACGACATAGAAGAGGAGTCGTCAAGACAGTTTTTTTCCTAAACAAATAGAGTTTCAAACTTTTCTGTGTTTGGATGTGTGAAACTAGCAAGGAAGATAAAGAGGTTAACAGTATTCAAAAGACGCTTACTGACAAGGGAAGTGTTTTCAGACAATATTTGAGAATTTCTTGAAAATTGGTACACATATACTTTCGGACATGGTCAATAACGAGACGACTTTTTTTCGTGCCCCTCGGTACCTAGAAGCTGAAAAAACGCGTCTGAAATTTCACCTCTGTTTAATGCATTAAAAGCGTGAGCGCGATCTCCCCCTTTCTTATACAAAATGTGGATGCAGTGAGGAACAGCAAGTGTGGTGTAGTGGTGAAGAGGGATGGTGGTAACTGACAAGGGTTAGTTCGATCCCTCTTTCCCCAATTTGTTTTCTGTTTTGTTTTTCTGATCTTGCTGGAAATCTCAAAGTGTGTCAAAACCTTTAGAAAAAATTTCCATTCAGATTTTTATTAATTTTGAAAAAAATAATTTTGACTTGTTTCAAAAAAAAAATTTTTTCAAAAAAAAAACCCAAGAATCATTTTGAAATTTTCTTGATGATACTCCAGATGAACCTGTCCAGTGAAATTCCGAAAGAGCGCGCCTCACATTATCCCATAGAGTTCTGGCCGTGTCCTGCCGTTCCTAGAACCAAAATGCCAATTTGTCGATTTGCCATTTAGGAAGTGAAATAGCAGAAAAGTTGAGAAACTGAGAAAAAAGACTATGAGCACTAGATCGAGACACACATACATACGATTTTTGTCATTGCGATTCGTACAGTTTAGTCGCAATTGGTAGACATGATGAGCGAAAAATGAACAAAAAAAATCAGACAGGACTGAGGTACTGAATGGGCAGTGAGTGTGAAAAACGACAATGGTTGAAAATTATTATTCCATATAAGGCTGAAAAAAGGCTAAATAAATCAGAAATAAAATCAGACAAAAAATCGCGTTTAAAACTACTGAATGTGAATGGACAAAATTTGATTTTGAATCACATCAAAAAAAATTTGGCACTCTGTTTCATTTCCATTTTTAGTGCATATGTGTATGGCCAGTAACATCTGCATTGAAGCAAACTGATGTGCATCCAATAAGCGGATATTTGGAATTTTCTTGAATTGTGAGGATTGAAGAGATTGAAGATAACTTCTGTCGTCATCAAGGTTTATCAGCAGTGTTGGACACACCATTCTACATTAAAGTTACTACTGTACAGGGTGAAGCACAAAAAATTTGTCTATCGCCTTTTTCAACGTTCAGCGGAAACCTTTAGTTTTTGTTGGCGGTGTGTTAAAATTGCTTGATGATAAAGATAAATCAGATAATAAATTCACCGACCGAGCTCTGTGTGCGCATTCATTAACCGTGTCTAATCTATATCTTGATCTTTGTGCCAGCCAAGCATAGATCATAAAATTTGGAACCTTGCGTTTTCTTTGCACCATTTCTTGTTTTACTTTGTTCATACCTTTGTCAACACAGCAACTTGTTCCAAACCATTTTTTTTTCCAAAAATGTTCATGTTTATTCAAATAGCTGGTTGATTCGAAATGAGTGTTGCGAAATTTAGACATAGAATCACTGTATTTATGTTTGGGTCTACATCTCACGGGTTGTTCTATGCATTTCCATGTCTTTGATGTTAGCAGGAATTTGTTCGTGTTGGTTGAGTTTTGCATTTCTCTTCTATGAGAAAATAGTCTCAAGTTTTTATTCCTTATTATTCTTCATCTGAATTTTTCCAAACACTCATTAGGAAACCGTAATATTCTCAACAGTCTTTTCCTTTTCCTCCAACTTTTTTTTCCTCAAAAAGCGGCGGACAACAGAGAAAAGAACGTACAGTGCACTCTCTCGTTCTCCTCAATCGTAATCTCAAACTCCATTATGCCAATTCTCCTCATCACATATTCCTTTTATCCTCCAGAATTTCAAACTTAAGTGCCGGCTTTGACAAAATGAGGCAAATAATATTGCTATGCCTGTCGTCATTTTCTAACGATGACAGCCTTCTCGGTTCCATAAACTCGAAGAAGAGAGATGTTGTATATCGACAGCATTGAATTCACAGGCTACGCGCGTCACTCTATGTTTCCTAAGCGGTGGAAGTGAATACCATTTTTTCTCCTCGCACAATCTAATGCTGATTTTTTTAAAATTAAAAGGATTTTCTGTTGTTTTCCAACGGCTGCAAATCACAAAAAAATAATCGGGTTTGTGGCAACAGGTGATTTTAAAGCTGTCAAGTGAGTATTGCCACTTTAATTCTCTCTCACTCGTTTTGGATAAGTTTTGCAACAAACAGCTTTGGGGATTCATGATCCTTCTATATAATAATAGTTTAATGTGGGACAAAACGCAATGCTCGCCATGAACTCACACAGATTTTTAGGATGTCATACTGTTTCACTCACAAGGGAAGTGCTTTCAGACAGTGGTTGAGAATTTGTTCAAACTTTGGTCATTGGTACTTTTGGACACGCTGATCACAGCGCTGTTTTTATTTTTTGCCCTTTGCCCCTCACAAAAAAGTTATAGGCTCTGAAAGTGATTTCAGTGCTAATTTCTCACTTTTGGAGTGAATTTTTGGAGGGGTTAATAACAGTTGTTCGGAGTTTCTCGAATGTAAATCGTACTTTTGAAGGTTTATCTACAATCTGAGAAAGTAGCCTCATTTTTCAAAAAGATTTTTTTTTGAAAAAAAGTCGCCATGGGGTACCCCCTTTGGAAATTTTTACAATTTTTTGAAAAAATTTTCAAATGTGCTAAAATGATTTCTAAACGTAAAAAACCCGATAAAATGAGTCTTTTCATGAAATTTGGTATTCTAAATATTTTTGGAAATCACAAATATGTGCTTTCTTTCAAAATTTTAATGGATCGTAAGCCTTCGGTAATCACCCAGTAGCACTCAAATCTTGTAATAGGTTTACATAATTTCTGACTAATTTATTATTTTTCCGCATCCAAAATGAGCAAATCTGGGTGGTTCTGACTAACAATTTGATTAAAGATGGTTTTCCAGCAGTTCTCCAAACGTTTAAGTTATAGTTTTAAGTAAAAATATATATTTATTGAAGCAAAATCAGCTTGAAACGAGACGACAATCGAAAAATAATTGAATTTTAAAAACTGGATACAAGATAAATGAAAACTGTTTCATCTGAAAATAGGCACGTGAATTAATTTTGAAAATGTTCAATAACTATCTTGAATTTTTGTTGCAATACTATGTTAAATCAACTTTTTGGTCCTCCTTCTTCCACCTCCGAGTTGTCCAGATTCTCTTCTTGTTCCTGAAGTGTAATAGAAACCTGGTTTGGAAATGAGTCTATCGGTGTTGTTTCGATTGATGATGAACTCTCTGGATTATCGTGTGAGATTTCGCTCGCAGTTTCCTCATCATGAGTTTGAGCGATTTGAGAGAGGATTCTTGATAATATGCACTTCTGTTTGCGCAAGCAATATTTGCACCACTTTGACCTGTCCTTATTTCCTAATTGAGCGCGACACATTTTCCCAACTTTTTGAGCAGGATCTGTAATAAAAACTACTAACACATATACTTAAACAGAGGATTCCAATATCAATTGAATCAAGGCAGTATATGACTTCGAACTTGATTTTCACATACCGTAAAAACTCTATTAGATAGCCACCTCTAATTGATGCCAGCCTCTAATACAGAACCATCCTAGAGCACCTCCGAACAATAGAGTGCCAGCCCCTAATATAATGTCACTGCGGAGTTGATGTCACTATGGTAAAAGTTAAAGAATAACACAAAGAATCATTTCCTGGTTTTCTAGTTTTTTCAAGCTTAAAAGAGGTACTGTATTTGTAAAAATGTGTCAGGATAATATCAAATCCGAAAGTTTCTAGAAAAATAAGTAGAAAAATCAAGAAAACCTCGGAAGTCATTTTATGAAAGAATTGAAAATAGAGCACTTTTGTGATAAGTTTCAGTAGAAATTAGCTTCGAACAATAAAGTGTCAGCCTCTAATTGAATGTCACCCCCTAATACAGTGCCACCCCAGACCACCTTCGAACAATAGAGTGCCATGGCTATCTAATAGAGTTTTTACGGTAATAGCATAAAACTTACTATACTTCTTTGACTTCTTGAGGTTATCCTTAGCGGACCACTCTGGATACTTTTCTTTGTGCCGTTCTTTTTCAATTTTGGCCAATTCAAAATACGGTTGTTTCTCGTCATCTGTCAATTTTTGCCAACGTCTTCCAAGCTCTTTATTCATCAATCCTGATGACATTTCATCGTATCCATTTTCTTCTATTAAAGTTTTTCGGTTTTCTTTAAGAAACAACATAAATGCATTCAACGGCTTTTTGATGTGATTTTCTTTCTTGTGATTTTGGTTTATAGGATTTTTTTGACCGGCCGAAAGAATCGTATCTATCAGGAATGATGACTTTGCTTTCATCGCTTCTGGGAATGGGACCATTGGAGCGTTTGTATGAAAACCAGTTAGAGAATTAGCGTCCAACTGAGTTCGGGGTGTCATGGCTTGCATTGCCATCGGGTTCATCAGGTTCATTTGTATGTTGAAGGTTGGAGGAACAAGTGAGAAAGATGGCTGAAATTTTGATCAGGTGTTCGAAAAAGTTTCACAAAAAATTAGAACTTACCGTAATCATTGGGGCCATTCTAGGAAAGTTATAAAAAGGGTTGTATTGTGTGATTGGCAGCATGCCGGGCAACAAATTCAGAGGTAAAGGGGGCAGTATTTGTGGTTGTGGTAACGAGGCTGCAATTTGATTTTATGGTAAGCAAAGGGTCGACATTTTGTATTGATGGACACTTCTAGAAGCCAAAAAAAAAAACATGGATCTCAGGAGTCGTAAATAGTATTAAAATGATTAAAACATTTTTTAGTGAACAAATAAAATGATGTTTAAGAAATCTAATCTTTGGCATGGTAACTCACGCTTATGCAATTGAGGCTCAACAATCTTGTTGCAGCCGTAATATTGTAAACTCTAAACTCACTTTCAAGAAATCCAACCCTGTTGGATGTTGGATTTTTCATTGAATCCATTGATCGAATCGTAACTGAATACAACAATAATTGAATAAGAGGAGGGAAGTCTCGATAGACCAACAAACTAAAGAAAAACTGAATAATGAAGTGATCTTCTCTGCGCACCAATCCGTCGAGATCATTTCAGCTCTCCGCCTTATTGTATCAGCAAAGGGTGAAAATGCTTTATTTTTCTGTCTTCAGATGGATTACGTTGGTTTTTTCATCCTCAGGTAGAGTTGTGTACTTTTTTCCTTTCTTCTTCGGAAGGAATTGGAGTGGGAAGTCTCGAAGGTTGTAAACACTGAAGGTAGTAATAATATGTAAAGAAGGTCTTATTGTATCTTACCCAAAGACTACCATAGGTGGGACTCCGGTGGCGTAATCTGAAGAAGCTCTGGTTTTGAAAGTTCTGAAAATTTCAAACTCACGAGTACTTCAAAAGTTTAGGATATTTTTTGAATTCCTGAACATTTTCATCAGTATTTTCAAAAGTTTTTGGTCTTCGGATAAGGTGTAGTGTTTTAGTGGAATATAAATTCTACAGGGTGAGGCAAAAGTACGTGTGCATAAACAAGTCGTTATGACTTTCTTCTAAGTAATCGGAAAATTTTGAAACTTTGCAGGCAGAGTATTTCAACGCTGAAATTTAAGAATAACGTTAATTCTTAGAATTATCTTTTTTAGCTTTCCCGCTAGGATCGGAAGAGTGGTTGATTGCATAATGCTTGCGGCTCTCTTACTAATTATGATGGGACTTTGAAACATTAATGTTTAGAAAATCCTGTTCATAACATGCATGAAACATGAAACTGTATGATTTGGTAATCAATGAAACATGAGACGTTCAAACTTGCATAAGCAGTTTGATGAACCTACTCTTAACCTCAAAAAAAAAAACATCCAAATCAGAGTAAAAATTTTGAGGTTATGAATTCAAATAGTTGTAACTTTTGAATAGGTCATGAGATTTTTTCAAAATTTGGCAGATGTATTTAAAATGACTTTGAGCATCAATTGCAATTTGTTTGGGCACTGTATGACAAATATTAGTATGGGTAATTTTGATTCAAAGTTATGCACACGTACTTTTGCCACACCCTGTACACCCCGTTACAATATATCACAAAAAAAAGGTTGGTTGTTTGGAAAGTTACATCCATAGAAAAATATTGCAAGCATGTTCTAAACGATGTCGGATCAACTGATGGTCTTGGTAATTGTTCTCAATGATTATCAGCTAACGGCCCATCAACTTGCAGATTTTTCCATGTTTCTTTTGGCTAAGGTTTACTTGTATTTGAAAATAATTCACAATACTTTATCTCATAAACCTATTTCTGCTATTTCTAATTGAAATCTCAAAAAACTTTCCCATCATTGAAAATTTATCACACTCACGTGCCTTACTCCTTGCTTCATCTTTCTCAATTTTATTTTTCCACAAATCACTATTCGTCTTCCTCTTCTTCTACAACTGACTGAAACGATCACCGACATGTTAAAAGCGTGTTTTTGCTTTTTTTTTCAAATATCGACCCTTTCCAAAATCGTATGTTTGCGGAGATTACGCTCTAGCCGGTCTGGGACTCATCTGAGACCCAATTCTCGGGACACTTAGGACTAGCGGTTACATATCCGAAATCAGTTACAAACCGGAATACAACAAAGACAGTGAACAGGATATCTTCCAAAAAACCTGTTAAGATATGAAAAAATTTGAGGTGATTCTTGCAACTAAAAAGAGCTGATTTTATTCAAAAAAATTTAGATCGAATAGTGACTCTCGCTCTCCAGATGATTTGGATTTTCTGTAAAAAAAACGCAGTTTTTTTCTAATTTTTTAAGGACCAGAATTTTTCGGTATAGCCGCAGTCAATTTTGGAAATATTTTAATGATATTCATTCGAATGACGATTTATTAATAATCAAACTGATTTATATGCAGAAGCAAGAAGAAATTCAATAAAATCGGTTCTTTTTTAATAGCTTGATATTTCGCAGGCATACAATTTTACAGCTGAATATCAACAATTTCGTCCACTTCTCAAATTATGGTTTGTAGTTTCTCCAAAAGAACACTTATCCAAGGGCTCCGAAAATTAAAAAAAAAACACATTTGTTCATAAAAAACACTTATGAATTTCTGATTTTCGGGAGTCTCGAAACACTAGGTTCGTAAAAAAGAAATACTTGTTTTTAATGTATTTTAACTTTATGCAAACAAGAGGATATTAATGAAACCGAAGTTCTCTATTATTATAACCCTTTTTTGGCAAAGATTCAATGTATTTTTCAAAGAACTAAACTGTCTGTGGTTTGAAGTAGTTTGCACTTAATGTGCATCACTTTTTTACCAATCTAATACAGAACGTCTCCCGAATGCGCCACCGTGATATCACTAATGCTAGTCTGCCGAGAAAGTACGAAAAACCCTTCTTCACCTATTTTTATTACTAGTGCGTCTTCAGTGTTTACAACCTTCGAGCCTTCCCACCCCAATTCTTTGTAGAGAAGAGTGGAAAACAAACGTAATCCATCTGAAGACAGAAAAATAAAGCATTTTCACACTTTGCTGATACAAGAAGGCGGAGAGCTGAAATGATCTCGATGGAGTGGTGCGCAGAGAAGATCACTTCATTATTCAGTTTTTCCCCCATTTGGTGGTCTACCCAGACTTTTTCTTTCTCTTCATTATTGATATTTTTTGCTCCGATTCGATCAATGGATTCTAAGCAAAGTCTATCAGCCCACGGGGTTGGATTTCCTCAAAGTAAGTTCATAATTTACGATATCACGGCTGCATAAAAATTTTTGAGCCTTGAGTAATCTAACAAGGGAAGTGTTTTCAAAAAGGCTTTGAGAATTTCTTGAACATTGGTGCACATATACTTTCGGACATGGTGAATAACGAAACGACTTTTTTATCTGCCCGGATGTACCTGGAAGCTGAAAAAATGAGTCTGAAATTTCACCTATGTTTAAGCGTTTTAAGCGTGAGCTCGATCTCCCCCTTTCTTATACAAATTGTGGAAGCAGTGAGGAACAGCGAGTGTGGTGTGGTGGTGAAGAGGGAGCGACGTGTCTGACTAGGGTTAGGTTCGATCCCCTTCTTCCGAATGTTATTTTGTTTTTTTTCTGACGCCTCTAGAAATCTCAAAACGTGTTAAAATCTTTTCGAAGAAAATTTCATTCCGGTTTTCATTTTTTTTTCTAAAAAACATAACTTTTGACTTGTTTCGAAAAAAATATCAAAGAAATACATTGTGAAATTTTCTTGAAGCACTGCTGGAAATCCATCTTTAGTCAAATTGTCAGTCAGAACCACCCAGATATCATTTCGGGTGCGGTACAGTAATGAATCAATCAGAAATGATGTAAATCTTTGTTATCAAAAGATTTGAGTGCTACTGCGTGGATATAAAAAGACTGCGATCCAAAGAAAATTTAAAAAAAAATTATTCCTGACTTCATAAATAACTTATTCCTGACTTCAAGAAAAATGGGAGTCACCAAATTTTGTGAAAAAAACTTATTTCATCGCTTCTCTACGTTTAGAAATCATTTTAGTATATTTTGAAAATTTTCGAAAAATTGTACAAATTGCCAAAAAGGGGTACCCCATGGCAACTTTTTCTCAACATTTTTTTTTTGAAAAATGAGGAAACTTTGCCAGATTGTGGAAACACTTCAAAAAATAAGGTCCACAATCAGAACATTTCGAAAAACTGTTCTTAGCCCTTTCAAAAAGTCATGTTCGAAAGTGCCAACAACCAAAGTTTGAGCAAATTCTCAAAGCCTTTCTAAAAACACCTCATTTGTAAAGTTGAATTAGCAAATATTAGGCTTTTGTTTTCAAATTATTATTTTGTTGAGTTCCACTGAAACGGTTCTATTCATTTCGATACAATTTTTGGCTCCTGAGCCGACTCATGTTGTTTTCGCTCCCAGAACCATCCATCACCTCAAAATGTGGATCTATACCTAACAATATCATAAAATTACAGTCTCGTACCCACAACCACAAATGCTGCCCACTGTGCCACTATATTTGTTGCCTGGTGTGCTGCCAATGACGCAGGTCAACCCATTTTATAATTTTTCTGGAATGGATCCGATGATGACGGTGAGTAAACGTTTTTAGCAATTTTTTGAAACACAAATCAAAATTTCAGCCGCCTTTCTTACCAGTGCCATCGATTTTCAACATGCAAACGAACCTGATAAACGTGATGTCAATGCAAGCTATGACACCCCTTCCTCAGCCGAATGCTCTTTCTTTAACTGGACTTCCCACAATCATCCCAACGGTACCGCTCCCAGAAGCAATTCGAAAGAAGTCATCATATCAGATATATACGATTCCTTCGGCCGGTCAACAAACACTCGGAAATGAAAAGAACAGAACAGCAAAAAACATCAAGAAACCGTTGAATGCGTTCATGTTATTTAACAAAGAAAATAGAAATACTTCATTGGAAGAAAATGAATACGATCAAATGCCAATTCTCACCCCAATGGTCCCAACTTTAGAAGCAATGAAAACAGAGTCAGCAAATCAGATAGATACGATTCCTTCAACCGTTCAACGAGTTTCTCTAAACCGACGCCAAAAGAAAGAAAATTACATCAAAAAACCGTTGAATGCATTCATGTTGTTCATCAAAGAAAATAGAAAAACTGTATTAGAAGAGAATGGATACGATCAAATACCAGCAGGCGAGATAAATAAAGAGCTTGGAAGACGTTGGCGTGAAACTTCACATGAAGAGAGACAGAAGTATTTTGAATTGGCCAGAATTGAGAAGCAACTCCACAAAGACAAGTATCCAGAGTGGTCCGCCAAGGATAACTATCCGAAGAACCCCAAGAAAGCGAATAAACGAATACATGGTGAGTTTCATTATGTTATGTGAAAACTCTGTCCAAAGTAATATTCGTTAATAGTTTTGATTTCAGATCCTACTCAACATCTTGCAGAAATGTGTCGCGCTCGATTTGGAATTGAGAACAAGGCAAAGTGGTGCAAATATTGTTTGCAAAAAAAGAAATGTATATTATCAAGAGAAATCACCCAGAGTTATGAAGAAGAAATAACGAGCGAAACCTCACGCGGCAGTACAGAAACTGCATCATCAAGCGCAACAACGCCGACAGACTTAGCCTTGAATCAGGCTTCTTCTACGCCTCAATCACGAGAAGAGAGTCTTCAAACAAGTTTATCAACAAACTCGGAGGCAGAAGAAGAAGAAAAAGCATAAAGTTAATTGAACTCAAGACTGCAATAAAAACTTACGATGCACAAATCCTGGGATATTCTTTTAACATTAGTCTTTTTCAGTTGTTATTTATTTTCATTATCTATTTTCAGTTGAATACTTTTGTCCATTTTTTTTTATTGTACGCCTTTTTTATAAATTGATGAACGTTTAATTCATGATTTTAATTGTCTATTTGTTCCCAGCGAATTTTGCTTCCATGAATAAAATTCGATACTTGAATTTTAGAAAACGATTTCTTGCATACCGTCAAAACTGTAATACAAAGTATAAAAACAGAAAATGGATCGAATTATATAGACTCCTCTGGTACTCTATGAATCAAGAAGAAAACTTCGCTTTGGTACCTCCAATCATCTCATAAGCGTGGCGTTGTATTAGAGGGGGTCTTCAAATACAGGTGGCGTTATATTACAGTTTTTACGGTAAGTTTAAATTTTATTAGCTTCAAATCAAAAATTAATTTTATCAACAATCAACTTTATTTTTTCATCACAAACATATAATTCTTCGAAGAAACTTTCATGGAAAGCAAACCAACGGTAGGACACAAAGAGCCTTTGGACGGTCAAGAAATGATCTCGAATGCCTTTTGAAGACTGGCCTATCAACGCATATTTCTTTTTTGCAAACAAGTCCATCCAAACAGTCTGCCGAGTTGTTGCATGTCTCATTCCGAATCATTGCAGTACTAAAAGCAGTGAACACAGACAATGTTAACACCTGGAATTTTAAAGTGAATAAATGAAAAAATAGAAAAGGGAAAACTCACCAATAGAAGATTTGAGGTAAGCATCTTAGAATGAATGAAATGTGGGAGGACAAAAATTTTTTGAGGGGTTTCAAGAAAATCTGGGCGAATTACAAAAAAACATGTATGGGGAAAAACGTGAGAGAGACAGGAAACGTAGAGGCAGATTATCAAATTTTCTTGAGAAAAACAAGATAAAATGTAGAAATTTGTGAACGTTTTTAAGCATAGATCTTGAAATGAGAACTGGGAGAGACCATTAGTTAACATTCGAAGAAAGTACTAGCAGCCGTCTGATGATGGTCTGTATGATGCGGTTAGATGCTAATGAGCAATCAGAATTGAGCAGATAGATAAGATTATCGTATTAGAAAATATGAGATGAAGTCATGGAAAACAGGCGAGGAAATTAATACTGGATTCTGAACATCGCAAGACTAATTCTGAAAATTTGTTGTTTTCAGACATCACATCGGCTGTCTCAAAATACTTTCCAGATCCTAAGTCAATTGAATAGAGTGCTTTAATTGTTTTTCTACAACTTTCAAAAACACCACACGAGTTCCACTGAGTTGAAACCGTTATCTTAAACTGACTCACGCATTCAAGATTTTTTTCAGTTTGAAGATTCTGCTTTGTTACTGATTTTTAAATGAATGATAACCACTTATCAACTCCTAAATGAATTATCCGAAAATTTTAAATATTGCTGAAAATTCAAGAGTGAAATGAACTACGTATGTTCTAGCTTTTTTTTCTTGTCGTTGGAATCCAACAAATCAAAATACACTGCTTAGAATTGTAATTTTCATTCCAGGATATGTTTGAAGTCATAAATGGAATCTTTAGCCACGACCATCGGCGTTTCTCGTTCACAGCTCCAATTTTGTTCTGCCGGAATATTATTCGAAATACTGAATTCGACAAAAGTTTTTATTTCAGAAGTTTATATTTTTCAATATTTGGTTTAGTTTGAACTGTTCGGAACAATAAGGAAGATCTGAAATATACTTTCAAGACTGCAAAGTTGACCAAATTATATTGGATTGTAAAATAAGTAAAAATGATTTGTTTTCACCCGGTACTGTTTGTTTTTCAAATGAACAAGAATCTTCAATGAACGAGAATCAATTTTATACTAAATGTGACTTGTGAGAGGAGTTCCCACAAAACTTTTTCTTCAGGTTTTTATTTTATTTCCAGCAGAAGTTGTATTTCATCCTATCCCAATATCATCATCCCATTCGCATTCTTTTTCGTAATGGGTTTCTCATTTCCTCACATTTCCTTTCCTTCTCACCATAAGCCTGCCGTGTTAGGGGCCTTCTCTCACACAATAGGTCTGTATATGCGTGCGCATTTAACGGCAAGAGCTAGGAGGACACGTCACCATGTGTCTTCTTTCCACTCTTCTGCAGTTCTCATACATATGTATAGATTGAAGACGAGAAGAAGATGGGGGTCATATAGAACACCACGCACCCTCCGTTCATTGCGTACTCTCTCGGTTACTCGCCCGTTTTTCTGCGCTCTCTTCCTTGCCCACCCGATAGTAACCGGTTCTCTCTCGACTGATGACGGCCCACACAGCAAACGCACCCCACTGAAAACACAACACGTTATGTTACTTTTTCGTCGCCTATTTTTACCTTTCGTCATAGAACTTTCTAGAGTTAAAATTTTGTGTTCATTCTAAAAAAAATTAGATTTTTTTCTTTTCAGAATGGCGGACGCAGTGGCTCCTGCCGACCCGGCAGCAGCAGCTCCAGAGGAGGTAAATTAACTTTTTGAATTCAAAAGTTCCAATATTGTTTGTTTTAGCCGCGGACATGGAGTTCAATCATTTTTGGAATCCTGAAACAAGCCATGATGTTCTACTTTATTTCTACTATGCTTGGAAAATTCGGTGGCGGAGGACAACAGAAGACCAATTCGACAGCTGCAGCAAATTTGAAGGCATTCCCTCCATCAGTCAACCTGTTTCCAGCCGGACAGCTTTTCGATCTCTACATGTACCTAGATGAATCTGTGAGTTGTTCAAATTTCGAATATTTGTTGAACCCTCAAAACATTACAGGAATTTCAATTCAACAATTTCGATAATGGAAACCTATTCGCAAAGAAAATGAGACTGAAGTACGGAGATTGGACTAGCGGACCTAATAAGGATGGATCATACGTCTTTGAAAAGACTTTCCCAACGCCAGAAATCTTGCTCAAGAACCAATCTTACTACCTCCATGCGTTTATTGTCAAAACTGGACAATCACCAAACCCTTCTGACAAAAACTACATTCGGAGAGAGGTAAAGAAACTAGTACAATAATTATGAGGAAACTAACAAAATTTTAGGTCGTCTATGGGTCCTACATGCTCAATAAGTACAAGAAGAAGCACTACAAGAAAACTGCAAATTTGCTGACGGGAGTCAGTGAGCAGAGTAATGAAGACCTGGCGAAGGCGGAAATTATGAAGTTCGAGGTGAGTTCGAGAGATGAGAAGTGCTACTTATCAAGTATCCTTTCTATTCAGATTCTCAACTTCTGGCATCCAAACATCTCCATCAACATCGTCGACGACCACACTAACTGGCATAAAGGTGGTGTACCTCCTCCACTCGACAAGGATCTCAAGTTCGCTCCAAATGGGGAGTTCTACCACCCAATCTTGTTCTTCAACAACTACTGGAACCTCGGAGCTGACTACATGCCTATCAATGAGACCGTCAAGGAACTGAAGCTGTCGGTCACCTTCTATCCACTCTCCCTGTTCAAATATCAAATGTATGCCAGTCAAAATGTGAGTAGCCAGATAGCAGGAGACAATGAAAATTTGCTATATTTCCAGATGAGAAGCCAGTGGAGTGACATCCTCCAGACCGAGAAGGAAGACGACGACTCTATCAAAGTGGCACTTTTGGAAACTAACCCGATCCTTCTCGGAATCACAATTGTTGTTTCCATGCTTCACACTGTTCTGGAGCTTCTTGCCTTCAAAAACGACATCCAGTTCTGGAAGAGTAGAAAGGACCTTGTGGGACTTTCGGTACGCTCTGTGTTATTCAATATCTTCCAGGTGAGAGCATCTATTGAAAACATCTGGTAACTATTAAACAAATTGCTTATTGGTTTCTTATTGATGGGCCAATGAAGTTCTTGTTGGCTTGTTTTTTGGGAAACACTAAGTCTCTCTTTTGAAATAACTGAAGATTTTGGCCTTGGGTAATCTCTGTACTTTCGGCACTTACTGCAGAATTGGGAAGAAACTGCAGCACAGAAAAAAGAACAAGACCATTATTTCACATAAAAAACAAAAATTTCAGTCCCTCATCGTCTTCCTCTACATCTGTGACAACGAGACCAATTTTGTCGTCAAGATGAGCGTTGGAATCGGTCTCCTCATTGAGTGCTGGAAGATTCCAAAGGTGCTCAATGTTGAAGTGGATCGAGAGAACCTTATCCTCGGTGTGCTTCCTCGATTGAAGTTCAGCGACAAAGGATCATATGTGGAGTCAGACACCAAAGTGTACGATCAAATGGCATTCCGCTATCTGTCGTGGGTTCTATTCCCACTGCTTGTTGGATATGCTATCTACTCTATCATCTACGTGGAACAACGTGGTTGGTACTCATGGGTGTTGAACATGTTGTACGGATATCTGTTGATGTTTGGATTCATCACAATGACACCTCAGGTGAGATCATTCGTCATTTTTAGAGGTTTGGAGAGTCAAGCAATACAGTGCTCCACAAAATGATGCTTCCACCCTCCGTGTTTACAGAAACACCTATTAAGGTCATTATTCGTGAAAAGGTGTCAACATGAGAAATAAAGGTCTCCCTTCAAAACCTACATACTAAAAATTTGGACCCATCACCGTGACCCGGAAACGAGATACCGGAAAAAAATCTAAAAATCACGTTTTGTTCGATCCACAAAATGATGCTTCCACTCTGGAAAAGTGAGATATTGGAGGTTTTTGAGCTCTGCGGCCACTTTTTGAAGGCCTGAATCTGAAGAACTTTGAGTATCTGACATCCATACACTGAGACTTTAATACAGGGTTACTGAATTCCGGATTCCGGATATCCGTTTTCCGGTTTCCGGAAACTGAATTTCCGGATTCAAAATTCCGGTTCACGGTTTTCGGATTCTGTATTATATGTCTTGAATTCTGTGTACTGAATTTCGAAATATGATCTCCGGATTCTGGGTTCCGGAATCCGGATTTTTCGATTCCGGTTTTCCGGATCAGCTTTTTGAATGAATTTAAACTTCCCGAGAATCTGATATTCAGGTTTTCTTGACGAGCAAGAATTTCAGGAAGTTTCCGGGAGGTTACGAGAGCTTCTGAGTTTCTGAGGGATTCTGAATCAACTTGGGATTTTGAAAGATTCTCCAGGATTATGAGAGACGACTTCGCTCTAACTACCACGACCACCAAAAAGATCCCTTCTGCTTTGAAATTTCTTCAGGACAATCTCGAATTTCGTTTTTGAAGTCTTGGGAGTCAGAGCGAAATCCGGGACCATCTCTCATAATCCTGGAGAATCTTTCAAAATCCCAAGTTGATTCAGAATCCCTCAGAATCTCAGAAGCTCTCGTAACTTCCCGGAAACTTCCCGAAATTCTTGCTCGTCAAGAAAACCTGAATATCAGGTTCTCGGGACGTTTAAATTCATTCAAAAAGCTGATCCGGAACACCGGAATCGAAAAATCCGGATTCCGGAACCCAGAATCCGGAGAGCATATTTCGAAATTCAGTACACAGAATTCAAGACATATAATACAGAATCCGAAAACCGTGAACCGGAATTTTGAATCCGGAAATTCAGTTACCGGAAACCGGAAAACGGATATCCGGAATCCGGAATTCAGTAACCCTGTATTAAAGTCTCAGTGTATGGATGTCAGATACTCAACATTCTTCAGATTCAGACCTTCAAAAAGTGGCCGCAGAGCTCAAAAACCTCCAAAATCTCACTTTTCTAGAGTGGAAGCATTATTTTGTGGATCGGACAAAACGTGATTTTTGGATTTTTTCCGGTATCTCGTTTCCGGGTCACGGTGATGGGTCCAAATTATTAGTACGTAGGTTTTGAAGGGAGACCTTCATTTTTCATGTTGACACCTTTTCACGAATAATGACCTAAATAGGTGTTTCTGTAAACACGGAGGGTGGAAGCATCATTTTGTGGAGCACTGTAGAATAAGGGTAGTTGTCAGTTCTATGTCTGATGCAATAAGAATTTTGGACAAACAAAAGGTTTCAAGCATACTTGTCGACTTGCCGTTTCTGTGCCGGCATGGATCCGCTGATAACTTGCTTCAAAACTGAAACTTTGGTTAGACCAGCATACCAGACAACAGCGCTTGGACGCTGTATGAACTCCAATAAAAATCGACCAGCTTCGAAAAAGGTAATGTGGTTTGGGCCGGCACTTTTTAGCCTGACCCGCCCCCGGTTACTGATTTAAATGCTGGTAGATTTTTATTGTAGGTTATAGAGCTCACCGAACTCTATCATCTGATATGTTTTTCGTCCTTCGTCCGCAATTTTGTGTTTTAAGCGAGTTATCAGCGGACCCGTCCCCGCCAGAAATCGTCCCGCGGACAAGTATAGTTTCAAGACATTGTTTAATTAGTCATGTCATCTGTAATCAATTATGATAGCACAAACTTCAATAACTCATCCAATATAACACCTTTTCAGCTCTTCATAAACTACAAATTGAAGTCTGTGGCTCATCTTCCTTGGAGAATGCTGACCTACAAATTCATCAACACCTTTATTGACGACTTGTTCGCATTTGTCATCAAAATGCCAACGCTCTATCGTATCGGATGTTTCAGAGATGATATAATTTTCTTGGTAAGTTTCACAAGATCCCTGATTAGTCGACAAACAATAATTTTTCAGATCTACCTATACCAACGCTGGATCTACCGCGTCGACCCAACCAGAATGAACGAATATGGAACTTCTGGAGAACATGAACACGGAGTACCACCACCAGTTGAAGGGTCCACAGATAATGAAAATGCCGAAACACCAGCAATTGAAGAGTCAAAGAAAGACAAGTAGACATCCATAACATGTTGATTTACCTGTTGAATTTTATTTTTCGAGTATTTTATTCCTAAGTCATTCCTTACTTTTTCTGGAAATCAGATTTTCTTTAACTTCACCTTCACTAACGTTGCTCAACCATTTAGTCTCACCATAATCAGTATAGGCACAATCTGTTGTCAGGCATCTCAGTTTTCTCTCAAAATCCGAACAAAAAAAATTGAATTTTGCTCCCAAAGATTACTGTTCTCTCCATTTTTCTACTTGTTCTGCTGGTCCGTGATTTCTTCTGTGATTGATATAGTTGAATCCTCGCTCTTGTTAAATTGAGAATGAATTGAACGATTTTTGTTTCAATCTTTTTGATTTCAAGAATCACAATTTTTCTAACTTCATGTTCCAGAACTAGAGAAAGTGAAACTTTGTTTCTTCCGGTTGAGTTAAAAATTCAATGTTCATACCAATCAACCTACTCAAAAAAGTGCTGCTATCGGACAGAAGGAGAACAAATTGCATTACGCAATATTTTGGGTTGTAAGTCATTATAATGACTGGATGAGGATTGTCACTTGAGAAAAAGCCATCCCGAAGATGAAACATGTATGTCTATATAATTTCAAAAGACACAACCAACCCCTCTTTAGTCTTTTTTCATTCCCTTTTTTTTCCTATTTGCCTTTCCAGCTGCCAGGAGAGACAGTACGAGGCACCAATTTAGTTTTGCCTTTCTTCTTCTTTTTTTTGCATCCACGGTTGTCCTCGACGTACTGTAACTGGCTTTACCTTCAGGCGAGCGTACCTTTCGCAGTCAATAGTTCTTCTCCCCCTTTTTACGTAACACTTTTTTCGAATTATTTTTCTTGACACTTCGTTCTCGGTTAGTTAATTGTTACTATTCCTAGTAAGAAGGGTTCTAGAAAAATTGAAGTTGAAAATGACCCATAGTTTCACTAGTTTCAAGTTTTCACTTTTTTGCAGTTGTTCGTTTTTGTGGAACTTCCAACTTTTTGAATTTTCTGGAGTTTGTTTTTGATGCATTGCAGTTTCATTTTTAGAGTAGACTGCATTTCTGGAACAAACAACTGTTCGATTGTTTGGCTCATTTTATGGACCGTTCAGACAAGTTCATAAATTATGTTGAAAACTACGAGACTTTTTTTGTAGCTTCCATTTTCAAAAATTAGTTCGTTTCAAGAAGATTTGCATATTTGATATTCCGTTTCTCACTTTTTTACTCAAATTCTGAAGACTCTCAGAGGACTTCTTAAAAAAGTTCCCTTGACAGAGCTACATCTATACACTTGTTTGAAATCCAATTACATTTTTCGCCTAAAAATCTGATCTCAAATTTATCAGTACTGTGCTTTTGTTTTTGAAAGTGAAAACAAATACAGTTTCTATCAGTATGATATTTTTCTATAAATCTTCATTATTCCAAAAAATCATTTGTCTGTGAGAATTAGCTTCATCAAATGAAAAAAGTGAAATCATTGTCACTTTCAAGCACCTACCCTACGATCTCCTTCAAAAAGACAGACACATACGAGTACCTGGATCCCCCTCCTTGGTGAATCCGATTCCTCCAAAAAAGTGTATAATATGGCATCTGGTTTTACCTTCTTTGCTTCTCTCCGTTTGTAGGTGTGCTGACTGTGTACATACACTTACAAACTTTGCCCGATTTTCTAATTTGCATGAGTTTTCAATGGGCCGAAAATAAACTATTGTCATTGAGGAAAAAGCCTGAAGTCGCTTACATCATCAATTGGTTAAAAGTTTTTTTTTCGTGATCGGATAAAAATTGTCAAGCTGAGGTGTTTGCTGTCCTTCACTTACCATACTATTTCTGGAGAAGGTTGATGAAGAGGCGTACTATATTTCTGTTTCTCCTGCTGACGCAGCTTGTATCTATAGGTGAGATTCCTAAAATTTTGATTTAAAGTTTTTTTTTCACTTTTCAGTTTGTTCATTACGGGTTTGTACCAGACGACACTACAAAATCCATTCAGATGCCATACTACAAAGGTGAGTTATTTGAATTCATAGAATCCGAATCCTAAAATATTCAATTCAGAGTTGAATTAGTTTCCGCCGAGAGGTGTGTAGAACGATGTATAGAAGACATGCAGTATTGTTTTATTGCTCAATTTATCAAAGACGAAAATGACGTAAGCTTCTAAACTTTCTAAAAACCTAACGAAGCTTTAATTTTCAGTTCCTTGGTGTGTGTACACTTTTCAATGAGACTAAAGATGCTCAAATCCACCCAGATGCCTCATTATCTCCATTATCTATCATTTATGAGCTTCTCGATAAGTGTCCACCATTCACTGCAAGTGATATTACGCACCGATAACCAAACTTCATAGGGATGCTCTATTGGATGGAAGAGAAGCTGGTAAGTCAAAGAAAAAGGAGAAATGCGATTAGAAAAAAAATTCAGAAAATGACAATATGGCTAGACTGGCGGATGCGTTCTTTCCGGAGAATCGAGATCATGTTGGATCGGACGATGAGTTCAAGTTGGAAGGAGAACGATATGCGGTTAGTAAGATTTTGAAAATTTCTTTTTTTCTTAAATTTTGGTTTCTCAATTTTCATTCGCCAACTTGTCTTTGTTGTTTCTAGGTTATGCGGAGTATCGAAGAAGTCGAAATCCAAGCCGCCAAAAATCGAGAAGAGCTTCCCCGAGACCCCTTTAACGATGGTCCCCGCTTCCACCAATCCTCTCACGAACGTGAACGTGGAGATGATACAGACCGTCAGAGAGACCGAGAATATCTGAAAACCATCGATGAAACCGAGAAATCCGCAAGACCAATCCGTCCCACAATTTTGCATCGCGGACAACAGTCGTCTCAACAAATGAGTGCTTCACCGATGGCGTCTGGGAATCCATGCTTGCGTAATTATTTTCACTTTTTTCTTTCTCGATTTCTTTTCCTTTATAATTAGCTGTTGGTTTATCGAATTCTTATTAATATTCAGCAAACGCAGCCTGTGCACGTACACTGTATCAATTAGATACTGCGCCATGTCCAGCTCGCCAAGGAGATCCGTGTGCTCCAAAAAGACCATGCGTAAGTTTTCTGAAGAGTTGGAACATTAAATTTTTATGTCAGATGAATGACGACTGTTATCATGTTGCACCGCCTGCTCAAGAAGCTCCACCAATGCCAGAATGGACAGAATGGTCCGAGTGTTCGGCAAGTTGTGGAATATCATTAAGAACCAGGCAGTGTCTAGGTATAATAAAACTGGAGAATAGATTTTCAAATAAAAAATGTAGGAGGAATCTCATGTATTGGCGCTGCCACAATACCATGTCAAGTCCCAGAATGTTCGGTTTGGACACTATGGAGTCCATGGTCCTTATGTACTGCGACTTGTGGAGTTGGTGAGATCCAACGTAGTCGAGTGTGTCAGACTGGTAGGAATTGTGAAGGTCCCAGTGTGGTGAGTCACTTCGTTTCCTATACAAATGACTTTGACAAGTTCTGATTTTCTGAACTGACAAGATAGGAATTAGGTTGTTTACATATATCTTACAACTTTTGAGGCTACTTCTGAATTCATCCCTTCTGCCAGAAATAGAAATACATTTCATGAAACTGTTTGCCTTTTTCCGCCACGGCACCCATGGCCAAATTCGCTTTTACCCAATCATCTTCTTCGGAACTAGCCGGTGAAGAAGTTATATGTTGCATCATTTTGAAAAGGCCAATTAGAGAGGCGTCTCCCCCTCCGTTTGTACGTATTCACCTTCTTCTTTGCCAAGAAACATCACGTACTTGTTGAGACGGGTTTCCGGGGGAACATTTGAAATGAAAAATACCTCAAAATTACTCAAAAATACCAACTACAAAAAATAGTCCACTTATATTTTCAAAAATCAGGAAGTCGAGGCGTGTAAATCACTGCTCCCTTGTCCTACTTGGTCTTCCTGGATGCCATGGACAGGTTGTGGAAACTCTTGTGGGAAAGGCATCGAGAGACGATCGCGAATCTGCCAGGTGAGGTGACGATAATTGAGGTTATGAGTCAATGAAGCAAAAAAGTGAATGGAGGAGTGAAATGAAGACGTCAAAAAACAGAAGAAAAAAGTAAAAGCACAACACTTCCATTTGCAGAATGGATTACTTTGTCCTGGACCGGCAACTGAAGAGAGACCGTGTGACAAGGGACCATGCCCGCATTGGAGTTCGTGGGGACAGTGGGAGAAGTGCAGTAAAGAATGTGGAGCTGGGCATACGGTAATTATAAGGCAATGTAGCATTTCAGAGCCGCCAGTTTCTAAACTCTGAAGCTTGGCTGTAATGTTTTTGATCACTTTGAAAACTTTGGAGGATAGGAAACATACCAAGATGGAAAGTTTACCATTCGCAGCTTTTCTTTAAAATTTCTAGTTTTCAACGGGTTGCCAGTTTCTAAAATACAACTGTTTTTTTTCATGTTATCAGTACAAAAACAGGGTAAACCGGTAAACGACAAATAGCTTGAAAACTGTTAGTTTTTGAAAAATTCTGTAAATGCGAAGTTTTTAAACTAGTTCTGTTTCACATTCTCCAAAATTTTCAAATTGATCGGAAACTTGACAGTCGAGCTTCAAACTTCTGGACTGGGTCAAAATGACCGAACTTCAACTCAAAGTTATGTTCTTGTATATATTAATGTCCGGGCACTGTGTATAAGTCCTTCAAAATTTCTGATCATTCAGTACCGCACTCGCGAATGCATCGATGGTGTTTCTTGTGAAGGTGCTTCCGAAGAAAAAGTTCTCTGTAACCAACAACCATGTCCCGATTGGTCTCAATGGACCGCCTGGACAGTTTGCGATGAACGATGTGGCGAAGAATCTATCCGTCTTAGAAATAGGTAGTTTAACACTCACTGGTTGCAAAACAAATCCAAAGTTTCAGAAAATGTCTGAATGCAGACAATAATAATGCTTGTGAAGGACCTGCGCAAGATCAAATGAGCTGTCCATATCGAGGTTGTCCAAAATGGGAAGAATGGGGTGAATGGGCGGATTGTTCCACTACTTGTGGTCAGGGAACTCAGAAAAGGCGCGGTACCAGAATTAAAAAAAAAACTCCAATTTTAATTTTAGACTCCGAAAATGCGATGTTGGAAACGAGTGTACAGGTCCCTCGGAAGAGATGCGTTTCTGTCAAGTGGCTTCATGTCCTTATTGGGGAGATTGGAGTCCGTGGAGTGGGTGCTCTGTTAGTTGTGGACAAGGTGTTTGTGAGAGGACCAGGAAATGTATCACTGATGAATTCTTACAACTCCCAACATTAGAAGAATTGGAAAGAGATGACTCGCTGGAGAAACATGGTGAGAGTTCGTTTAGCCTGTTTGATTTGCACACTAATATCTATTTTTGATATTTTTTCAGAAGCCAAAGAAGCCCTCATTGCCCGCGCGAAAACAATTTCCAAGTATCGCAGAACTAACGAGGTCTGCAATTTTTCCAAATTCCCTTTTCACATATATCAGACTTGCAGACCCGATTAGCTCCCTTCCGGCAGTTGAACCCTGAGCCAGAACTGGGCGGAACATGCGATGGACCGGAGATGGAGACAAAAGTGTGCGATGCGGGTGAGTTTTCATCCGGCTTATCACGAGTACAATGTCTAGCTATATAATTTTGTGTTTTAGGTCCATGTTGTGTGTGGAATAGATGGACCGAGTGGTCTCCATGCATCGGATGTGGAAGAGACGGAATTTCGAAGAGAAACAGAGTGTGTTCTATGGAGGGACACTCGCCTGCACCACCTCCAATCAGCTTCCAAGTGAGAAGAAAGCATGAAATTTGTAGACACTAATACTTGAGTTATATCTAGGATAATCCAAGAGGCGCCTATGTGACTGCTAGCGGAGCCGTAGGTCCTAATCTTCTAGCAGGACTGAGTCCTATAGTGCCAGTTGAAATACATCGAGGAAAGCGTCAAGTACTACTTGGAATTCATGCAACACCTCAGTGTCATTGTCCAGGAGACACTTTCCAGACAAGACCTTGTTTAGAACCAAATTCTTGTCAAGATCCCGTCAGGAGATGTGAATGGTCAGAATGGGGAGACTGGTGTGGTTGTATGAGGTGTAGGGTGAGAAGGGTCGCATGAAAAACGTTGAAAATGTTCTGTTGAATTTCAGCCAGGAAAAGAAGTTCGCCGTAGGTTCTGTGATAGGAGTCAAGTTGGGGGTCCAATGCGTCCAGATTCCACATGTGATTGTGGTGATGGGGATGACAATCAAGAAAGACCATGTCCAATGGAACGAGTAAACAATTTCAAAAACAATTATTAAATATTCGATTGTAAATTTGTAGAGTTGCTATGGAGAAGCTTCTACTGGCAGGTTTGGCAATGCAGCTAGTATGCAGAACTCGGATCAACGGCAAGAGTTCAGAGGGAAAACTGGTGCATATCAGAGCCCATCAGGTAGAATAACTTTGAATGATGGAATGATCAGAAAAAATTGAAATCTAGTTTTTTAGAGCAGTTGTTGAGAAATGAACAGTACCGTTCAATAAGAAATAGAAAAACGTGTTTTTCAGTTGAATTTGACCATTTTCAAGAATCTGGAGGTCAAATGTCCAATCACTCTGAAAATTTTGGAAGTTATAAAACAGACCTAGATTGAAAATTTTGCACTGACACAATTTCATGAAAAAAAACCAAGTTTTCCAGCTAGCTTTGCCGATTTCTGAAGGACACCCCTTGTTTTCTTGTTTTTGTACTGAAAACGGTAAAAAGTAGGTGTCCATCAGAACTCGACAAGTACCTTTAAACTAGAAACTTTCAACAAATTTTGTGAAAACAAATTTTAATCTGTGTCTGTTTTATAAACTCCAAAATTTCAAGATGATCGAACACTGGACAGCCGAGCTCTAAACTCCCGAAAATAGTCAAAATCAACTGAAAAATGCGATTTTGTCTTATCTTATTATAGGTTCATATTCTTCCAAATTTTCGAATGTTAAACATCATTTATTCAGTCCCACACCATGGGCGAAACGGTAACGACAACAACCGTCGACTATCATCTCATTCTCGTGGTCCAGACGAATATGTTCCAATTGACTCTGTCATTGGTAGAGTTCAAGTAAGTTATACCTCTTTACAATTTTACACTCCAACTTTATTTCCAGCTCCGCGCCGGCAAAGATTCCCAAACATACAGCAAAAAAGACAACCCAGAAGCATTTGAAACCACCGAATTCCCATATAAAGTAAGTGATCTTTTTCAGCTTTGATCCCTCTCGTTTTTACTACCTTCCCTTTTCTAACCCTCCCATCTTTATTCATTTCCAATTTCCATGCAAATTCTCTTTTTGTCGAAATGTTAATTTGTCTTCCTTGTTCCCAATTCGAACTCTCTCCAAAAAAAATTCCAATTAGTATTCGTTTTTTTTCGGGAGAGAAAGAACGAAAAACAAAGTGGTCGAGAACGTTAGGAGAAGGAGCAGGGGGACAGAATTTCGAAAATTTGCATTCAATTGTACTTTTGCAAAAAGCCGCAAATTCGGAGCTCTTTACATTATCCGAAAATGTATAAAGTTGTACTTTTAGGTATGCCATTGGTCCAAATGGTCTGATTGGAGTCATTGTCACAATAATTCCACCAGGGAACGAAAGAGATTCTGCATAGGAGAGAAAGGTAGACCATGACTTTTAGGGACCTTTTCAGTTGAGAAAGTTGTCTTAATCATAGTGTACTTTTAAGATTGTGCACTTTAGAAATTGAAAGATTAGTGTGATTTATTAAGCACAAAATTTCTCCCGAATTAGCTTGCTAGTTACGAAAAACGCTGTTTTGTACTTTTAGACTCTGAGCTGGTGAGTAACTGCGAGTGTGTTGGAAAGCCGCACGAAGAGGAGCCCTGCAACGCCACCGGATTTATTGAGCAAAGCAACGAGGAAACAGACAGAGAAGTGTGTTTTTTGAATCATAATGATACTAGGAAACGAGACCTTCTCCTCTTTTTTCAGATAGAGAACAATTTGGATAAACTTTTGGGAGAGGATGGAGACTCTGAGGTGGCAGCAGAGAAGCCCCCCGCCGAAGAGGTGAAATCGAAAGTAGAAAGTTCTATAGGAAATGTTCAAGTACAAACTAATTTTAGTTCTCCAATAAATTACAGTAAACTTTTTTCAGTGTGACTGGACACGATGGTCGCAGTGGAGCGTTTGCACAGCGACTTGTGGAGAGGGCCGTCGGATGAGACGAAGACGCTGTCCCTGCGGGTACATTTCTGTTGAAAAACTATGATTCATATCCCTGTTTTCAGAGAAGCCAAATGTGGAGCTGGCATCGATTCCGATTCAGAACCGTGTCAAAGTGTGCCCTGCCAAACAGGCCATTCAGAAAGACGGAAGCCCATTTTCACCATTCTCCCCTCGTCACCTTCTACTTGATCAGAAACCTTCGACTTGATCAGTGCCTTACATTTCTGATTATAAACAAACTTTACATTCTGCTTGAATTTTTCAACATAGACAGCCACTATTATCCCCTCTTATATTTGTATTTTTGATCCCTCTCTCAATTTTCGATTCAATAAGATTTTTTATCTTGCTCCTTCCACAAAGTCTACATCTAGTGAAGCAGAAGAATTAATCCGAGTCTCATTTACGAAACCGAGACGTTATGACGTAAACGGCACACACTGATACTGATGTCTCCGCCCTTTTCAAATGAGCTCAATGTCTAAATTGATCTATGAATGCAAATATTTGATATCAAAAATCATCCGCCTCAAAAGCTCAAAGTGAGCAGCAGTTTACATCTCTTACGTTGTACGTCGACAGCTTCCAGAAATGGATTTGAAAACAAATGCCACTTCAGTGCATCGTTTATTTCTGATTTTCCCTTCAGTGGTTATGTTTTCATCGCTTTGTTTACGAATCGGCTCGTTAGATTTTCCCCCAAACTCCGCCCATTTTCACACTCACTACGAAACTCCGCCCCTTTTTCATTCATATCTAGTTATCAACATCACTTTTTTTCAGTTTCCCTCTTCTATCTGCCCATTAGGCGGTGCAGGCTTTTTTCTTTTTTATACAAAACTTCACCAGGCGAATTTCAGGTAATTATGGATTGGTTTACGATTCTAGGCGTATCTGGCTTCATCGTGGTACTGATGGTTCTGTCTGGCATCTCGTCTCGGTTCCTATGGCTCGCTTTCATCACCAACTACATGCCTTGCAGATACAACTACTTTCGTGGAGAATACCGAAAATTTATAATGAGGTGAGAGATGGGTCGAAGAGTAGAGAATTAGGACGATTTTCAGCGGAACTGTCCACACAGCTCTCATTTGTACTTTCTCGATTATCCAACTCGTCATGCTGAAGTATTCCATGTCCATCTCCTGTTTCCTCTGGGGATCCCTTCATACGCTCTTCCTCGTCCCGTCAATCTGTGCGTTGGAAAGGGCAAATTTAGATGGAAACCAAAATTCAGAAAAAAATTTAAATTTTTCGGGTACACCTCAGTTTCATATTCAACCATCAAAACAAACGATAACTACAAGTCAGAAATGATGTTATGTCTAAAATTTGGTTTATAGTGTACTCTAGACTTTTTCAACTGGATGATAAACAACTCCTAGATTTTCTCTAATTGGCAGCCATTGAGTATGGTAGACAGAATAAATTTGAGAGCGTTTTATAGGTCACACTCACGTGATATATTTCCGGGGATCTTTGATTTGGAAAAAAGAGGGAAAGGGCAAAGGGTGACAAAATTTTAAAGCTTTAACTATGGGTTTCGTTAAAAGAAAGTATACGGTATTTTCTTCTGTTGACTGGAACCTCGAACTTTTCTCTGAATATCTTGATTTATGTGAAAAAAATCAGGCAAAAATTCAAAAAATGGATTCTTATCTGAAAACAAAGGTGCCCTTAAAAGTTCATCAACTTTTCCTCTTTTTTGTATAACTGACGACAGGTGTCTAAAAATATAGTAGACTCTGTTGGACGAGACTGATATTTTCTTGGTTCATCGAACAAAATTAGTACTTCATTCTGTTGTTTACAGTTATTTGGATCAGCTTTCTCCAAATGAGACCCACCGCTTAAAGAGGTCATTTCTCTAATTTAGTGATGTTTCTGGAAGTTTTTACACTTGATCTGTTCCAAGCGTCATATCTCATTTCGATGAAATTGTTTGAGAAAGTTGTCAGCTTTGAAATTAAAGATGTATGTTGACTGTACATCCTTGGCTTGAAGTGGAATCGCGATAACCAGTGCATCTATTAGTGTGGATTGAAAGGGGCACTCAATACTGGGCTGAAAGTCCTCTCATTCTTCTGCAAAACTGGGAACCATATGTAGATCGAAATTCACTTTTTGCTGGTTTGAACGCCCATTTTTCTGCATACCGCGGCATTGGTAGCTTGAAAGCTCTACGGATTGAAAATTTCAATGAAGCTATTAAAGATAAATTCTTTTTTGATGAAAATTAGAGATTTTTAGAAACGACCTGTGATTGTCGGTCACCTTGAACATGTGTTTAAAACGATGTGTTTGAAACGATGCAGAATTTCTGGGAATCCATACGAGTTGCGCGAATAGTATTATTTTTTTAAAAAATGAACATAAAATTGTTTTTCCATAGTGTGTGAATGCCAACTCAACCCCCTTTTTTAGTCTACTACCACCTGCTTGTTATCAACTACAAGTTTCGCGATTTGGAAACACACTATGAGAGACAACCAAAAGACTACGAGAAATCTCTTCTTGTTGATGCACTCTCAGTGATATTGTATTTCATAATTGCCATATACTCGTTCTTGCTTTTCAATGCAGAGGTCTATTACCCATATGGAATGGTACGTTGCTTAATTTTCGAAAATCTTCTTCCAAATACCACGTCTTAGTACACTTATCCGAACTACGACCCAGCCACCTATTTCCATTACGATACGTTCATCACATCGCTTCGTGTTATTCAAATAGGCTCGAGTTCGATGTTGCTCATTGATTTCTCCCGAATTCTCAAGCACACCTACAGAGTTTACCGATCCGATCTTTGCTATAACGATAACGACCCAATCGATACTTTCAGCCGTAGTATCAACAAACAGATCACTCTTCATGTAAGCTATCTGAAGAAAGCAGAAAAAAAGAACAAACTGTTTAAGGTTCTACATGATGTTCCTCTTATCGTCCCAATCGTCTACATGGTTGTTCGTGCTCATCCAGTTCTACGTCCAAACGGTAAAAAATTATTTGATGTTGTATTTTTGTGTGAAACGCTATGAAAATTTCTTTTTAACTCCATTTTATTGTCTTTTAAACCTCAATTTTATTTTATTCAAATACGACTTATCCTAAAAATGTTTTCTTCTTGATCTCAACTTAATTTTATTTCAGTTTTCGACATCATCGCCAAACTCTGGGTTTGCATTCATCCGATTGTGTACACTCTCATCTACATGTATCAAATCCATCGTCCAACACTCACCACATCCCCTGAAGCAATGCAATGCAAGTGCTGGAAATGTCGTCCAAAACTCGACGGTACTAATCGGCCCATTTGTCGCTGGATTACGGAATGGTGTTGCCAGAACAATCCAAAAGAGGAAGCGCGCGAAGAAGAAAGACGTTGGATAGAAATGGGAGAACGAGGAGAGGGCGAAGTAGCCGTGGCGGCGACAGCAGAAGCAGAAGCAACGACGACCGGAGACGAGGCTGCGAATGCGCAAGAGCAACCGACGGAGACTACTCCGGCATTGCACACTACCGAAATTTATGTCTGAACCCCTGCACTTTGATTGTCATTTCTTTGAAAGTTCTATACATTTACTTCCACCGTCATCCTTATATATCTAAATTTTTATTTTCACCATCTCACCAGGCTTGTTTGGAACAAAATCGTTTCAGATAGCTCGGGAAAGAGGAAATCAACTTTTTTGTGTTACACACTTCCAGAAGTTTTGAAAAATCAATTTATCGATTTTTGCCCAAAAAATGTAGAATTACGTTGAAATGGAACAAGTTCCCATTTTGCAGCCTTCCTTTTGAGGGTAGAAAATATCTGGAAATCATAATTCTTCGAGATTTTTCCCAAATTGATTTTCACTTATTTTTGAATAATGCTGAAAGTTTGAAATTTTTTCCACGTTCTCGGTCTCCAAAATATCTGATCCTTCTCAAAAAATGGGATGAAACAATTTTGAACAAATTGGAAAATAGTGATTTCGGTTTTTTTTTGGATTCGAACAAGTTTTCATTCTGTTAGTTTGATCTCCAATATATATGTTGGCCCATGTATACACTTTATAATTACCTTTCACACATATATTTGTCTCATTAACTATCTCTGAAGACTTTCAAAATAAAGTTAAAAAACTGAAGAGCTTTTAGATTTGCAGGAAAGAAAAAAAAACATTATCGAATAAGTGAAAAAGTTGATATAAAAAAATTCAAGACTGTTTGGTAAACTATATCGAACTTGGGGGGAAAATTGGCTTTATTTCAGTTAAAGGACTCCATGAAGTTTGTGGAGATTCAAAAAAACGCCGAAAAATAGGAAACCCTAAAAAAATACTGGAGCAAAAATTGGGGAAACGTTTTTACAATTCATTTTTTCAGTTTAAAAAATCATCCTGCCGGTCAGTGAAGAACATCTCTCTGGTGATTTTCTTCAGTGTTCCGGTTCACTATCAAGTTCGAAAAATCATATTAATCGTAAAAATTCCTGATGATCTTTGACTTTGTCCTGGGAAAAACAAAACTTTCTTGCCAAAACTTTTTCCCTCAACTTCTCATCACTCCTTAAGATTTCTCTCCACAACGTTCTCATATTTTTCCGAGAGCACTTTTTCAATTTAGACCTTATTAAGTGGGAGCAATATTTCAACCTTGATGGCTCCCAACACCTGTCAGGTCATAAATTTGCCTCCTTGGAAATTGGGAAATTGGGGCGCTTCGTTGTCTATACTGTGTCTGTGTGGCGCCTATTCGGCGCTATTACGAAATTATTCTGAGTGTTCGTTCTTTTATGCCCAATCTCTCCACTTTTCGTGTCCAAATGAAAAATCTCATTGTTTCTGCTTATAAAATCTACCTCAAAACAGCAGGAAAGCTTATCCGCGAAGACTTTACGCGAATTTACGATTTTTTCACTCCGATTCTTTCAAAACCATGTCTCACCATTCTCAAAATCATTGGAAGCTTGTTCATTTTTGCACAGATTGTGCTTCTCATCATTTTTGTTTTGTTCGTCGTGCGATATATTATTGGAAAGATGGGATATCCGGTCAGAAGGACCATGCACCAGTGAGTTTTATCTAAGGAACTTTTTGGATCTGTATGGAAACTTGAAGACAATTGATTCTGTTAATAAAACAATTCTTTCTAGAATCTACACATTCTTGCTGGCAGTGTCAGTTATTCAAATCTTCATCTGCCAATATATTATTATCATTCCGCTTCAATTCGTTGTTCTCATGGTTTTCGTTGCAGCAGTCGGTGAGTTTAAAAAGTTATTGATAATCAGTAAACAGTTTTGAGTTTGCAGGCATGTTCATTCTGGATCCAGAGTAAACATTGAATCCTCTCGCTCATGAATCGGAGCCATAAATTTTGTCGCTTCTTCTATCAAATTCTGATTTCATTCATCCTCCTGTAACATTTCATATTTTCCAAGCTACCCGTTTCATTATTATTTTTTCTTCACAGAACGTCTATTGCTAGAAATAAAATTTTTCAGTGCAAAAAAATCGACGGAGTGCGTAAAAATGCACTGATACATCAACGATCATACAGAATATTTTTTGGCGTTTCATCTGCATCGGTGGGGACTTCTTTAGGCGAAAACTTAGAGAAAAATAATTTCTTGATGTCTCATCACTTTCAATGAGAATTCTTGAAGTTCTTGAGCAATATGTTTCAATGACAGTTTTGTTTATGTGAAACTATCTGTAGGTATTTTTTTCAAATGTTATGTTTATTTTTGGTAAATTCCTGTTTTTTGAAACTTTTGAGAGCTTTTCCTTTTTTTAGAACTTCTCCTTGAAAAATAGGCTACTTCAAAAGTCATAAACATTTTTAGTTTTTATGTGCTCTATTTATCGTAGGCAATTACTTGAGTTGAGAAACCCAAGAATTCCAAAAATAAAAAATATAATCATTCCTGTCATATAGAATTTTTGGAGTACTATTTTAATAGACATAAATGTTCACTCGTTTCTTAAAAATACAGGGTGGCTGAAAAGTATTGAGACACTTGTTTTTTGTTGTATTTTCAAAAATGGAGTTTCAACAAAAGAACCAGATTTATTTTTTCAACAAATGATAGTAATAGAAAAGATATCAGAGGAGATATTCGAAGTTTGAGCCTTCGGCCTTGATGCACGCCTTCAAACGAGCTGGAACAGAAGCGACGGTGCGCCGGAGGTAGTCATCGTCAAGATCATCCCATGCTTTGAGCAAAGTGAATCCACATTTGGGTGCGATCGAGCCATCACCTTTTCCTCCAAATATCCCCAAACGGAAAAGTCGAGTGGATTCAGATCGGGCGAGGAAGCGGGCCACATGTCCTTGCCCCAGTAGCCAGGGAAATGAGCGTCGAGAACAGCTTTCGTGGATTTCGAGCCATGGGACGGGGCCCAATCTTGTTGAAGAATGAAGGGTTGCTGGCCAAAGTGGCTAGTGACCCACGGACGTAAAACATCCATCAACACCAACTTTTGGTACACATCCGAGTTGATTTTCACATTTCTATCAATGAAAACCAATGGGACTTTACCTTCCGACGTCAATCCAGCCCACACCATCACTGACTTTGGAAAAAGTCTCTTGTAGGCCAGACGACGTTTTGGGGACTTTGCTTCGTCCTTTGACAACAATTGCCGAGCATTCTGTCGGTTCGGAAGCGGCTCAACCGTAAAAATTTTCTCATCAGTCCAAATGACTTCAGAGAGGCGGCGCACCTTGAGTGCGTCGAGCAACTTTTTCGCTTTTTCGAGCCGATTCTTCTTGGACTGTTCTGTGAGGTATTGGCCACGAAGGAGCCGATAACTGTTCAGACCCAAGTCCTTTTTCAAAATGGATTGAACCGATTGTCTTGAGATTCCGAGCGATGAAGCCATTTGGTTCATGCTGACCGCATCATTTCGTGTGATTCTCTTCTTGATGATGCCACGAGTCCGGCGAGTGTTGACAGTACGAGGTCTTCCGCTTTTCTTAAGCTCCAACACATGTCCTCGATCTTTCAATTGTTGCACAACTCGATAGACAGTTGCTCTCGGAAGAAGAAGTCTTCGAGCGATGTCACCGGTGGAGATGCCGTCGTTGAACAGCTTGGCAATGGTTTGGCGATGAGGAGAAGCTCGCATAACTTCGTGAAGAGATAAAGTGATGGGAAATGGCTCTAATGTCGGCTTATATACGCTCCCTATTTTCGAAATAATACGAAACTTTTCGAAAATACGACTTGGCACGGTGCCAAGAGCCATTAACAAGTGTCTCAATACTTTTCAGCCACCCTGTATATAGAAAACGACAAAAATCATTTTTTGGGGCATTCGTAAAAAGGTACTGCCATTTCGAAAACACAAAATAATATCAAATGTAATTTCATTCGTGACCGCCAAGAAAGACCTCGAGTGTGCCTCTGTCATACTTTGGTCCAAACAGTTCTATTCAAAAAAAATGTCAGAAAAATCAAGTCGGAAAAACGTCTCTGAGTGGAAACCTAATTTCCAATGACAAGGAAAGAACAGAAAATGAATCAAAGATATTCTTTGAGGTTCTTTTTTTTCGAACGTCTGCTCTTTTTTCTCTATTCCCCTCATCACTTGACTTAATGATCTGTAACGCTGCATTTCAAATGATTCAAAAGGAAAAATCCCATTACTCCCAAACTGCCGCGTTGCACCATTTGTCATTTCGTTTTCTAGAAAGTTCCTGATTCAGCGGAGTTCAAGCATCAACATCATGCAAATTGACTGGTGTCATTTGTAAAATCGTAGTTTGTATTGCAAAGAACAGACTTCCGACTAAAAATTTCATTAATTTTTAGGGAAATTATTATCTCACAAGCATGAAACGTGTATTTAGCGAAACCCATGATAGTAGTTTTCCAGTTTCTCTTCTTTCAATTCTTCATTCCCATACTCAGCTGTCTAAAATCCTCCTAAATTTGAGTTATTTCTTTGATTTACTGATAACAAAGACCTCTCTAGAGAGTATTCTCAGTCAGATGTTTTTCAAATAGACGATTTATTATTTTCAGTTCCAATCTTATTACAGATTTACCGTTCTCATTTATCTGCTGTGCATTTGTTGATTCTATGATGTCCATACTGAACCTGTTTAACAATTTGAAGCAATCGGACGTCACCGAAATCATTTGTCTGAGTCAGTTTGAATAACGTTGTCGCATTTTTCGATATTTATCAATTTCAGCCATTCTGGCATACAGTCTCTTCTACGTTGTTGAATGTGTGCTCAAACGCGTTGAGCTTGGTATACGTATTAGGCGTTAAGGACGGTTAGTAGTGATAAGAGATAACAAAATGTTCATACAGTATTTTTCGAAAAAGTATTTGAAAATGTGACTTGTCCAAAACAAATCATTTTCATTCAGACTGGCAAGCAAACAAAGAACTAAAGAATTTCAGAATTCTTTTTTGTTTTCTGAAAGTGTTTTCAAGTAGATGAAACTTAAGAACTAGGAACAAAAATGATCTTATCACAATTAAATAACTTATATCTCCAAAAAATAAATATATTTATTACCTTGGACATGGAAAATTTTGATAACTGAATGAATCGCATATCTGCACCTACTTCTAAATTTTTTATATCGAGGCATCTCGTTAGCGATGTATGGATTGTAAAAATAATCTACGGATTTTCGATTTGTGAGCAATTTATATTTGTTCCAAGAAAAGGTTGAAATCAACCATTTTTTTCTCTAAACTTTTTTAATATAACATGTCTCAAAAGTATAACTAATCATGGTGACAGCGCCCAAATTCTTGATTAAATTTTTTGCATAGTTGGTTTGAAAGTTCAAGATATGCTCGTATTTGAGATTAGAGTCAGACTTTCTTTATTTTTAGACTCCGACATTTTTATGTGTCGGTTTTATTGACTTTTGAAATAAGAAATCGGTTATTTTCAAACGTCTGACCTAAAGTAAAAATGGAATTCACATTGTCATAAAAGCCTTTTTACATAGTTTTTTTTCAAACACTTTCTCACTTTTCAGAACGTCGACCATCACCAACACTAATCATGTTCAACACACTCGATTTCTCATCTATTGTTGAGTTTTTCTTTCTTGGTGAGCCTCATTTTTTCATTTGCAACAAACTTCAGCTCTCCCATATTTTCAGTTGTGTCGCTCTACAGTCTCTCATTTGTCATTGAGTGTGTGATCCGCCGCTTCGAGCGGCGAAGACGTTGGGGGCATTAGGTTTGTTAAACATTTTTCTCTTCTGTTATATGATCCGGACTTTACTTGGAATATGATTTCGGTTTTGAATCCAATTTGTAACCAAGATTGATTTCATCTTCTGAGATGTTCTCAATAAGCGGATAAAGTTTCTTTAGCGGATGTAGGAACTGTTTTGATTTTTCTACCGACAACTATGAAAGTCCGAAAACTTAAGTTCTTATCAAAAGTCCCCACTGAAAATTTGTGTCTAACAATAGTGCATTTTTTAGAACTGAAAACTCTGGTCTCACAAAAAAAAGATTTATTTTCGCGAAGTGTTTTTTAGCATTTACAAGATGGGGATCCGTGTCCCGTAATAAGTGAGACCAACCTCAAAACCAGCGGATTGATAAGGAGGTGGGTTCAAAGAGGAGAAGATTTAACACGGGGGAAAAGAATTCGAGATTTACGGGGGGAAGAACTGGTAACGGGGTGGAGAGATCTGACAATGGGGCAATAATAAATAAATTATACATTTGACAAAATCAGTAGCGTAGATAAGACTACTGATCTGGGGAAGGAGTTTCACGGTGAGAACTATCCGACGAACAGCACTCGATGGCAGTGCTCGTTGACGGAGTGAGGAACTTCATCCGGTGAACATCCTCGTCGTTGAATCCGGGTCCACGAAGGCTGACACGACGGGCTGAGACTCCGAAACCACGGGTAACAGGAGTTTCTCCGATTTCGGGAATCTTCGACGTGACACGTTTTGGAGAGCGGGTGTTCTCGACGAATCCGCGAAGATTCGCTGGTCTGGAATTCATGCGCTCTTCACGCTCAACGGTCCACAGCTCCGATTCGGGAAGATCTTTGAGTGGGTTTCTGAAAAGAACATTTGTTACCTGACATTTGGAATTTGATAAATTACCTGAGCGGCGGGCCGAAACCGAGTTTCCCTTTAGACAGTGGGGGAAGCGTCATCGTGTTCTTCAAAATTCCAAAATCCGATGGGGCATTGGTTTTTGAAGCAATGTTCTTGTTGCCAGACTTCTTCTTTTGTGGCCAAATCATTGAGGCGCTCATGAGACCGTTTGGAGAAGTGATGGAATAGTTAGCCAGTGCGTTGGAGAGCGATGCGATCTCATCATGGAAACTTTCAGTTGGATCATTTTCACATGTGGAAACTGCATCACTGGATGGTGAAACATTTTCCGAAGCCTCACTATCAATAGAAACTCGTCTATGGAACCCATCAAGTGTTGGCAACGTGACTGGAACTGGCGAAGAATCGTTGTCGGAACCACCATTACCTTCGACTTCGGAAGAAATCTTCGGAACGCTCATCAGTGTGGCCTTGTTCGACACCATTGGGGAACTGGAATTATTGTATTATATCGGAAAGTTTCTAAACTTCACTTACCTCAGCTTTCTATGACTTGAGCGTCCAAAAATGTTGCGTGAAAGGCTTCCGTCGGACGATCCATGGTTAATAGACTTGAGGAGTGTGTAGTTTCCAGCTGGAAGTGTTCCTCTCACGTAGTCCACCGTTGGATGCAGATCGACGGAAAAATCCCGAGACATTGGCATCGGCTGATTGGTATCCGGATGAAGGAAGGTGACCATGCCGTCGGAAACTTGAACGATTGGCATCAGTCTGGTGAAACCCTCCCTGACAGTGTAACTGCCAACAAACTCATGGTCTCCTGGGACGTTGACAACGGTTCTGTTCAATGGAGCAGTACTCTTGAAATCGTCTTCAATGACATCCTCTTTGGAAAAAGCAAAACGTGATTTTGGGCGAAGGAATGGAAGATCTGATGGAAGAATCTTCTCCAATGATTGGCTTCTTCTGATGGGGATTCTGATCTCTTGGGATGGGGAGTCAACGTCGAAATCGCATCTCAAGGATGACACTGGGCTCGGTTCGACAAACTGGTTCGATGAACCGAATCTCACGGATCTGGAAACAATGGAAATGTTGTGATTTGTTTCATTCACAATTCGCAGCTAACAGGTGAATAAAATAAGAAAACACTAACCTCGAGCGTCTTCTTGTTGGTGTCCTTTCCTCAGCTCGCGAACGTAAGATCCCTTGGGGCACGCTTCCGATGGTCTTGTTCAACTGAGACATGACATCATCATGCTCCTTCTCATCGATATCTCCGTGAAAAGTCGAATTCAATTTGGCCACATCAGAGCTAATGCTTTTTGGGACCACATTGGTCAGGTTCTTGTTCTTCGGAGCGATGACTTGGGAAGTCCCCTGTTCATCGGAATCAACAATTTTTGGAGGAAATAGCTTGTCGAGGATCGAAGAGTTACTTGGAGCATCATCAATCGATGTAGAATCTGGGATAGTCAGAATAGTGGATTCGTCATGGACTCCTGCGTGGAAGGAAGCGTTGAGACTATTCACGTAAGTATTGCGATCGGTGATAGATTCCTTGGTGACAAATGTTGCTCGTCCTTGAGTGTTCGCAAACAGATCATCAACTGGGACTCTTCTTCCTGCAGAAGGTGGTCGCTTTTGCTTTTGACGACGAGAACTGTTGTTCTGGGAGACGACGTCCGAAACACTTGGAAGGCTTTCACTGACATCTAAAAATAAAAATAATAATGGGCGATTTCAAATAGGGAACTCACCTTGTTCCGAAGCTTCCATCGACGACAAGCTGTATACTCCTTGTGAGATTGAGCAGTTAGCAGCGTCTGAAGAACCAGTAGCTTCGCAGATGGCGACATTTCCATCGAAGTCATTAGCAATGCTGTCGTCAGTTTGCTGGGTGGCTACTTCTGATTCTGATGGTGCTGGCAGTTGTTGACCGCGGTATGTACCGACACTTCCTGCGAACCCACCGCGTCCGTTTCCGGATCCTCCACGATTACCACGTTGGCTATTATAATGACGTCCACGACGACTGGATTCTTCAATCAATGAATTATTCCAGTTGGAGCTGTTTCCATTGTCTTCGTTGTAGTGGTTCCAGACTGGACGTGAAGCATATTGACCGCGATTGGATTGGTTGCATGAAAGCCCGACATTTCCTCTGTATCCACCACGTCCGGTTCCCAGTCCTCGGTAATCGTGGCCACTTGTCCAACGATCCGGCACGTTTCCATTGTACGATTGATTTGCAAACGAGCGATGGGATTCCTCGAGAATTCTGAGTGCGGTTGCATCAAAGGTGTTGTTGAAGTTGTAACGATGCACGGATTGATTGTGGTTGAAACGGTTTTGACCGGATTCGTCATCATAGGAGTATCCGTCTCCTCTGTAGAACCCATCGCGTCCGTTCCCACGGCCGTATCCACCACCATTTCCACGACCGCCTCCACGTCCTCCACGGTTCGCTCGGTTTCCACGCTGAGCGTAAGCGTCACCACCAAACGAACGGTTGGCGACATCGTTGTTGTGTTGCTTCACCCATTCCGGAGTGATTGGGAGCGTCTGATTGAAATCAACCGGACGACGACCGCGGAGACTCTGACCTGGAAATGTACGCTTTAGAAGTCACTAGCAGAAGTTTACTCTTACCTCCAAAAGAGCGATTCGGGTCATAATTGCGAACGTGGTCATTGGCGCGTGGATGACCAACTCCGGGATGAAGGCAGTTGCGGCCAAAGTTGCGGTTGTTGTCGTTGTCGCGGAATTGCTCTACCGGTTGCTGGTTGTAAGCAAGTTGGTGTTGCTGAATCTGCGGGTTTCGCCATTGAGGATTAGCACGATAATTTGCATTGGAAGCTCCACGTCGATTATTTCTTACATCCGATAGAGCTGGCGGATTATAGGGTAAAGCTGGTGGATTGTACATTCTGATAACAAGTTCTGAAATAAAAAGCTTTAGAATCTTTCAAATTGCGAAAATATTGAGATATATAAGAAGTTGTAGAGAATAAGAGCATGAAAACAGTAAATGACGGTGTTGGCGGCGGGAAATTCTCAGAAATGAAAAAGCAACAGTGGCAACCGTTCTATGCTACGCTCTAAAAAGAAAAATGTAAAATAAATGCGACAACAGCGGGGAAGCCTTAATCCGCTAAAAATAATGTTATTCTTGGTGGGTGCATTGCGAAAAGAACATCAGTGAACGACGGTTATCAAAAAATGAAGAAAAATCTATCTTCATAAGGAGGTTTGAGGAGACGAAAACGCAACGGAGACAGCTACACCTCATCAGTGTCTAAACAACGCATCAACAACGAGTGCGCAGCATCGACCAGCACAATGTTGCGGGGACAAAGCTGTTCCGCCAACAAATAATCGATAATTTGGCATTACGTGTGCAGGTGGCATGGCGGCCGAAAGAAGCAAGGTGAAGAGGAAAACGGGAAACAGAACTGATGTGAAATACTTTTCACTATCCAAAACAAAAAAGGAACGGAAACACAAGAAAGAAGGGAATTACAAAAGTGTTGTTCCACTGACGATTCGAGTCTTAACAGCCATCTAATTCGGGCAAAAGCAACTTGCAACATCATGCCTGCTATGAATCGATCGCACTGCAAGAGACAGCTTGATGTATACCAACCCAGCTTGGAAAAAATAGAAACTAGATTATACCACAATTCCGCTTGTCTGAGGTCACGACTCACTCGAAAATGGCTAAATGGTTCGCGCGTTAGAAAATGCCAAGCCACCTACTACGAACGATTGTTTTCCGCTTCCTCTGGTCCTTATGTTGCTCCAAAAACATCTAAATAATAACCCTTCATAACATCAACTGGCTAATATCTTCTAGTCTGAGGCAACTGTCTGGTGCAGAACAGTAATATACCGCCCCAAAATCGCATTTGAGAGACAAAGACGCCACGGTGAAAGCTATTTTACGCGGCGCTTGCTGTGTCTGAACGAAGTATAGGAAATAAGTGCAAAGCGGGCGGCACGAGATAGCAACTGCAATCGTGTTTTCTTGTGAGGGTTCGGAGAGACGAAGACACAACGACAGCAGCTACTCCACGGCAGTGTCTAAACAAAGCATTGAAAACGGGTGCAAAGCATCAAGAAACGCGATTTATCGGGGGAAATGCTGTTCCGTCAATGAAAAATCGATAATTTAGAAATAGTTTAAATAGGCTGCACATTAGTCAAGGGAAACGTAGCACTTCAAACAAGAATTTGTGCTAAGCACTTGTAATTTGAAACTAAAAATAGAAATTATCTTTAGTTTCCAAACGCACGTTAAAATATCAAAAGTTAACGAAAAAACATTAGAAAAAAAGGAGAGTTAGCGAGTAAAATGAATAAGAATGAGAATGAGTTGACGACTGAGGAATGAGAACCGCGATTCGCGCCGAACGCGCACACGTTTTGTGTCAATCAGCCCCCTTTGCGCACTACGCGTTTTGGCGGCCTTTTGATGAGCGAGGGGGCGAGTGAAGAAAAGGACCATACCAACGCGCGCAACGCAAACACTACTGTGTAGATCAAGAGGCCACCTTTATGAACGCAAGTCTAAGACCATTGAATCTCATCGGTGTTGAGCGGTAACAGATTTCGGATGTATGGAAAACGGAAATCGGAATAAGGAAAATGGAAGTCACGTAATCATAAAGTCCCTTTGTTTTTAAATTGAAACGATTAAAAGGTTGGATTTGATTCTCAACGTAAATGTCAGATAAAGAGGTTGGCTGTGAAAAACAAGTTTCGAAGACACGGAAATTTCAGACTTAATGTTCCGTGTTCGGATCCTTTCATCCTCCTTATCGATTATTTTCAAAGAACATCTAGTAAAGTAAATGCTTCTAAATACACTAGATTTCTACATATCGATTTTACTTGGATTTTTTCGAATCTGAAATTGTGAAGGTTTTGTTGGTTCTCTTCGTACTTTTTTCGAAAACTGCCGAATCTGGATTTTTTGAAAATATAAGCGTCCTTAGGAATGATTTATTTTGGAAATAAGAGATTTAATATTATGTCAAAGTCAAATTTCGGCACAGTGGTTTAGTATGTTTTCATTCGTGGCCGATTTAATTGCAAAGGAACATCTTATGAAAAGTACTCTTGGAAATACAGGGTTTAGACATTGTGAATGTTGCCAGGAAGGGAATTTATCGCCAGAGACGGTTTCTGCGGCGTCCGTGACCGTAGTTTTCAGTGACGATATGACTGAGAAGTGGAACGAAGAGGCCTGAAAATTAATATACTTTATCAACTGGAACTATTAAAACCCACATGCAATGCCGAGTCCGACGTACGGATCATCGGACAATGCGATAAAGTTTGCCATAAGTGCACTGATCGCCGCAATGAGTGGGAGTAGGTGAAGCATTTCCGAAATTCAAGCGAGCTCTGAAAAATTTACGAATGTATTCGGAAAGAAAACAGAAAAAATAGCGAAATTCTAAAATCAGATGAAAACCAGTCGTCATCCTCTCAAAATTTGGAAAACTAGAGAAAAGAAAATGAAATGAAAATGGAAGAAAAGGGGCGTGGTTTGCTTGTCTTCGGAGTGCTCTAAAAAAGGATTCAACGCACTTAAAAGGGTCATAAAGAAGCAGTGGTTTAATGTGATGTACAAAATCTCATGATGTGCTCTACTTAATTTGATGATTCCAGAGTAAAATTCAAAAAAAAATGAAAGGGGATCTTTTTGCATTTTTTTGCATTTGTCTGTTTGATCGAACAAGATCGAAAAAACTCGAAAAAATGTTTGATCTAGAGTTAAATTCGAAAAAATGAAAGGGGATCTCTTTGGTTCGTTACATGAAATGAGGTGGAACATCCCAATTTGATGGTTTAAGCAGCTGAGAACTTGCGCAGTGACTAATGAACCTCAACAATGGGAAATGCGATTTTGTGAAAACCATCTAAAAGTTCTTGAAAACCCCTAGTTAAATTTTTTGAAATTCAAATGGTCTTTAAAAGTTCCGTTATTTCCTTTGTCACAGCAGAATTCTATATAACTAATTCCAGATTCGGGCTTCCATTCTTCAACCTCCTTCTCAAGAAACTACCTGAGAAAATTGTAAAAAAAAACACAATCTGTAAATTTATAAGAATCGGAAATTTATTGTCAATACATTCGAATACAAATACATGTACTTAAATTTTCAGAGTTGAAACAACTTCTCCAAAAGCTCTACTGCAAAATGTTTTCTATCACAAAAGTGAGTTTCAATTGTAGCGAGGTATCAGTTAATGCAAAAATACGATTTGTTTATAAACTACATTATTTTGTTTCATATACAAAATGATGATAGAACCATTTTGTATTTTCAAAGTGATTGAATTATTACTTGAAAAGACCTGAAATACAAACTCAGAGAATAACTAATACATTTCTTGCAGAGATGAGCGGAAGAGATTTACGGAAATTTACGGAAGACGGTTCTCAATGAGAGCTATCGATATCTCAATGAGAGCTATCGATTGGTATTAAAATTGTTTCGAAATTTTGTTGGATTATTCAAATAGAGTCTTTCTTCCGTCTTCCGTCTTCCGTGTGCCATACGGAAGACGGAACACGGAAGAAACGCCACATCTCAACTCTCCATCACTATTATGAGATAACTTTTATACCAATAAATAACTCTCATTGAATTCTACATTTTGTCCGTTCACAACTTTTTGGTAGCATTTTTCATTTTGAAAATAAACCGTCTTCCGTAAATTTCCGTAAATCTCTTCCGCTCATCTCTGATTTCTTGATAGAGCGAAACACTATTCAGATCTACATTTCTCTCTTCATTTCTCCATTTCTGTTCAGAAAATAAATACAATGTATTTTTCCAGGTCCATCGCGTTGCCATGTCCACGATTTTAACTATTGCTATCTATAAAATATTGCGTGAAGTTTTTGAACCTTTGCATGTCTTTCTCCCGACCAGATTAGATCTCTGTAAGTTGCAGATAGCTTTCGAATGAAATTAACAAGATTATTTTCAGTTGTGGGAAGCATCATTATGACTATTATCCTCATTGCTGTTTTACAAATGGACCGAGAAGAAGATGAAGGAGACTTTGTGCACGATATATAAATACGCAATTCAACGTTTGTTATCACACCAGACATATATTTCTTTTTTGACTGTTTCTCTTTCTGCTTTTTCTCTTTCTTTTTCTCTTTAACTGAATTTTACTTTTTCAGTTTCTAAGAATATCCTTTTTTAAATTCTCCCTAATGTTTAACTTCCATGCAATTACTAAATAATCTTTTCCTTTGCTGATCATAAAGTGTATTCGCAATCGTCGAAATATTATTTTCTGCAAAATTCAAATTCTCGTATTTTTGGCTGCGTCACTCGTATTTTTGTCGTATCAATAAACTTTTGTTCCGAAAAAGTTGATCATAAAGAACAGAAATTTCTTTTTTTTCGAAAGAAAAATTCGAAAGTTACGCATCACTCACGCAATGTTCTTCTCTCTCATTCTATCCGAATTCTCGAACGTTTTTAGTTTGTTTTTGACTGAAGAAAACAAAAAATAAAGGTTCTCACATGAGTTCAGCACCAGTTTCTTGTTGCTATGACAACTTTCAAAAAGGGTGTAATTATTGCTACACTCATAAAATTTGGGATCGCTCGGAATCAGTAGCCTTAAAATAGAAATATTTTTCCATTGACGCTTAAATTTTTATGCTCACCATAGAAGAAATATTCCCTAACCACATTGAATTTGTAGACTCACAAAAACAATGGATTTGATTGACATCATGGAAACTTTGGATGTATGGAACCTCCCATTAGGTAAGAATACGAATTTTTCCTGAATAACTTTCAAGCTAATCATTTTCAGCGGCTATTGTCTGTGGACTCTTCTTCTCCGCCGTTCGTGTCATCATTCGCTCTAATGAACATCGTAGAGACATCCTATTACGAGTCTGATCCTGAAAAGGCAACTTCATTGTGAATACGCAAGTTCCTTTCAAAAATGGCGTCATTGGTCGTTTCCTTGAATTCCTAATATTCTCTTAATGCAAAAAAAAATCCAAATAAATTTCTCTCTTCCAACAATATTCTTTCAAGTTATAGTCATAAAGCCAAAAATACGAGAATTTGAATTTAGCAGAAAATAATACTTCGACGATTGCGATACATTTTTTGATCAGCAAAGGAAAATATGATTTGGTAATTGCATGGAAGTTTAACATTAGGGAGAATTTAAAAAAGGATATTCTTAAAAACTGAAAAAGTAAAATTCAGTTAAAGAGAGAAAGAAAGAGAAAAAGCAGAAAGAGAAACAGTCAAAAAATCGATAGCTCTCCTTGAGAACCGTCTTCCGTAAATTTCCGTAAATCTCTTCCGCTCATCTCTGCAAGAAATGTATTAGTTATTCTCTGAGTTTGTATTTCAGGTCTTTTCAAGTAATAATTCAATCACTTTGAAAATACAAAATGGTTCTATCATCATTTTGTATATGAAACAAAACATTGTAATTTATAAACAAATCCTATTTTTGCATTAACTGATACCTCGCTACAATTGAAACTCACTTTTGTGATAGAAAACATTTTGCAGTAGAGCTTTTGGAGAAGTTGAATCAACTCTGAAACTTTAAGAATATGTATTTGTAATCGAATGTATTGACAATAAACTTCCGATTCATAAATTGTTAGGCCGGTTAAATATAAATTTACAGATTGTGTTTTTTTTTACAATTTTCTCAGGTAGTTTCTTGAGAAGGAGGTTGAAAAATAAAAGCCCGAATCTGGAATTAGTGATAAGGAATTCTGCCAATCTCTGTTTTGCATTGACAGCTATTGGAAAATATTAGCATCTGACACAAAGTGAAAAAGAAAATAACGGATTTTTTAAAAACCTTTTGAATTTCAAAAATTGTAACTAGGCGTTATCAAGAATTTTCAGATGATTTTCACAAAATCGCATTTCCCATTGTTGAGGTTCATTAGTCACTGCGCAAGTTTTCAGCTGCTTAAACCATCAAATTGGGATGTTCCACCTTATTTCATGTAACGAACCAAAGAGATCCCCTTTCATTTTTTCGAATTTAACTCTAGATCAAACATTTTTTTCGAGTTTTTTCGATCTTGTTCGATCAAACAGACAAACAATGCAAAAAAATCTCAGGCCCGGCCCGGAATTTTACAAGTATGTGAAAATATATTTTACTATCATCTGCGAAAAATGTGGTTTCTGAAAAACAAAACAGTTTTTGTCCAGAATTTTCCTGCGCTGAGCAGCAACCGGTTTTTTTAAAGTGGTGAAAATCAAGTTTCCGCTTCAATATCACTCGGGGTAAGGGGATATCGTGATGAATCAATATCATTCAAATTCTCATTCAATACTTTAATTCATAACACGGTTTTACAATATTTACAATATTAGCGAAACCATCATAGGTTCAAAGGGATAAGGTAATTTTTCAAGGAATGTTGGCACGCAACTTCTTCTAATTTTTTCCAGCATATGTGATGGCCGAATAGAGACTAGTAGGAGTGTTCACACTATGTTACAATAATGAAAACAATCTGTAGTTTTCGAAAAAAAAATGCTATTTTAAACTCCGATCGGTACTTGCTATTCAGTCATGGTTATCCGCTGACCGTTCAAAAGTTCGAAAAACTTCATTTTTTGTTTAGGGAATGAGATAGATAGTCAAAGCATTATGTCATTCTAACCAGATCTTTTTACCCTATCGTAAAATATATTTTTCCTAATTGTAGGAAAGTTCCTCTCGAATTCCTGCCGCTTTGAAAAGTTTTTTGAAACAGGACTCATAGTTTTTTAAAATTAACGTTTCGAAATCCCGCCATTACCAGTACAATAGATAGACAAGAGTAAACATGAAAAAAATTTCGTGTCTCAAGCATTATGTCATCAACCACTCTTCTGATTCTAGCAGGAAAACTAAAAAAGACAATTCTAAAAATCAAAGTGATTCTTAAATTTCAGCAATAGAAAAAAAAATAACTGCAAAGTTTCAACAATTTCCCGATTACTTAGAAGAAAGTTACAACAAATTGTTTATGCACAAAGACGTTTGCCTTACCCTGTACACTCTCTGTAAACATCGCTGACTATTATTTTCGAGAAAGGACACATTTATACTATGTTGGACATGGTAAGTTCTCGTCACAGTCACAACAACTTGTCTCTCCCTCGCAACACTTCATATACGCTCCCTCTCACTCCTCATTTTTTTTCAGCCAAAACACGTGCTCATCAGAAACACCGCTTATCTTTCACCTATTGTATCTTGTTAAGGTATAATTTTACTCAAGATGTCCTGCATTCTATAAAGCTTACATGTAATTCAATGTGAAAATTTGAATGATTTTCTTTGCTATCAGATTCAACATTTTTATATCGGCAAAAGTGGTGATATTCTTTTTTTAATCTTTATCCCTAAAATTTCCTGAAAGCAGAGCAAAATTCATGACTCCCAAGGATTCAGGTATCTCATTTTCCCATTTGTCAAACATAATCATCACTTCCGTCAACTTTCTCATCATTTCATGATTCATTAGTGTCAAACACTTACTTCCCCACACCCGGAGTAATACTAATGGATCACATGGCGGTTTTGTTAACGACCAACCTTCCCAAAAATTTTTTCTCTTTCCTATCAATCGAGCTATGACCCCAGGCGGTTCAAAGTCATCTTGTTGTAAAGTGCACAAGTTTCACATTAATCATGAGAGTTTTCTGTGAAAAAATACACTAGTCCTCCATGATCGCAGTCGACGGAGCACTAACACTGATAGATGATAATAGAAAAGCGCACATATACAAAACAACTGATAAGACGAAAAGTCAAACTTGTGGATGGAGAGTTTGCTACTGATCTGACTTGTTGTTGACCTGGTGAGTTTTTTTTTTCTGCAGGAGATTTCTCTGATGAGAGAAATGAGCTGCTCCCCCGCATCCACAAAAGCAAGTCACCTGTTCGTGTTGTGCTAAACGAAGTGTCGGTGTATGATGTCAGACGTGAAAAAATGAAATAAGCAGGTCAAAATTTCGAAATCGACGTCCACGTGAAAATGTGGGTACCTCCTAGCTTCGGAATTTATGGGGTGCAATGAGTCACACTTTCGTACAACGATTTATCTAGATTTTTAATCTTTACTTTTTCCTTACTGATAAAATTTTCGAAATTCTCGGAGTTGTTCTATCTCGCTTATTAAGGATCTTTTCAGAAAACATCGTTGAATTTGATGTGAAATTCAAAAAAAACCATGTTAATGCAGTAGGTGGATAATATTCTAGTAAAAAATTTGAGGCTCTCGTCGGTTATTTTGGTCTTTAGATTTTTTTTTGGTCCTCAGATCAAAGTGAAGAATATTTGCTAATTATGATAGCTCAGCGATGGCCACGCCTACCAGATTTTCTCTTCCAAAGCTCCGATTTTGCGTACCAGCATAATAATAATAATACTTGAGACAAACTGTGATAATCAGCTTCCTACTGAAAAAATAGCGCTAATGTTTTTTAGGTTTCATGTTGATCTCGAATTATAACTTGTGAAACTCGCTCAGCCATCACCAAAATGGAAAATTGAATTTTCCTAATTTTTATCTTGAATCGAAAATTTTTAGTTGATTTGCTCCGTCAAATGGGTCAAAGATTCCAATTAAAAAACAAGCACTTTTCAATTTCCAACTCAACTTGTGACAATTCACCTCACCGTCCTTCCGGGATTCCTGCCCATGACGTGGATACCAGGTCGAAAACCATGCACCTTTGCTGCCAGAAGACAGCTGTGTTCTTGTTCGCAGAGGCGCCGCCCACCCATCCAACACATTCTTTGCCGTGGCTTCCCGCGAGAGAAGATAGAGAAACACAGGCAAAGAGCCATCCGAGAGAAAAATACTCCTTTCTGAAACATTACTCGTCTTTTTCTGTTATTATTGATAACCGCAATATAGGATCTTTATCTCTAGTCTATTTTGTTTGAATCATGGGTGTCCGATTGGCTTGGGCGGATAATGATGCCAAGTGAGTTTTAAGTTGAATTGTCTAATTCAAGTTAAACAAAAAAGAACCCGAATCATTGTTTCCGAATTTCAGGAACGGCTTGGAATGGGCACCTCCCGTCAGAATTATTGCCATAATTACTTTAATCGCTTCAACGCTGGATGTACTGGCAGACTTTCTTGTATGCAACAGGTAACTTTCAATTCACCTGATTTAAATTTATTTTTGTTGAAAAAAACAGTAACTTGAGTTGGATAGCAGTGTTTGACACCAGTACTCCTCGGTAATTTAATCTATTGGAGGGTATAAGACATTGCAGAACGGTTTCTTAAAGTACAAATGATGGTCTCAAGTTCGACGTAATTTGATCAGATTTGAGCAGAAAATCAAAATATTCGATTTCTCAACCCTGATCTATTTCAGAATCTCAGAATATCTGGGAAATTTCCAAAGTGAGATTGCCACATATGCTGCGTATGGATACTTCTTCTTCACTGGGATCAGTGTTTTCGTGTACATTTTTGAAATGATCGACGTCTGCAAGACGTTGAAATACGAAGAAGAAAACGTTTTCTACGCTCGACTCGCCAAATCATTGGTTCTTGCTCTTGAAGAAGTGAGTTTTTTCTAAACGTGTTCTTTCTTTCGAAATTTATATTCTGAACCTGGAAACTTCTGAGTATCGAATTTCTGTCAACACTAACAACCTCAACGCGTTTTTCGTACCCGTGTATCTTTGTCGAAAAATTTAGGAGCGGGCGTTTGAAAAACATCTGAAGAACATTTATGTTTAGGTGATTTGACCTCGGTGTTCTGGAAAATCCCATTTTCCTCAAATTCACATTTCGATTTAGCTGAACGAGTTTACTCTCTGAGTTCACTCTGATTTTTGAGAAAAACTAAAAACCAAAACTAATAATCTGTAGACTGATGAGCCGGTCACCCTCTCCAAAACACTCCAGTGGCTATCATTACAATGTTGGCAAAATATTGCTGGCATAAAAACAACATGGACCCTAGAGAAAATGCGAGAAGCAAAGAGCGAGAGAGTGGGTCGAGCGATCACATCAGGTGCGATGAAAGATAATTGAGATTGCGGAGAAGTCATGAAAAAAGAAAGCAACGGTTCAATGATCAGATCTATAGCATTTTTCCACACTTTTGGGGTGGCGAAATGAGTATGAGAGGGGGTTGTAGTGTTGTGGAAAAAGCCGGAAAAGTCAAAACTCTGAAATTAATTAATCTACCTCAATCGAGATAACAAATCTTTAAAAACTGATATTTATAGAATATCCCGATCCGGCCTGTTCGGACCGGCTATTCCACCTTTAAAATTAAAAATTTTTGGTAATTCTCACATTTTTTTAAAACCTGGATTTGTTTTAGTGAGTTACCGTTATTGTAAAACCTGTAACAGAAGGACTCCAAATAACTTCAGTTTTGAACCAATTGTTCCTCTGAATTATATAAAAAAAATGTCAACTGATGAATCGTATCATAAAATCAGACGTGTTTTTTGTCAGTTCATATATTGTTGATACTTTGCAATGGATTTCAGATAACTTCGTTCAAACTTGACTGTGTGAGGTTCCTTTCACAGGTTTTACGGTATTCATCATGTTGCCGATTTTTCCTTCACACAAAACGGTAGAAAATCCGGACTTGCTTCATAAAAAAATTGCTCTAGGTTTTTACTTTGAGCTATCACAGCTTCCGTTAGAGTAATGCGAAATCTCCTAATCACAAAAATGTTGACTGCACGATGAAAAATATTTTATCAGTTTATAGATTTTCTCAAATCTCTTACGGGAACTGTGGTAGTTCAAGTTAAACTTCTTGCGTTGGGGTTTTATTAGAGGAAATAGGTGTTTGAAATATGATTTTTTGCAGTGCATTTATTCCTAGTTTAGCCGTTTTGTTCTCTTGACTCTTTCAATTAGTACAATTTTTATCAAAAACCAAAAATCATCAAAGATTGTAGAAACATTCGAGATCGTGTGTATTTTGAGGAAACAACGTTGTGCATGTAGTGAATGATGAATTGTGGTGCTGTGGTGACAGCTAAAAGAAACCCTCTATCCCCATCATATTGCTCCTCTTTGACTCTACTGAACGATGAGGAAAACATCTATGTAGAAAAAAAAAGAACAAATGTGACGGCTGTTACGTTTGAAACGGGTCACAAAGGTCGGAAACCACTCGATTCATCGGTGGAGCACGAAGACTGGGAAACACATATCATTTGATAGTGCTAATTTTAATAGTAGCTGCTTGTGTAAACACGTGTTAAGAACAACTGAAAGTTGGTAATGATAAAAAATTATTTTTTAAGGGGTAAACCTTGAAATTTCAATATTAAAAAGAATAAATGGAATAGAAAACAATTAAACACATTTTTCAGGTGCCTCTTCCAACGCTGATGAACATTCTCTTCACAAATGAGCCACGTTTATCTTTGGCAAGCACTTGTTACCTCTCTTCTTGCATCAAGTTGGTTGCTCTCACTTGGGGAATTGTCAAGTTTGTAAAGCTTCGCTTTTTCTGGCCATGTCTTCCATTGAACCCAAAGCATGATGCCAGGTAATTGGTTATTTTTCCGAGTCAGTGAAATTCTAAATAATCGATTTTTAGGGAAAACGTTCGTCGCTGCTTCACCTTCACCGCTTACCGCATCTGCATGATCATTGTCAACATTTGCCATATTCTTGCCATCGTCATTGTCATCAAGAACATCATGGCCAGTGGTGCCGGTGGACGAAAAATTGACGTCAAGGAGCAAAGATTATAGATTTGAATTTCGATTAGTAGTGTTTTTCTTTTTTGTTTGGTAAACCGGTTCCAATTTCCGATTACAGGTTGTTTAGTTTTGATTGTACTTATCTATGGTGCTTTTTTTCTTTTTTTTTTTTGCTTTGATAAACTCTGAAAAACTCTTTTTTGATCGTTTTTTTCGGGAAGTAACTCATATTTTGCGTTTCTATGGAACATTTATTTCCATGACAAGAGAAAAATACATTTTCACATGCTTCCCTCTTGACGTGACAACACTATTTCGCAATTTCTGTTTGTTTATTTATTTCAACACGAAATCTAAACATGAATCTTCCTTTGTTCGGTTTTAAATCATCGTCATATTACACGTTTCAATTCGCAATGCTGGCCTAGCAACCGACTAGTCCACCGCAAATGCGCGCCGCCGTACGACACGTCAGCCAATCAACTGCGTACACACAAGTCAGCGACGTCGCACACACAAACGCCCGCCCTCCTCGACCGACTGTTCCATTCAGTTTGGATTTGCTCGCCCCTCACAGTCTCACCAACCAAACCAGTGAGATAATTGGATCACGATGGCTCTCATCAAGCTGTTTCTCGCCACATTGGGTAAGCATTTTGAGATTTTCCCAGTAATTTCTAACAGAAATGCCTGTTTTGTTATGAAAAAAGAACAAATATTATTATTTTTCAAGTTTTTCGCAAACGAAAATCAATAAAAACATCTTTCAGCGATCCACTCGGCATGTGGAATGTACTCCAAGAAGGACGATGTTGTTGAACTGACCGAAGCCAACTTCCAATCAAAGGTTCTCAACTCTGACGACATCTGGATTGTTGAATTCTATGCTCCATGGTGCGGACACTGCAAGAACCTCGTTCCGGAATACAAGAAGGCCGCTACTGCTCTGAAGGGGATCGCCAAGGTTGGAGCTGTCGATATGACTCAACACCAATCCGTCGGACAACCCTACAATGTTCAAGGATTCCCAACACTCAAGATCTTCGGAGCTGACAAGAAGAAGCCAACTGATTTCAATGGTGGGTTGTGGTTTTTTCCTAGAGAGTTCATCTGAAAAGGACAGCGAACCACGTAGCGGTACTGTGCGGCACGGCAAACAAAGACCAATTTGTCTCAATACTCGAACTATTTTCCAACCTTTGTGTTTGCACTATATCGGTCATTCTCTCTGTCGAGACTGCAACTGGTAGTGTTGTGTATTTAGTGACTGTTTGCTCGTGGATATTTGGGTGATCTCTTTTCGCAGTAGAGACGTGGCCGAAACGGCCTTGACAGACCGAGAAGAAACGGTCAACCAGTTGTGTGTACCGGTATTTAGGGTTGCGATGTGTGCGCGCTCTATCTGGGTCATCTAACGTGCCCCTTTCTTCAACGTGCGTGTGTTGTGAGGAGACCTACCAAAATCGATATTTCTTGCAGGACAAAGAACCGCTCAGGCCATCACCGAGTCCCTCCTCGCTGAGGCCAAAAAGACTGTCGCTGCCCGTCTTGGAGGAAAGTCTACTGGAGGAAACAGTGGATCCGGATCTGGAAAGCGCGGAGGTGGTGGATCTGGAAACGATGTTGTCGAGCTCACCGATGCCAACTTCGACGAGCTTGTTCTCAACAGCAAGGACATCTGGCTTGTTGAATTCTTCGCCCCATGGTGCGGACATTGCAAGAGCCTCGAGCCACAATGGAAGGCTGCTGCTTCTGAATTGAAGGGCAAGGTTCGTCTTGGAGCCCTTGACGCCACTGTTCACACTGTTGCTGCCAACAAGTTCGCTATCCGTGGATTCCCAACCATCAAGTACTTTGCCCCAGGATCTGACGCTTCTGATGCTCAAGACTACGACGGAGGACGTCAATCTTCCGATATCGTCGCCTGGGCTTCCGCTAAAGCACAAGAGAACATGCCAGCTCCAGAGATTCTTGAGGGGGTCAACCAACAAGTAGTTGAGGATGCCTGCAAGGAGAAACAACTTTGCATCTTTGCTTTCCTTCCACACATTCTCGACTGCCAATCTGAGTGCAGAAACAACTACTTGGCCATGCTCAAGGAGCAATCTGAGAAATTCAAGAAAAACCTTTGGGGGTAAGTTGTAGCTAATTATAATATTTTTGACTGTCGACTAATTTTAACTCTTTTCAGATGGATCTGGGTTGAGGGAGCTTCCCAGCCAGCACTTGAGGAGGCTTTCGAGGTCGGAGGTTTTGGATATCCAGCCATGACTGCTTTGAACTTCCGCAAGAGCAAGTACGCCGTTCTCAAGGGATCGTTCGGAAAGGACGGAATCCACGAGTTCCTCCGTGATCTTTCTTACGGAAAAGGACGTACTTCTTCCCTCAGAGGAAACGCTTTCCCAAAGATTGAGAAGACCGAGAAGTGGGACGGAAAGGACGGAGCCCTTCCAGCCGAAGACGACATCGATCTGTCCGACATTGACCTCGACAAGACCGAGCTTTAAATTATTTCTCTCGATGACACCAAAATAATTACCTTTTCTCACCATGCAATTTTGTTTTAATTGTAACGGGTGTTTTCCCAATTTGAGAAGATTTTCCCTCTCAACCAGCGTTACATTTCTCGTATTTTTCGGGCTTAACAACATTAAATTCTGTATAAGTCGGAACTAAGTCACTATTCTATTAAATTATTATTTAATTTGATTTGTTTATTGTTTTGTTAGATAAAGTGTTTCAACTACAGTTTAGTTAGTTGCATTTGAATCAGGCCTGTGCGGCAACAAATTGCCGATTGCCGAAATTGCCGAAATTGCCGAATTTTTGTTGCCGATTTGCCGTTGCCGAAATCGGCAACGAAGAAAAAGTTGCCGAATTGCCGTTGCCGATTTCGGCAAAAAAATTTCGGCAATTTCGACAACTGAAATTTTTTTGAATTTAGAGATCTTCACAATTTTTTTAATCAAAAAAAAATGATTTCGAAGTTCGAAAAAACAAATTTTGAACACCATCTTCTCTCAGAGTGAATTTTAAAGGAAATGTGTCCCAATAATCATCAAAAATACTTGCATCGGATCTAAAAATGGGCTTCAAATTTGAGAGCATAGTAGAAAAATAGATGTCATGAGTCACAACTCATCAGTAAAATTATCCAACCTGTCTCAAATCTCTAGGGAACGTGTCGTGGGTTGCCTAACAAGTTGAGCGCAGTATTTTCAAAACTCACAATCGGAACAAATATTTTCAACCATTGGAATACCCTCTAATGCTAAAGAGAAATAGTTTGCATAAAAAACGTGGTCTTGAGTTGCCAATGTTTGTAATTACTTTTTTAAGGAACTTATGAAACACATTTTCTGTAGTTCTGAGCCTGATAGAAGCATTTTCAGGTGAGTTACGTATCGATTTTACTAAAAAATACGCAAAACTTTTGTTGACGAAAATTGCCGAAATAGCCAAAATTTTTTTTCGTATTCGGCAAATTGCCGAGTTGCCGAATTGCCGAAAAAATTTTGTTGCCGCACCGGCCTGATTTGAATGTTTTGTAACCGGTGAAATGGGTCGGACGTTTTGAGATGGTTTTTCAGATGATTGATCCAGATCCAGCCAGCAATTAAGATGAAATCATGCGTCCAGAGGATGCATCTCAGTCAAATGCCTTGTTTGAAGTTATTTGTGATGGCTGTTTTCGAAATAAGCAGTTGTGAGAGGCAAAACTGTTAGGATCTTTCCTGGAGCTCTATAAGCAAGTTTGTTAACGAAGTCGCACTTGGGTCCAAGGCAACGGGTAAAAAAACGCGCCCCAAATAGCTTTTAGGCCAGAACAAATTTAATAATTTCAAAGTTGACGTGGATTTCACCTTTTTATTTTTAATCAACGAGTTGCAAGGTGTGATTTTTTCGCCCAACGTTTAAAAGTTTGATCCTCAGCCAAATAATTCAGATGCAAATTTTTTCTAAAATCTCATGTTGACTTGGGCGCGATTTCTGACCTGTTGCCTTGGACCGTGAAGTCGGGCGATTTCCTGATTTGAAAGCATTACAATTGAAAACTTGCAAACAGATTTGAAGATGCAGGAGCTGAACACACAATTTTTGAGCCCATTGACAATACCATGTTCTCGATTTTTCGGTTTTTAATTGTTTCTGCGACGCTGATGAAAAAATTGAACACAATTAATGAAAATCATTGAGAAAATAAGCAAATAATATCGAAAATTGGCTTGCAACTACGGTAATATGCTCTTGTGTTTTTAAATACGCCTTTAATGAGGCCCTCGCTGTCAACGTGCGTTGATGTCGGACAAAAGTGATAGTTTAGCTGGGTTTGTACAGTAACTCAAAAACTTTGAGAAAAAAGTGATTTTCGAACATTTTCACATAATCGGAAAATTATGATCCCGTCTGCTTAGCATGAGTATTTACTGAAAATTTCATAATTGTCACAACAGTCATTTGAAAAAAGTTTTAAATCACGTTTGTTTTTTTGAGCGCTTCAGATAGCAGAATATTTCTTGATTTTTTTGTTTTTTTTTGTTCTTGAGACATACACGAAAGGGAAAAAATAGGAAACATTATTGGAAGCCCGAGCCGGTCCATTATTTTTTTGGTCCATAATTTTCATGATGCGAAATTGCAAGAACAGCAAAAAAGAATAACCATTTGAACAGAAATATGCCAAAAACCGCCGCCCACTCCAAATGACTCCCATTACCACTGCCTCAAATTAAGAAATGCTCTATTTTTATGTTGAAACTATCGCTTTCATAAATGATGTGAGCAAGTTGTTATCATATGATGATAAGCAAGACTGACATCGCAATCCTTGATTGTTCCAGAAATTTCCGGAAATTCTCAGATTCTTGACAAGACTGTGGTGAATTATTTTTTGTTTGGCTGATTGCCTAGCAATGTTGTCTTATTGTTCTGCCTGCACCAATAGAACACATGATAAAGCATCAAAGGAAAACAACAGCCGGAAGCAAGAAACGGTTCTAGATCCTTCTTGCATTTGCCTTCCAGGTGTGAATATAGTGCAACACTCCAGTATCTTTCCTACATTCCTGTGTGTTTATAACAAATTTTTTCATTCGAATTGCACTAAAACTGTTACCTTACCTTAAAGAAATTTTATTTTTTAACGACACGTGCATTTTTCTCATATATCGTTTTCACATCTCTTCACCTCCTTATCATCGATCAAAGAACCCGCTGATAGTCTCCGTCATCTAACTTTCAAAACAGTGTCAATTGTAGTGAACAATTCTCTGAAACTCGTAAAACCTGGAATTCGATAGAGAGCTATGCCGGCAAAGTTCTTTTGAAGCCGAGAGTTGAGGAAAAAGAGAGGGAGAAATGAATGAAACAGTACTGGATTTTTTTCAACTTTGTCGTCGTAAACCAGAGAATTCGTTGAAATAATAATGGGTGGGTCATTTGTTATCAAAAAATAATTTCATAACTCGATAACGATGGTTTCAGCTGTATAGGTGTTATTTTAGCATATTTCTTCACACCAATACGCCGTGTAATTTATTTAACTGATAACTGTTTTTGCCCTTTTTCCAGTTTATGATGTTTTAATTGAGATTCTTTCGCTGATTATGGGCTCAAATAGATTAACCCTAATTGAAGTTGTTAGAAACCAAGTTGTCAAAAGTTTTTGTCATGAAAAAAATCCCAAAACACTAACTTTAAAAATTTCGAAATTCATTTTAAAATTCCAAAAACAGTTTTGCAATTTATTTCATAACATGCTCCGACAGTTTCACTATTTTTGGTTACATCACTTCTCGCATTTCTTTCTTGCTCACCTCAACCTCCTACTCTTTTCTAACATCTTCAGATATTCATTCAGTAATTTTATTCTGACTCATTGAGTACGTGGGACTCCAACCTCAAAGCGCGTCATAAATGGTTGGTTCTCACGGATTCATAACTCAAAAATCTTCGCTTTTTTTGCAATCTCCCTTCTTTTATTTAGGCAACACATTTACCATAAATATAGAACCTTTTTGAGTCATTATTTCCTATACTACAGGAGCCATTCTCTTATCACTGTTTGTCTAGTTTATCACTTTCATCATCTGGAATGACCGCCTACAACATAACTCACTGATTCAGTAGAGTGTAAGTCAGTAGGGTAAGAATCCAAACACCTCTTCACCCCCTGTTTCTAGGCGCCAGAAAGGGCTTGAAAACAACTGAAATACCTGTCTCGTTCAAAAATTTTCGAAATTTCGTCAAACTATATTTTTCTTTTTTTTGTTTTAATATATCAAAATTGTGTTCTTCACCAACTTTTTTCTCAATTTTCTATTTTTGCTAAATTCTAAAACAATAGAAAGACGAAGACGAAGAAGTTTTGTTTGATTTGAAACAGATGCACCCCAACGAGACAAAACTTTTTTTAGGCTCCACCCAACACGTGTGTTTCGTGCAGAACAATTCATGAATTCTTTTTGGTTCTTTCCTCAAACTGATACTTTTCGTCCTATTTCCTAGTTAATGACTCTAACTTCTTTTTTCAATAGCTACTTTTTCCAGATATGAGAATGTGGACATTTCTCACCGCAGTATGGTTTTCACTTGTCTGTATCACTTTTTGCCATAAATCCCGACCAAGGCGACACTATTCAAATGATTATAGGAAGGGTACCCCCGCTTGTGATGTTGTGTGTGAAGGACAATGGAAAAACGAATTTCATGTTAGTGGATTTGTTTGAAATTAGTTCGAAATTTGAAATTTACAGGCTAACTTCCATAAAATCTATGACACCGACTATTTCGAGATTCCCTTGGACACTGCAATCGTGAAGAATCGAAACAATCTAAAAATGTTCTGCTCATCAACAATGCAAAAGTATGCTTGCCTTCGAAACGAATGCAGAATGCACCGTACCCCTTGGTCAGCAGAAAAGCATATATGTATGCAGAACTTTGACAACTTTGACCGCAACATCAACTGTCTGAGTTTGACTGACAGATACGTTCAAAAAGAGTGCTCAAATGTTTGTAACAGTATCCGAATCGAAATTTCTCAAGCCGAAGTGGACCGAATGGCAGAGATGGAGTTCAGCCGTCAAGAGAAGAGTGAATTTGTGGAACAGAATAAGCATTGCAATTTTATCGCATGCCATCAAATCTGTCATGTAAGTTTCGAAGAAATTCTAGGAATTTACATTCTTATTTCCTGGTTTTAGGAGTACATAATCAACAAGATCTGCATTGACAGTGCAGCATCAGCTCGCTCAGTTGTCAAAACTTATTACGATGCGTATTTGGAACAAGAGTATATCGCTTTGAACAAAGACGATCAGGATGAACTCTACTCAAGTTTTTGCAGAAGGGTCACACCTGGACAAGACGAAGTGAGTCTCCTATGTCTCCGTGGATATTAAAAATCAATATTTTTCAGAACGCTTACACTGCTAACATGACCCGATACAACAATTTGACCCTTGACCGAATGAAGAACGACATTCGATCGGCTTTCTCCATCCTTGATTAAACAAAAGCAATAAACTGTGAGTTGTCTCTTCTGGACACATGTTTCCGATCTTCTCCCTCTTCTTCTTCTCTCACCATCGCCCTTACATTCCAGTTGTTTTGTGGGAATTCCTTCTATCTTTATCCAGTTTAATTATCTTTTTTCTTGTTTTATGTGTTCCATATGTTCTATTTCTGCTTTTTTTTCTGCCACTTGCCCCGGTTATCCAACTTTTCATGATCAATTCAACCGCAAACGATACTCCTACCGTACTCTTCCATGAAGATTCTAGTTCCCTTGTTTCTTTTTATTTCTATCATCATATGTCAAAAGCCTCTCAATTTTTTTGCTCGATTTCTTGTAAAATAGCGTTCTTTCCGCGTGAAAATCATGCGGTATGCTGCCCACAAATATATTTTTGCTTCTCCATATGTCCTTTAATTGTACCTTGCCCCCGGTTCAAAAGCCGTACTGTCACATCACATTTTATTGCTCTCCAGCGGTAATTAAATTTTTATTATTTCTCACTTCTTTTCCTCTCACACTGTTTTCCTGTGTGAGAAAAATTCCAAACTCCATACGTCAATGTGCAAAACAGGATATCATGATTTATTGTCATTGTACTACACCCCTCTTTGAAGAATAATTATTTCCATATGGGTAGCTTCGATTGTTTCTTGAAAATCATACATAATAATATTGTATTAATACAGATCGTAATAATATTAATTATATAGTTGGAAAATAATTTGTTGTATTACTTCAATAAAACATCATTTTGAAAATCAAAATTGGAATGCATGAAACAAATCACAGGAAGAAGAAAAATATATACAAAAATCAATTGCCAGAGAACTAATTATCCCTTATCAACGTCATCATAATACATTGCATAATAGTCGTTATCCTTTCTGTAATTTCTTAGTGTGGTAGTAGTGGTAGGTTTAGTGGTGGTTGTAATCCTCGTCCGCCAAGTGGTTTTCATAACAGGTCTAGTTGTCATTTGTACGGGACGGAAGAACGGCGTCGTTGAGTATGTGGTTGGTGAGGATGTGGTTGCGAAGGAAATCTGAAAGAACCAAAAGTGAGAGTAGTCTAGCTGAAAAAATATATCAAAGTATTCTAAAACATCATTAACATTTTTTCTCCGCAGGCCCCTAGAATCTAGAATTTTATGAGAATTGTTATCTCAACACGTGGGTTCCATACGTACTCTTGTCACGGATGCAGGTTGTACTCCGTCCTTTGTGTCTATTGGGCCTCCGGCATGTATTCTCTGTAATCAAAGATGATAGATAAGTTATCGCAAAAAAGGGGGAGCAAATTGGTGAAATCGTTTAATGGGTTTTCGGAGAAATTAAAATGATGCGGGCCATAGGTTTTTTTCTGGAAAAACGTCAAGGGAAAAGTCATTGAGGAGAATTCAAATAGAGTTAGGGGTAATCAAAATGATAGCGTCCAAATTAACAAATTTTGGCACAGTACTTCTCATGGATTGAGCTAGAGAGACCGTGCGTTATTTCTCCATTAAAAGCTTACCCAATAAGTGTACTTTGAGCTCGATGATCTCGGTTACTACGATAGATATCGAAAATCTGTCCGGTGATCAAGTATTGGTTATCACATGTTGAATAAGTTATTAATTGAAAGTTTTATGACATCTTGTGTAGGAACCGAGATAATTTAGCTCGAAGTGCAAGTATAGGGTGTCCAGAGCAAATACGGTAGCGTAATTTCTAAAATTTAAAGTTTGCTTACCTTCAAAACCCTTGGCGAAATTTTAGGTGGCAATTCAGCTGTCATCACGGATTCGGTTTCTTCAGTCTCCTTCTCATCTCCTCCACCATCGATCGAGAATGAAACCGGAGGCAGTTTTTCTGAAAATTCAAAACATTTGAAATCTGTTTCAATATTCTAACATTACCATTAAAATCTGTTGTTCCTGCTGCTGACTTTGTAATTTTCGTAGACGGGGGCAAGGTTTGATCCACAATGATTTCCTCCTCAGACTCGTCACCGGCGGTTGCAATCTGTATTTCTCTCACTGTCAAATCGGAAACTTAGGGAAATAGTTTACCTCGCTGTAGTAATCCTCTGATCCTCCCTTTTTGTCTACACTGAACTCAATTTTTGGATCAGTTTTATCTATTGTTTTTGTCACATTCTCTCCTTCGCCGTCTTCACTGAAGTCGATTCCAAAATCACCATCTTCTGGCATTATCTTCGAGTTTTTACTTCTATCTGTAACGTTATCCAGTTAAAAAATGAATGAAAATATGTTTTCCTCACTTGCTTTACTCTCTTTCTCAGCTGTTCCTAGTGAACTTCCAAATAACTCTTCCATTCCACTTCCGGCAGTGAATTGAGCAATCAGTTCAGGATTCGAGAGAAGTTTTCCAATAGTTTCCCAGCCATTTGGATCATTTACAAGTGTCAAGGCGGTCTAAATTTAAAAATCATTTCAGATACAGAACAACAGGATAAATAAAAACATATTTTTTCATATTAAATCATTTTGAATAATTTCATAAGGCTGGAGCTCGTCTGTCAAGTTTCCGATTGCTTTGACAATTTTGGAGGTTGTAACACAGGCCTAGATTGAAAACTTTGCATTCACAGAACTTATTAAAAGTTCTTAGTTTTTCAGCCATTTGGCGATTTCTAATAGACACCTGTTTTTTCACGTTTTCAGCACAAAAACGGCCCAAAAGGGTTATTCGGAAATCGGTATATAACTGAAAAATTGAAAATTGCAATAGATTCTGTGTTAAAGACGAGCTCCAAGCTCCCAAAAAAAAATCAAAATAGCCGAAAATAAATCTGAAAATATGGTTTTCCAAATCATATTGACTAATACTGTATAAAGAATTGCTGCTCACCTGGAAATTACTGAACATTTCAGATTTTCTGAACTTGTCGATTGCTTTATAAATATCTCCACAACTCAATCTGTTGCAGATGCCAAGAACTTCCGGCAATTCAGTTCCATGATCCCCTAATTCTCCTTTCGATGCAGAACCCGATACCAACGTGTCAACAATTTTTTTGAAGTCGAAGTTTCCTATAAATTGAAGATAACTCATCTATTTTAATCTGATCAATTTTTTTTGAAATGTGTAAGCCAGCTTTTTGTATGAATAATTACAACTAAAAATTGTCACGGTCAGTAGCAGCAGCAAAAGTGACGGCACTTGCCAACTTAGTCATGCTGGTGTGAGAAATAGAAAACAGGTTTATTCTACTTATATCCTCACCGATTTTACTATTGTCTGCAGCAACTGTGTCATGTTGTGGTGCCGTTTGAACTTTGCGTTGTTGGTCCATCATACGGAAAATTCCGGTTAATATTCCACGTTCTCCAAAGAGAATCTGGGATGCTTCATCTTTGATTGCTGGAAAAATTTGGTTGATTTAGTTTTAAATGTTTGAAAAATTTGAATAAATTTATGTTTCAATTGAACAGTGTTTTTCGTCATACCTTGTGTTTCTGGAGGTGCATCATTGGACAGTATGGGTTTCGTATCTGCTCGAGTTGTTAAAACAACCGTTGATATTGCCAATACCGTTATTATTCTCATTCTGATGCATCCAAAAGGAGCGAATAGTAGCAGTAAAATTTTCACAAATTTTTCAGTTTCTCTGTTTGTTTTGTTCTGGAAACTGGAAGAAAATGAAAGTGAGAACGGTATCTTATCTTTATTAATCACTGATCAAGAAAACATGGATCATTGCGCAAGGAAAAGTATCAAGAATCGGATAAGATGAGAGACAAAATAGAACTGAAGAAGAGATTGAGGGAAGACTGAACAACGAAAGCCTTTTCTGTGTGATTGGCATAATTGAAAGTGAGAAAGGCCGAGAGATGACAAAAAACGACAGAGAAGCGGGCTGTTTCAGAAAAAAGGAAAATCTATGAAGGTGACTCACAGTGAATGATGGCAGAAGAAAGGAATAGAAACCGAAGATCTGATGTGGTTTACACCTCTTCCTTTGTCTCGAGGACGTTACCATTAAACTTTTTGAACATGTTGAGGATGACTAATCGTTTCTTTTTCCATTATAGAAAAGGGTGATGAACTGTAAGAGAACTTCCTCAAAAAAAGGATTCGAGTAGAAGAATTTCGAAGTATAAGAAAAAAAGAAGCACAAATACTGTATTTCAAATAAAAAAGGTTTCATTTATTCTCAAGTCTAGTCAAACCGGAATCGCAATATTCCAAACAATATTTCTAGCATTTTCTGACAACTAAAATTTGAACGTCCTTTAGGACAGTCTTTGAGATTTGAAATTAATCCCTTTCACACCAAACAGTCCTCTTTCCTTCTTCCTCTCTTCTCTCCTCTATTTCTCATCTTTTTTTTCATGCATCTCCAGCTAAAACTTGTTCTTTTCTTCGGTTTACTTGGCTTCAGATCGACGGTTCGTTCTTCAACATCCACTTGGCGCACATTCTGGTGTGGATTATGTATGCCGAAAAAAGAGAAAACTGTAACCTTCACTTTTTCTTCCCCCTTCCATTGTCTACCGGGTCTTTACAAATGGTATTGATCTTTTTTTTGTAAAAATTTCTTTTAATTTGCCAATTTTCATTCTTCATTTCAGAAGTTTTAATTCTGATACAATCAAGAGAACAGAGGATAGGATAGCTTTCGAGAGCAGAAGCAGTACGGTAAAATACAAAGGTAAAATACAAAGCAGAAACAGGTTTGAAGGTTTTTTGACAGTGAAGAGATGGGTTTTCTTTTTGGAAAAATGTTTTTGCGAAGAAAATAAATTTTTACAAGTTTTGTAGTTTTATAAACGAACACATTTTGAGACTCTAAAGAGAGACAGGACGGGAATTTGAATAGTTTTGAAGACAGGAGATCACACATTTTTCGAACAAACCGTTTGCGTTAAACGCAATCCTCACAGGCACCCTTGCTGCCTAATTGCAAAATTCAATTATAGAAAAAGGATACAATTAATTGGTAGAGAGGAAGACGAAAAAAAAATGATGAGATTATTATTACATACGTTTATAATTAAAATTGTTGTATTTGCAATAAATGACGCGATTAAATGTTGGCAGATGACGTAGATGGTTCGTTGTTGTTAGATGGTGGAATGTAGTCGCCTGAAAAAGAAAAATTAGAATTAAAATGAAAATTTTCAAGAAAGTTACCCATTGGTTGTGTGCGAATGACAGTAACACCCGTTAGAGCAGCGCTGGACCTCCGTCGCTGGAAATCAGCCTCGAGCTCACGGGTTTCTCTTTCAATATCCGCCTTCTCTTCGGCCTCCTTCCTTTTCTTCTCTTCCAGCTCCAATTGCTCCTTTTTCACTCTTTCAGCCTCTTCTGCCTCTTCCTTGGCAAATGGAGAAGTCATTGCTTGCAACTCATCAATCAGATTTCTTACAACCCGTTCCTGAAAATTTCAAATGATTTTTGTAAAACAGAAAAATAATTTCCACCTGTGTCGCTGGATTAAATCCAGTTTCAAAAGCGAACACATCCTTTCTTTTACTCATTTTCTCATCTCCAAAGTCGTTTTTCATGTTAGAGATCCAGGCATTTGCTTGCTTCAGAATTTTCTCCCGTTTTAGCCATAAATGCTTTTCGATAACTTCCTGAAAAACTTTATTGTTTGAAAATCTCTTGACAGCTTCTTACCTTAAAATGTTCAGATGGTTTCCTCAATTGCTCCCTAATGGCATAGTTCAATGTGGCATGCTCAATTTGAAGATTATACTTGCGCGAGTACTCATCTCCGCGCTCGGTTCCCTGGTATCTTTCAAATCCTGGTTCATTGAAGTATGGATCTTTCACAAAGATCAATCCCTGCAAAAACAAAGACTGTGAGAAATTCCAAAAAGTTGAATATGTACCTGAATACTGACCAGCACTTGCATCAAAGAGCAATATGGGTTCCATTTCTCTTCTGGCCGCCCTTCCCACGTGCCCAGGATGGAGAGACAGATTTTCCCGTCGTTGTACAAGTTTGGATTGAATCGCACATTTCCAGATCCAGTAGTCAGGAAAGAGCATTTTGGTGGAGAGAATGGATAACCAGTTGGGAAGAAGACATCGAATTCAAAAAGTCCATTGGCATATGGAGTGTCATCTGGTCCCGAAATGAGAACCTTGATGATGTCAACACGACCCTCATCATAGCAGACGTAAATGCTGTTGCTGGCGTTTAATGGAAGTGCGTTGGCAATGGAAGCGAGTTCCTTGGCAATGCGTTTGGTTCTGAAACATTCTTGATTGCTTGGTTACTGGAAAACTAGTTATTATACCTGTCACGCAAATGTGGACTAAATGGGTTGATGTTTTTAGCCTCCTTCTTGAACGCATATGGAACTGCGACTTTTCCAAAGTCTCCAATAAATCTGAAAATATTCTGTTTTATCGAATTTATTGTTTCGTATTCTCTCAAAAAGTTGCTAACGCGCTGGCCCACGTGAAAAATGAAACCGAACGTTGAGGCTTTTCACTCTTTCAATCGCATTGAATATTCCACTAGGATAATAGTCACATCTATTGCTCCATGAATAAAACATGTTCTAGTGATCGTCGCGAGAGAGAAAAAAAAACTAATTGACGAGTCAGAAGAACCACACAAACAACACTCACTTGGCAGTTTGTAATTGGAGCTCTTGCATTTTGCTCTTATAGATGGTCTCTTCATCCTTTGCCTCCTGCATTTTTGAGTGGACTCCTGGATGTGACTGACGGCGATGGGTGGCTGTTTGAATGCGTTGTTCGGGCGGCAGAGTTTGCTCGTAGACGCGAGCGGCGTCAATCACAAACTGAAAATGGGCGGGTTGAGATAAAAGTTAAGAAAAGAAAATAGACAAAAAACGAACGTCAGAGAGTGTAGAAACTTTGGCGGCGAACTCAGTCATACGGAAGTTGGTTTCTTCCAAAGTGCCTCCCCAACGAGATTGAGTCGCCAATATGTTATCCTTGAAACGGGGTATCAATTCTTTTGCAATAGATTTTGCGTTTGGAGTGTATGGTCGGACCAAAAACTGCACCAGTTCGGGAGCCGCAGCCATACAAGCAGCAGTCTCAAGAAGCGCCTGATAGATTTCCAAATGCTCGCTAACATCAAAGAAGCTATCGTTCCGCAGATTATATTCCAGAATGCTCAAAATTGAAGACTCGGCAATAAGCTGGATAGCAGTCTCACTCATGTGAACCAATTCTTCAGGTTTATGTTTTAAATGATCCAACACTGGGCATCCCAACATGAAAGAGTTAAGAATACTTAATAGCCAGGTTAAATGTTCCTCTCGGATTAATTTTTCTTCGACAGTCCGTTCAATATCCCAACGAGACCGAGTGGATCCAGTTCCGTATCCAGTTCCCTTGTGGGATAATGAAGCAGACGAGTTGCGACGAGCACGACGTTTGTTCTCCTCTGGTCTCGATCTGCAATGTTTCAGTAATTTCAGAATAACAGTAGTTTGTTTTGATGACCGATTGATAATGTGTTTGTGGGAAAATCTTAATGAGAGTTATAGTGGTGAGAAAACTTGAATACAATTGACGCCTTCAATTTGGTAATGAACTTTGGTAATCATAAAAAATCGAAAAAATAGTTCAATAAGTTCAGAAAATCAGATTTTGGTTCCACCTCTGGAACTTCGCTATAGAAATTTGATATACATATATCCCGGACCACTGTTCAGAATTCAAAACCAAACGCATTGTGTTTTTGAAAAACACAATTACTTTACTTCCTTTCGAAGTTTTCAGATTTTGTAACTAGACACCGTTCGTTCTTTCATGCTCTTGCAGAACAACAGAATTCTATAGTCACCCCGTTCCTCGCTAATCCAAAAAAGGCAGTCATTTTTTTTTCGTAAAATCCTTTCTATTATTATTATTATTTGGTAATCGTCTGGGTCCGTGTGAACTACCACCGCTTAACTTACGAAGTAGAGAAATCCGAGATGGCAGTCTCCCCAATGAGTTCCAGCAGCTGATGGATAACACCACAATCGACGAATTGTTTACGATCCGTGAAGCTAATTTCGTTGACGAGTCTGAAAAACAAAAATAGAATTTTATAGGAATACAAGGGATGATACCTTGTAGCTCTAGTGATGTGTGTCATCTTGAGCGGTTTTTCGTTTATGATTCCCATCACTCTGTCGGCCACCGTCAAGCTTTCATCCGGCTCAGGACTCCTGGAATTTTCTGTTTTTTTCTGTTTTTTCAGAGAAAATTTTTTTTGGGTCTCATGCAGCATTTTTCTTTTTCAAATTCGCTGAGTTGATTTCAATTTTCCATTCGAACACACATTCGTCTTCTCATCAGACTACTGGGTTTACTCAGACGGAAAAACCACTTTTCTCTTTTGCTTCTCTTTTTTTTTGTTTGCAAAAGCTCACCTCGAAAAACGACTGGAAGATCGAATCAGACTGACTTTCGATGACAACCACAGACATCCAAACCAGCATCGTCGACGAGATTTTGACTTCCCTGAAAGCATTTTTCAATTTTTTTCTGACTACCGTATCACTCGGGTTCATCCCATTCAATTTCAGACACACGACACTGAATTCTCATTTCCTTTGCACTTTTTTTTTCAATTTCCCCCAGAGCGGCTTAACGGATGAAACGAATAAAATTGAGAGAGATAGAGAGAAGGCGATCTTTTTGAAATTAAACATTTTTAATAGCCGCAGTTTTTGAAAAAGGACATGTGCTCTAACCCCAATTTTTATAATGGAAACGAAGTGCAGACGATAAAAGTTACTATAAAAAGTGCATTTCTAATCCTACAGAACAGAAAAAACAGAAAAAATGAAGAAAGGAAAGAGCCCACTCTGTGAGCCAACTCACTCCGTTCCCGTGTCTTGCTGGTACTTGAAGACCGTTGAGACGACGATTGAGCAGACATAGATTGAGTAGACAGGCTACAAGCACACTTATTCACCCAAACCCGAGGAACTACCTGTAACAGGGCCAAAAATGAACAAATGAACTTTGAAAAATTTGCAAAAATTGGAGCAGATAGGAAGGTAGAGATGAAGAGAGAGTAGGCAGAGAAAAGAAAAAAATTAAGAAAAAATAGGGGAAAATTCGTAGGAATCTCAAGAGAGAGAGAAGGAAAATGGAGAGACGGGTAAGGATGGGTAATGAGGCACACACATTTCTTCTTCTGCTTCACGGAACAATTACCAGTCGATCTAAAAAAGATGGACGAGGAACGAATGAAAGAAAAGAGCAACTTTTTTTGGAATTTTTCTTAGAATCTTGCTAGAAGAGATGTTTTTCTTTTTAGAAATGCGTTCATCTAGATTCATCTGAATTCCAGGACAATAAAAAATGAAAGCTGGAAAAAGAAGGAACATGATATAGGAAGAAGGAGAGGATGAACAAACAGGAGTAATGGTGGTGGTGGAAGCAATGGACCACGGACTAGGAAGGAACCAGAAATATAATACTCGAGAGGTCCATGAGTCAGTTTGAGGTATTGAGGGAGCGTTGGTTGACTCTCTCTTTTCTTTCGTTCTGTTCATGGGCTCTGTCCACGTATATGCATTTGTTCTCGACCCAGTTTTCCCAGGTGTGGAAATAGTATCTCAAAGTGGAGGAGGTTTTCTGTAATTGTTGGCTGGTAGAAAGGAAAAACATGTTGTTTTGTGTCTGTCATTGACAAATTCACACATTCGAAGAAGAGTAAGGACTCGGAAGTGTCTGTCAGAGATTATTCAGAAAACGACTGGTGATCGATACAGACGGGAAAATCAGGGTTATATTGGGAATTTATATTGAAGGAAAATTCAATAATGCCATAAAAAGAAAAAAAGGCATTGGCTCTGTAAATGTCGTGAGAAACTCTAGAACTCGTAAGATAATTTGCAAAAAGTTTTTCAGAGTTATCTATTGTAGTTCATAGTCTTAACCCTACAGAAAAAAAAACAGTTTCGGACTGAAAATTCGAGGAGAAAGGAAATAGGGAATATATTTTAGGTCGTTTTCAAGAGTATTGTTTCGAGTGAAAAAAACAGACTTTGAAATTGTACTCAATCAAAACACAGGCCTGGTGGGCCCAGTTTCTCACATTTGGAAAAATTCTAAAATTTCGAAAATTTTTCTGAATTTTTCGTAAAAATATTTTCAACCAGATACCGTTTTCACAAACATTTTAGTTGGCAGAAAACTTGATTTTTAAAAATACTTCTTTCGACAAAACATCAGAGAAAATTACTGGAACTCCGGGCCGTGCAGAGACAATTCTAAAAAGGCCTGACCCGTTTCATACGTGGTACATTATATTGAGAATGCTCTTAATTTTAGAAAACTTTCAATAAACCGTTTCTCAAAGTAGAAACAGGGATCTTTGCTGTTTCTTTAAACTAAACAGTATTTCACTATAGTATGATAAAACTGAAACCAATTGGAAAATACCAAAAAAGATTCTTGAAAAAAAAAACTTAAATCTAAACTCTCACGACATTCTCCAAATCCGTTTCGTTGGAAAGTTTCTAACAATTTCCCACGATTTAATATCATGGATCTGAAGAAATGTCATTCTCTTATCTAATCCATTAATGTTGCCCACGTTTCTAGAGTATGCCTTGCTCATACAGTGATAATAATCGCACTAGGAAGATAGTATCCGGTTTCTCACGACGATAATAACCCTTAGTATTAGTCGAACAACAAAAACTAGGGACCCTCCAGTTTGTTTTGGTCAACAAGCCATACAGAAGGAAAAAATAATCAGGAGAAAAATGGACACGTTCTGATCCTTGGAGTAGTTCTTGTGACAGATGAGCCGGTAGGGCTCTCGCGGTAACAAAACAATGTTTCTGTCTTCTTTTTACTGCTACCAAAAACACGGGCTTTTCTGAATGGGAGGAGAAAAAGAAGAAGAAGAAGACGCTAAAGGAAAATGGGAAGGAAGAAGTATAAAGAAAGATGCCTGTGAGTATGGGAAACTGCAGAACCCAAAAACATTTCAGAAAAACGTAAACTCTCTCCCCGTGTGTTTAAGAATGCGAAAAAATACTTAGATCTGAAATTGAGAACTTTCCCTGAAGAAAAACAGACTCTGAAAAAAATTCACATGCCACGAAAGAGCGCTTGTCCTTGCTATTGAAAAACGAGAAGGACCACATGGATATAAAAAAAATGAAAGAAGAATAAAATATATATCTATTGCTGAATATATATGACCATGCAATAATATGCATGGAGTGACTGGGATGGGGTGAAAAAGAGATAGGAGGTACAATAGCCTTGTTATTGAGTGGAAGAGGAAAGAGATATGAAGAAGAGGAGCATGAGTGACATAGGAGAATAATAACAAAATATGATGAGTAGCTAGAGAACGACTACCGTACTTGATGAATACCTATCATTAAACTATTTGGTTTACCTAGAAATCCCTTTTTGGAATATCTTATCAAATTCGATCCAACTCATCCTGAATCATCCCGGAACTTACCACTCATCTCAAGAAACGCTGAAATTTCAGAATTCTAGAAATCGCGGAAGAAGAGAATATAAAATGAAAGAAAGGAAAGGTACCCTCTCACGGAGAACCTGGAGAGCTCCGCCCCTTTGTGTTCTTTCCAATGATATGCCCCCACAGCAGCACAGGGGCACTCCCCGACCCCGCCCCTCTTTTGTCATCTCCTCGGAACGCACAGCAATACGAGACGAATGGAAAGCAGAAGGACAGACTGCAAGGAACCGCTGTGCCCATAAACCGATAAACCCATTGAAAAGAACAGATGGAAGCAGATGTGTATTTGTGTTGTGTGTGTGGTTGGGGTGAGAGCTCTGAACCACACGATTCTTCTCCTTTCCTTCGTAGACACGGAATAAATAATTGATTGGCAATTTGTCATTATGCGAATTCTCAGTTGGACGATGAAATGACGCATGTTCGCAGGGGAAAAAAGTTCACAAGGAAACAAGATTTAGTATAAAATCATGTTCAGAAGAATCATAAAAAAGGCGTTCTCAACCTCCAGTGAGAAATTATGGATCCATTAAAGTTATGATTTTCAGGGATAATGCAGCTGAGCGCAAGATAATTTTATCCTAGGCACGTATTATATCTTTATATGAATACTATCACTTTTCAAACATTTCTCCCGTTATATAATGATAAATCGATATATTCCCCTTTTTTCAAGTGTGAGAATTGTAGGTACCCAGAAGACGTTCTTGATGTATAAAGTGAATACATACAAGAGGTGTAATTTCGTCGACAAATGTTACATCATGGGACTGTTTGACCTGGTCTTAAGACACCTCATCTAAGTGGACAACTCTTCTGGCTGCCATATGTTTTCTGATGGATTGCGATAGGTAATGACGTGTGTTACATTCATCGTAAACCCAACTGTCTCTACCGTAATCCATCATAAAGATTGATTCATCAACAACAGCCATAGATAGTCTGATTGAACTCATGAAAATGGGTTTCTTCCTTTTATTTCAGGGATTAAATCCAGACTAAAACTCTATTTTCAACTACGAACAGTAGCATATAAAGGATACAATGCCTACGACTCTGGGACCGGAATCCACTAACCGTATTAGTGCTACAAAACTATTCCGAAAGACTCAATGACTATGTTGTACTCTATTTCACAATTGAAAAGTGCACTTTTTTTGAAAGCCCAGAAATTTCTACCCCATTGAAAAGTTACCCTCATTGAAAAGTTCAAAAGAGACAATCAGAGAAAAAAAATAGAGATTTTCATTTTTCCAACCATCAGATAAGGTGGGAAAGAAGTGTGGTGTTCGGTCTCTTCTGCTCCCTAGAAGCGAAGCAAATACATTTGTGAGTTCCATCAGTCACTGGGAATGACAAAAAAATGCTAGAAACAGTGGTGAAGAAGCTCGCGTCAAGAAGAAAATGTGGCACATCGTCATCACCGATTAACAAATGCGAGTGTGTCCGGATGTGAGATGTGTGGTATGGGAGATAAGACAAAAAATGAGAGAAGAGGAAAAAAACGAAAGAAAAGGGTTTTGGAAGATAGCGAATGGAGGTGTGAAAAGCCTTGATCAAGAACCCAGATAACACAATGGAGAATCAAATTTTGTGAGATTGGCAGGACCAAAAAAAAATGTAAAAAAAAATCTGAACGGGCAAGTGCCGAGGGTTGAAAAAAGAAGGTTGAAAAAAGTCGAGAAAAGGGAGAAAAGTAAGTGGTGGTGTGGTAGCGAGAACAATTGAGGAATAATTGAAGAGTGTCTGTCTGCGTTTGACAGGATCGGGGGATCGAAAATTCAATTTCAAATGGAATATCAACTACGCAGGCAGGATCGAAAAAGAGAACTAAACGGAAATTGGAACTGGATGGGAGGGAGGAGAAACGAAACGTATCAGGATTATTAATTGGTTTAGAATTTGGAATAAAACATAGGAAAAAAAAAATTAAAGAAACGGTTTTCAAATACCGTAAACCTGTAATAGAAGGGCCCCCATATTATCATGTTGAAGCTCATTTATCTCGACTCCTATAAGACATATCAATGATTTTTCTACTGACGAAATATTTGTAACATTATGGCAAACAATTTATTCGTTAAAAACTTTTCCATATCTCTGACAAGAACCGAGATAAATTGGCTCAAAGTTTGATGTTAAGGGATTTTTCTATTACAGGTTTTACGCTAATTAGACTTTCAGAATATGTTTTTTTTTCATTCAGTGAAAAATATTCAATATTCAATCTCTATTCTGTATATTCTGAAATTCAATGAATTCATATGTCTCTTCTTGGAATTCTTCAAGAACTCATAATGACCTTGCTCGCCATTTCCGAATGCATATATTTTGATGAACAACATTAACATCATCTCAAAATTCCACACATCATCATCCGATCCGTCAAAAAAAAAATGATTAATTCCTCTCTACCTCTCATCCTCTCCTTTTATCCATCAGTTTCAGTTCGAAATGTGTAGAACCGTTAGGAAAAAAGAGAAAAAAGTAAAAAAAAAACCGAAATTGCCTTCGTTGAATGCTTTCCATGGACTTTGACTTTTGAAGTAGGGGATGGCGGGAGGACCCCGTCCAACGATGCTAATTTTTTTCCTTAACCAATGAATTTGTTCAAAACGATGAAATGACGCGCTAATGCCCATCATGATCACGAGGACTAAAAAAGGCGTGGTGTCGGCAAAAACAAGAAGGACCACTATGATGTCTTAAAGGAGGGCAGACAGCAAAAATTTCGGGGAAAATTTCAGGGAATGTGTATTTTGTCGTCGCGGTGTTCGCACCTAAAGCACGCAATCCCACGCGCAAACATTTTTATTTTTTTATTTCCCGACTTTATTTTTTTCAATTTTTAACGACTTCAAACATTAAAAAAGCTCTTTTTTCTTATTTATTATAAAACCCATATAAAAGTGAATTTTTTATGTAAATTTAAAGTTCTATCGACCGATTATTATGCCAGTCGCCGGTGTTTTTTATAGGCATGCGAAAAAAACTATTTTCTTTTCGATAACCGTTTCTTCACTGTTCCTATTTATCTCATTACTTCTCGTTATTACTCTAGGAATAAAAAACTGTTTTATGACTGGGGTTTTCAGAGACGTCTCCATTTTTACTGCTTCCTTCACCTTCCGACGACCAGCCCTGCACGAGGATTGTTTTAATTATGTGGTTTTTTTTTTCAATTGTTATGTCTCTTTCTAAAAATTAATTGTAGTTTTTTTCATAATTTATTTGTTAACATAATAAAACAAGTTTCTTCATTTTCAACTGATTTTGGTACCTCGGAGCGAGGCCTCGGCGGCACGCTGGTAGCCCTTCAGAAATTCCGAGTTCAAAAAGTTCAATCCGAAGGAAACAAGGGAAGAAAAAAGTAAAAACACCAGCAGGGATTGAACCTCTGACCTCCTGAATACTAGCCTAGAGCGTACCCACTATACTACGCGTGTAAGAGGCGACCATCGCGTTTTTCACATTATGAAGCGACGCCGCAGCAGCAAGCTAGTGAAGAAATTAGGGTGACAAAAAAGAGCATTTTTTCGTCCTTGAAGTGTTTTTTTCAGGTTTTTAAGTACATAGCTATATTTATACTTCAGAGTTATATCTTTTCAGTAAAAATGAAAATTTTGAAATTTTTGATGTCTACCCTCCTTTAAGCTTTTTTTTTCAATTATTTTTATTGGTCCAATTGTAAACGAAAAGTTCGGAAATTAAAGACGGTTCAAAAAGCGGGGATTATTCCTGATGGAGAAATTCAAGTTGGAGACAAATACATCACACATCAAAATACATGGAACCTTGTTGTTTTCCCACTTGTCTTCCTATATATTCATGGATCTTTGCTGAATAAGTTTCCGACATTTTTTACAGCTCATTTTTCATGCACATACACAACTTCTTATTGTTCTAGTAGTCAGTAAGCGATCATTTAATTATAGTTATTCACGGATCAGTCGGCAGGATCAATTACCTACCAAGAAGAGAGAGGGAATGAATAATATGCAATTTCGCAAGACTTATTAAAGTGTTATTCGTCATGAATAATTAACAGGATACTGTCACTCCGGAACCGAAGATCCGGCATTTAGAAAAGTACTGTAGATTGGAAATATCAAAAGATCAGAAGAAGGAAATTTCGGGAAAACAGAAAACTGATTTATATGAAATTTACGATCGTAAAGTGTCTTTAAGGAAATGATGTGAAAATTTTTAATCAAGTTAAAAAATCGGGTAATAAATAATTTTGAAAGTATTTTCTAAAAATTATAAAACAAGTCTAGAATCCATCAGGAAAATAATATAAATCACGTCAAAAAAGAGCAAGACTCTTTCGAAAAATTTTTAACCCAACAAAAGCTAAGCATGGATTAAAAATGGAAAGGACTGACTGCTTATCTAACCTCCGGTCCAGTTTTTTGAACTCTTTCAACGTCACCACAAGACAACAAAAACCTCCAGAAACCTTAGAAAACCGACACCACCACGTTCATGAAACGAATATGTTTCCATCTCGGATGACTTTCGCCTTCTTCCCCATCCTACTCTTGGCCAAATAAATTAAAAATAAACATTTCGACTCTTGCGGTCACAAAAAAAAGTCTCCCACTGTCATTGCTGGACAGAATAAGAGAGAAACTTGAAATGAATGTTAAGTTGGCAGAAGAACCAGGAAGTCCGTACTACTGCTCTTTTCTGGTCGGTTGAGCATTGAGTATCAGAAGTCCCGGTGCAATAGAATTGCGATATATGAAATGAAACAACACAATTCAAAAAAGGAAAGCATGTGGGGTGGTTTTCTGGTCTTGTTTTTGCTTTTTTTCGTTGGTTGTGGATTGAGTGACATTACGGAGTAGAAGAAATAAACAAAAGGCAACACCCCCACCGAAGAAACAAAAAACAAAGAGAGAAACGAAACCACATCAGGAATTGGCATTGAAAATGGAATCACATAAAACTACAAAAGCTTTTACGCACACGCGAACCGAATAAGCTCATAAATCCTACGGTAACGAGCGTCATAGATAATTGGCTTCTACAGTATACCCGGAAATCGGCTTTCGAAGAATTGGTTTTCCAGGTTTTTTATTCCTTCTTTTTTAGAATTGAGAAATTTGAAAAGTATGGATGAGGAAATTTGAATTCATTGAGAGGAAATCAAGGGAGGAGGCACACAATGTTAGACGTCATCAGACTATCCGGATTGCATTAAAAATGATGCTATAGAAGGAAGAAAAAGTTCCAAATGATATTCATTTTCTATTTTGGATTCTAAATCAGATAAGAAAACAACCAAATATTTTGAGAGTTTTGAATCCCATCAAGAAGTTCTGATACCGTATTTTCTCTAATAGAGGCTCATGGGCTTCTATTTTTGAACCTCATTTTCTGTGTGGATTTGTTTTTTAAAAAAGGGCTTCAATTAAAAATGTTTCTGTTTTTAATTGAGAAGGAAAGAAGGTGGGATCCTATTAGAGGAAAGATATACGGTATATTGAGAAAAAATCACCCAGCTGGAATATGAATGGGTGGTCGGGAAAAAAAGAAATGAAAAAAAATATCCAGCCATTGTCAGGAGTCAAAAATTAAGTAATTGGTTGGTCACGCTACTAGGAAAGACACAAATGAAAATCATGTGTCACTCTCCTTTCTTTTCTAAAAACCAATAGAAATAATATGAATTCAATTTTCGCTACTCGGAAATTCATTCTGAATTTTATATATACCAATAATCTACCGTAAAACTTGTAATAGAAGTGACCCCTGACTTTTAACTTTGAGCCCATTTATCTCGGTTCCTGATAAAGATGTAAAAAATTTGTCAACTAATAAATTGTTGCTGCTATCACAATAAACAATTTATCGGTTGACACATTTTTGATATCATCATCAGGAACCGAGGTAATTGAGCTCAAAGTTGAAAGTCAGGGGGCACTTCTAT